TTTTAATTTAATTATTAAATAATTAAATTATTTTTTTATAATAATTAAAACACTCGTAAATGTGTGATGCATAAATAATAAACTGATAATAAATTAATAATATTAATTTACTAATCAAGATTGACATTTTACAACACTATTTAAATAATATAAATTAATATTTTTTTATTTTTAAAAATTACGGAAGATTGATTAATGTAGTATTTTTCTTCATTTATATAGCTCTAAATTAATTCTATGGTATTATTATCAAACTCCAACAAGTTAATAGGTAAAGAATGATATAAGAAACTCACTTTTTTTTGTTCAATTGCCTTAGGTCAAGTTCTTTATTTTACATAGAGCTAGATTCGTTACTAAGAGTTAATAGATTCTTTTTTGATTCATTATTAATTTTACAAAATTTAATTATACTCAATAATCATTTAACTAACACCTTAAGGCATTAGGTATTTGAAATCAAAGTATAATAAATAACTTATTAATTACTATAATAATCTCATATCAAAGAAAAAATTATCAGATGTCTTTATAAGAATTTCCTTTTGACAATTTAAAAGTAATATTAACTATTAAATTTTTTTATTGAGTAAATTGAACGATAAATATATATATATATATATATCATTTATTTATGTAATTTAATAAATAAAATCTATTAATATTTATTAAACGAATACTATCACATGCATAGATTTATCTAAATTAATAATATCACATTCATAATAATATTATGATAAAAAATAATTTAAATTAGATTATAAGATACATGTTTCTCATTTATCATAATCTTTATTATGTTAGCAAGTTTTTAATGTTAGTCAAAGATTTTTATTAAATATAACTATTTTATAAAAATAATATAAATATGATAAAAAATCATAATTAATTACATAATAAATTAAATCTTAAACATACTTCTAATGCTAACGCATTTAACAACTATAACTTATGTATATTACAGGAAATGTAAAATCTTGGACATACACGTCTAATCCCAATACATATAAATTATAATAAACGAAAATTGATAGATAATCTGATAGTTAGGTTGTATAAGTACATACAGATAGATATACTTAAACGATGTTGAATGTAAAAATTAATATAAAAATTAACGTAACAACATGGGGTTTTAAATTGTGCGTGGACATCGAAAAGTATACCCAGTTTTATAATAACAAGTTGATTCTCATCTGAAAGCCTCCACCGCACGTATTCTTCCTTAAGCATATAAAATGGCTTCCTAATAAGTCAAAACAAGTTTTCAAACCTCAGAATTTACTTTCGCAATTAAATAATTATCTAGTTAAATTATTTATATATGATACATACTACATATTTTTATGACATATTCATTTTAAGATTAAGATTTAAATATTTATTTTATTTAATAACTTTTCAAGATACAAATTTCATAAAATCTATAATCAAATCACTTGACATTACGTTCATATGTTCGTACATGTTAAAATTTAGATAAATTAAATATTTATAAATATATACATTTATGATTAAAATAAAATTAATTGATAAAGTAATTTATTTTTTAAATTATATAAATTTTTGAAATTTAATTTACTTAATCAGAATTTCTAAATTGATTACTAAAATTTATAAAAAGAAATTAAATAAAATAATCCCAAGACTAAATAAATTATTATTCATTTATAAAAATAGACTAAATAAAATAAATTATTTATGATTTATCTTAAATTAAAAATGACCTTCGATTATATATGTTATTTATAAACATAAAAGACATATATAATGAGAAGACATTTTTAATATAAGAGATAATATAATATATATATATATATATATATATTAATTATATATATATTTTTTATCCTATTTAAACTCAAGTCTAACACTTGATATGATGAGTGAGTTTATTATTAAAAAAAATTTGTGATCGATTAGAAGCTAAAGGGAAGGGAAACGATAAACAAAACTATTATTTTTAACTGAATAAAAAAGGCATAGAAGAATTACGAGAGTGAACCAAGAAGGGAAAAGAGGGAGTCCGTGCACGAAAACTAATTCAAGTGGATGCCCACATGTATAAATATATGTGCGCATAACTGGTGACTCTCTGGACTTTCGAGAGAGTCACGAAGTCCAGAAGGAGCCTTTGAGTGGAACAGAGCTACCATAAGTGAAATGAAGATAGCTAAAATTACCTGAGAGTTAGAAGATATAAAAGGATGAACTATTGTCATAAAATTGCAATAGTGAAGTTGAAAAGTTTGTCGAGTCGTAGTCGTACCAAATAACATATGTTATTTAGGACATTATGTTTGATCTAAAGGTGACTGAAGTTTTTTGAGATTTTGCTTAAACGATACCAAATTATTTGTCACTTAGATTAATTTTCATTAGTTAGCCAATTAATTTTTTAAAAAAGCTACATGGTCACTTTAAAATATTATATAACTAAATATCTTACAATAACAATAATTAAGTTTTGATATTTTAATTTAATTATTTATAATTAAATATAATAATTAAAATTATTCATGTGTATATATATATATTTAAGAGAATGATTTTTTATACTAGTGTAAGTTTAAAAACTTTTACACTAAATATGAGTCTTTTATTTAACTTAAATTTAACGGCTAGTAAAATAATAAATTATAACCCGTTAAATTTAAATTAAATAAAAAATTCAGATTGGATATACTGGGCATACCATGTAAGGAGATTCTAATATATATATATAGTGTACAAAATTAGTAATCTAATTAGTAAATCATACGTGGGAAAGAGACACCAAGAAAACTCTATATTATTCCACCAACAGTTTTGTTTTTAAAAAACTGTGATCGACGTTGAATCACAATTTAAAAGATACAATTGTTTGACTGTGTAAAACGAGGACCAATAAAACTCTTTAACGTAGTTCAATAATTAGAGTTGACATAAGAAAAATTTTGAGTAAAAGAACTTATAGAAAATTTTTAATTGACTTTTCTGAATATTCAATTAACAATATTAAACAATAATATTATTTAATTAAGAGTAATGCTAACAAAATATTACACTATCTAACACACTATTGATTAAAATTTATTAAAAATTATAAAATACTTTTTTCACTCCTAACTTAATATTTTTTTCTTAATTTTTATTTTTTTAATAAATTTTAATCAATAATTAAGAGTGTATTTAAATTTTAAAAATAATAAGTTCTACAATATTTTATGTCATTTCACATGTGAAATAATTAACACGTTAATTTTAAATTAATAAATAATAGACAATAAAGTTAATATTTTATTTAAAAATATATATAAATATTATTTAATTTTTAAGATATTAAAAAATTATAATTATTAATTTATAAAGAATATACATTATCTCAAGTTTCCAGGTAACATATTAAATACCTTTAAAAATTAATTACCAATATTTCTATTACATTTTTACTTTTTATTAAAAAAAATAGCTGATTTATTATACAATTAAAACTTAAAGTATATACCGTCTTATTGTCTTTTATTCTCTATCTTTTTATTTGCTCCCTCTCTCTCAAATGTATTTAAAATTTAAAAAACATGGCTTAAAATATTTATGTTTAAATATATGTGAAGAAAACTTTTATTTTTCTATATACTTAGTTAATTAATTGATTGTAAATAAATAAAATAAATAATAATTAATTTTAATATTATATTAATATAATATTATATATCTTTCTAAGTTATTTAACACAAACGAGCTAGTTGAACAACTAATTTGTTAAAATAATTTTAAATTTATAATCCACTTATACAGTTATAAGTTTTTAATTACAATTTCACAACTTTTAACTGATTTAAGGTTCAAATTAAAAGTTCACATAACTTGTTATACTAAACATAACCTTAACCTCCCTAATTAAAAAAATATTTTTATTGATGTAATTGATGTTCGGAGAAGAATTATTTATATGATATTTTAGAAGAAGGAAATCAACTAACTTTTTTTTTTATTTTAGTTTATTTAAGAGTAAAATAATTTCTTTTATAAAAAAAAATATACAAAAGAAATAAATAATTTTATGCTTATAAAAAATTATAATTTTTTTGGGTTGAATTCATTTTTTAAAAAATTTAATACATTATGAATATAATATACTTGTTTCTTTTTACTTTTTCTTTCATCCATTCAAATGAGTAAAAATAAATATATTATTTTAATTTTTTTAATATTTGTTATGAACAAGTCTTAAATATAATTTATTTATAGTTTTTACTTTTTTTATTCATCTAAATAAGAAGAATAATTTTTATTTAATTTTTTCCTTCTTATTCTTATTCTTATTCATTCAATATATATATATATATATATATATATATATATATATATATAAAATTTTTTTTCTCTATTCCATTCCTTGTTCAAACATACTCTCTCAGGCATTCAAGCCGATGTCTTCAAACTTCTGAATGTTAAATGTCAAAATTTCAATTTGTTGGAACAGGACAATTACAGTTTGCAATCCAAAAACAAAATGTTATTCGCACAATGAATTAGAAAGTCAAAGTGTTTTACATAATATTATTTTTTGGGTTATATAATTTCCATACCTATAAATACAGATAACCTTGTATTGTACATATTATGACATATAAGTTTAATTAAACATATTTAAACTTTAACCATTTACTCTTTTTTTATGGAGGGGGTTGTCTGAGGGAAGTTTCGTGCTTGAAATGAAAGGAGACACTATCCATCGTACTTTGTAAGTGACATGGATTAGTGGAATTTGCTTTTTAAAAATAATATATTAACTTTGAAACACGATCACAGCCGCACAGATGTGAAACTGACATGAATTCACACACATACAACGGAAATTGAAAGGTCTAAACAGAAATCCATCATTTTAAAATAATTTTTTCTCATATTTAATTAAATTTGATGGTTTTAAAGATAAAATGAGCGATAAAGGTCCTTAGTTGATAGAAAAGAGGAGAGCGAAATGCAAGTGGGAGGCCCAATTTTAGAAAATGCATATTGAGAAAGAATATCCCCTGATCTCATCTCATGGGACAGCAATAGATCTTTGTTTGACGAGTTTATTATGATTATCTGTTCCACTTGCACACGTTATGTATTGCATTACTTGTCAATTATGATGATGATCATAGACAAATTCCACTGAGGCACTACCGGCCGCCCCTCACAACACAAAAGTAAACGCTGAATAGAAATTATTTTTAATGGAAAGGAATAGCAATAACAATAGGAATAGCATACTTGTCCTTTTATATATCCCCAGTTGTCAACGTCACGCCACTTCCTCGCTTCTTACCTTCACTTTGCTGGGACATGGTCAATGGCTGGTCGCTGCTATGCAATCCCCAACACCCAAAACCATATTCCCCCAATCTCTATTCTTCTTCCTCAACATTCTTCTCATTGAACCTTCATGGATCCTAAAGACTCCATTTTTCCCTTCTGGGGATCCGTACGGGGAACTCCCAGTTCCAGACAATTACCAACAAGTCTAATCCCATCATTATCTTCCATGTACATGGTCCTTGTCACAACACTGTTGCTTCTGTCATGGCTCCTTGTTCTTGTTGAAGCCTCCTCGTGTAACCAACAAGACAGAGACTCGCTATTGGCCTTCTCCGCGAACATATCCACGCCTTCTCCTCTCAATTGGTCTGCTTCTGTTGATTGCTGCACGTGGGAAGGCATTGCTTGTGATGGGGATCTCAGAGTCATCCATCTATTGCTACCATCCAGAGCCCTCAGTGGCTTCATCTTCCCATCTCTCACAAACCTCACTGCTCTCTCTCAGCTCAATCTCTCCCATAACAGCTTATCTGGTAATCTCCCAGACCGATTTTTCTCTCTTCTTAATCACCTGCAGATTCTTGATTTGAGCTACAATCGTCTCTCCGGTGAATTGCCACCCTTTGTTGCTGATATCAGTAGCAATACTATCGTGGAGCTCGATTTGTCTAGTAATTTATTCCACGGAACACTCCCACCTTCTCTTCTTCAGCAGCTAACGGGAGGGACTTTGACATCGTTTAATGTTAGTAACAATAGCTTCACGGGTCAAATTCCCACTTCTCTCCTATGCAGTAACCACAATAACTCCTCCTCTATCAGATTCATGGATTATTCCTCCAACCATTTTGATGGCATGATTCAGCCTGGACTCGGAGCATGTTCAAAACTGGAGAAATTTCGAGCAGGTTCCAATCTACTATCTGGGCCTCTTCCTGCTGATATTTTTAATGCTGTTGCTCTCACCGAAATCTCTTTGCCCCTCAATAAACTCAGTGGAACCATTGGTGAGGGAATTGTTAACCTTACCAACCTCACACTGTTGGAGCTCTACTCCAATAATTTCACGGGCCCCATTCCCCAGGATATTGGGAAGCTCTCCAAATTGGAAAGGTTACTTCTTCATGCCAACAATCTAACTGGTACTCTGCCCCCATCTCTAATGAACTGTACCAATCTTGTCATGTTGGATGTAAGGCTCAACTCCTTGGAGGGACAGCTCTCAGCATTGAATTTCTCCAGACTCCAGAGTCTCACAACACTTGACCTTGGCAACAATAGTTTTACGGGTATTTTGCCACCAACACTTTATGCCTGTAAATCACTTAAAGCAGTAAGGTTAGCATCTAATCAGATTGAGGGACAGATCTCACCTGACATACTTAGACTTCAGTCTCTGGCTTTCCTATCAGTTTCTACCAACAACCTGAGTAATGTCACTGGGGCTCTCACGCTACTCATGGGGCTCAAGAACCTTAGTACCCTTATGCTCTCCCAGAATTTTTTCAATGAAATGATGCCTGATGATGTAAACATCACACACCCAGATGGATTCCAAAAGATCCAAGTTCTTGGCTTGGGTGGTTGTAACTTCACGGGCCAAATACCACACTGGCTCGTTAATCTGAAGAAGCTTGAGGTTTTGGATTTGTCCTATAATCAAATTTCCGGTTCAATTCCTACTTGGTTGTACACACTTCCTGAACTTTTCTACATAGACTTGTCTTTTAACCACCTCACAGGAATATTTCCAACAGAGTTCACAAGGCTTCCAGCACTGACATCACAACGAACATATGATGGTGTAGAAAGGACTTACCTGGAGTTACCCCTCTTTGCTAATGCCAACAATGTTTCTCAGATGCAATATAATCAGATTTCTAACCTACCACCAGCAATATATCTGGGAAACAATAGCCTAAATGGCAGTATTCCCAAAGAAATTGGCCAACTGAAAGTCCTTCATCAGCTGGACCTTAGTTACAACCAATTCTCTGGCATTATTCCAGACGAAATTTCCAACTTGATTAACTTAGAGAAGCTATATCTAGCTGGAAACCAACTATCTGGTGAAATTCCTGCTTCACTCAAAAGCTTGCATTTTTTGTCTGTTTTCAGTGTAGCATTCAATGATCTTCAAGGACCGATACCAACTGGTAATCAATTTGATACTTTTCCTCCTTCAAGCTTTGAAGGAAACCCACAGTTGTGTGGTTCAGCTGTTCAGCGCTCCTGTCTTCCTCAGCAAGGTACTATTGCAGGTGGTCATCGCTCAAACAAAAAATTGATAGTTGGATTTGTCATTGCAGCCTGTTTTGGCACTGTTTCTTTCATTTCGGTGTTGATAGTGTGGATAATATCCAAGAGGAGGATCAATCCAGGAGGAGACACCGACAAGATTGAACTAGAATCAATTCCTGGCAACTCTAACAGTGGGGTTCATCCTGAGGTTGACAAGGAGGCTAGCCTAGTGGTATTGTTCCCTAATAAAACAAATGAAATCAAGGATCTTACCATATTGGAAATATTAAAAGCCACAGAAAATTTCAGTCAGGCAAACATAATAGGATGTGGGGGTTTTGGTTTGGTTTATAAAGCAACATTACCAAATGGAACTACTCTAGCTATCAAGAAACTTTCCGGAGATTTGGGTCTAATGGAAAGGGAATTTAAAGCAGAGGTAGAGGCTTTGTCGACAGCACAGCATGACAATCTGGTTGCATTGCAAGGCTATTGTGTGCATGAGGGCTTTCGACTTCTGATATATACTTACATGGAAAATGGAAGCCTGGATTACTGGTTGCATGAAAAGGCTGATGGTCCATCTCAACTTGATTGGCCTACTCGACTGAAGATTGCACAAGGTGCTAGCTGTGGACTGGCTTACATGCATCAGATATGCGAACCACATATAGTGCATCGTGATATAAAGTCAAGTAATATACTTCTTGATGATAAGTTTGAAGCACATGTTGCTGATTTTGGATTGGCCCGATTGATTCTTCCTTATCATACTCATGTTACAACTGAACTAGTAGGTACATTAGGTTACATTCCCCCAGAGTATGGACAAGCATGGGTGGCAACTCTGAGAGGAGATATCTACAGCTTTGGGGTTGTCATGCTTGAGCTGCTTACTGGGAGGAGGCCAGTCGATGTAAGCAAGCCAAAAATGTCAAGAGAGTTGGTTGTCTGGGTTCAACATATGAGGAGTGAAGGAAAACAAGATCAAGTATTTGATCCTCTTCTGAGAGGGCAAGGTTTTGAAGAACAGATGCTGCAGGTACTTGATGTAGCCTGCATGTGTGTCAGCCAGAATCCTTTCAAGAGACCAAGCATCAGAGAAGTTGTTGAATGGCTGCAGAACGTAGGATCATCCAACCTGCAAATGAATAAAGACTACATATAAATGTTTGTTCTTGACAAATATTGACAATAGATATGTATACTTGTGCAAAAAATTTTGCATTTCAATCTATACAGAATAATTTACCACTGTAAATGATGACTCTCCCTTTCAGATTTAGAGTTAGTAGCAAGATTTTAATAATGATTTCATGTGATCATCTTCTTTTCTATGAATTAGCATCATTGCTTATGCAGAAACTACAACTTCATGCAACAACTGTTTCTCTTAATTCTCTCCGACGAATACAGCATCCCGAACAACTCAAGTCTTTTGTCATGCGGCTTAAATCATTCTATTTCTTCTTTTCAACTTAATGTTCCAGTGCTGCGATTTACTGAATTTAGTTTGTTATCATTCACTTTATTAAATGTTAGACCCTCTTTATTTAACAGAATATTGTAGTTTCAGTAGATGACAAAAACCATGCCAATTTAAATTTATGTTCCAGGCCATCCAGGAAAAGAGCATTTGTTTGATTCTTTTGGACAAATTATATCTTTGACACTTGACACAGCATAATCAAGAGTAATTGAACTGAGTGATAAATGGTGTAAAGTATTCCATGCTCTTGTGCAGCAGAAAGGTCCGTTTACATGCTAGTAACTAGCGAGAATATAAACCGAAGCAAATTTCACATTGCATAGGGTTACTTTTATTCCTAAATGAAATGCCACAGAAATTTGCTATCAAGATATGGAAGGAATTCTCAAGACATAATAAAATCAGCAATGAAATTGGTGATTAAAACAAACGACAGTGTTTGCACCCTTCGCCTTCACTTTCCTGCAATATTTCTGCAATCTCCACTAATATACGTGTATGGTATTGGTTTTATGCACTCATATCTGTGCGTTCCGGCCTATGTTCTTTCAATTTCAAACCATCAATTAGTTTTTTTCCTTATTTTCTTTCCCTCTTTTTCCCCGAATCTGCCATCTGAAGGGAAGAGTCAATTGTGCGAAGCAACCAAACTACGTTATGTGAACCATTGAACCTTCTGATTTCACAATATATGGTTACTTGCATCATTTACAAAACAACTAAAAGATGAACCAAAACGACAATTCGATATATTTTCTTTTTAAAAAAGAATGTCTGAGGAAATATTTTTGAGGATGCAAGAGTACGATTGAACAGAAAATCACAGTGGAAGTTAATTGAACATGCTATGATTACTTGTTGACTATACGGTACGAGATGAATATCTATCTTTTTTGACCGATGAGTACAAGTGTTGCTCCTCAAACAGTTCCATTGTCGGTAGCGCCAGTGGATATAATTTGAAACAAAAAACAATTATATCAAATTAATCCACAATCAAATATAGAGACCTTATGCAACAAATGGAATCCTGTGCTGCATTTCGTATTATACATCAAAGATTAAAAACAAAAGCAGAGTGGAGGAGAAGAACTGAACTGTCGTGTAATTACACCGACCACATTCAGTAGATGTGGAACCCTACCACTACCAGCATACCGCACTTGAGCACCGCAAACACAGGCTATATTTCAGCCTTTTAAAAATAACCTAAATGAATTTCTTTTCCCTTTTAAACTAAATCATTATTTAAAATTTTCTTTTACATTATGTTTGCTAAACTTAAACTTTCTCAAATAATTATTTTAATTTTTAAGTTAATTTTTTATATTAAATCTTTACTGCCTGTACTTTAAATTAATTCGTTTATAATTTTAAATATTTTAATTTAACTTATATTCCTTAAAATAATCATTACGCTATCCCTAATTATTTTTAATAATTTCTTACCAACGAGTGAATGGGGTTAAAAAAAAAATGCAAAACTGTTGACTTACCATTTTTTCCAATGCTTACAATAAAATCTTCCTATCTCACTCATTAATGTAAAACTGTTTATTGAAAATATGATGTTTAAATACCATTAGCCTATTTATTTATTTTTAGAATCACACATATCACGTTCAAATAGTATGATTTTTTAAAGTTTGTTCATATTTTTCCAAAAAGTTCAATGATGCATAGTATTTAATAACAACAAAAAAATCTAAATTTACGTAACCTCATCGATATTAAGCAACTTCACAAAAAGAAAAATTAAGGTATGGATGGATCTTTAATTATTTACGGGTAAAGCTCCTTGCATTGTATGTATCAAATACGACAAGTTTGTGCATGTAACGTCTAGAGTTTTAAATCCTAAAAACAGTTTAGTACTTTTTCTTTTTGGCTGGATTGTGCATGGCTATTGGTATATTTGACACGGTACTACAAAGGCAAAACGATAAAAATGAAATTTTTTGGTGAATTTACGGGAGCAAAAGAGGATTTCATTGACCAATTATGTTTACGTATACAGTTTGACATGACATCTGCAAGACTTGCCTATGACCACTTTCTCATGTTTGGTTCAGTAGTCACAGCACTAAGATCTTGTGTTACAGTGCCAAACAAACAAACAACAGGGTCGGTCAACACATATGCTCGCTTAAGGAAAGCTACGTAGTATCATGAAATTCCGGACTAGCAAGGGCCAATAAACATGTGTTGTCAAATCAACTATTGGTCAATCATTCCATTATACTTCCAGATAATATAGTTAAATCAACACTTTCTTGATCTCGAAATCATTTTATTATGTAATCAAAGAATTTTCTTGCTCCACGTTTTTGTGTATGCACAAGTGAAATTCCAGCAATGCATAATTTGAATTCTAGCCTGTGAAAGCACAGCATGTTGGCTATGAAGTGAGTTTCCCGTTCCCCCCAAATATATCCTTCCTCACACACACGTGAACAACATGCTCAAACAGTATGATGAAGCAACTTTATGATTATTGACTAAAAGTTTACAACTGGTTTGCCATAACATACAACATTTAAGCTTCCCTTTATTTTCCTAGGGACCGAGTCCTAGTTCTGAAGCTATAATGCCAATTGTCAAAGAGAAAAGGCGTCACATAGTACAAGTAAAAAACAGGTTTTGGGAGAAAAGAGCGGTAAGGTAGAAAATACTCATAGTATTGTTGTCCATATGAAAGACTAATTCCAATTAATTATTCTAGCAATAACTGAAAGCATTCAGTGAATTATTGTTCACAAGCTCCGTAGTGTTGAAGATTGATGCCCAGATTGTGGAAAAAGCAGCACTGAGGGTGTCCATAAAACTCCCGTCCCCATAGAAACCCAGTGGAGTGTGTCCAAAAGGGTCAAAAAGAGAAAAACAGAGAAGGAGATTAAGGTGGCGGTGCCACAGTGAAGGCCATATAACCCAACTGAACAAGCAGGCGCAGGAAGGAGCTTCCTTCATTTAAAGAGGAAAGAAAAGGGGGAAGAGATACATATATGTGAATATAATAAATATATGATATATGAAAAGAAGAGGAAAAGAAGATGAAATGAAAAGGGGTTGGGTTTCAGTCATCTCCTTGGATATACCAACAGAGAAGCATGGTGGCACAGCGGCGCAGGATGTAGAGACGAGCACGTTGCTCTTTAACCAAAGAAGCACACTTATTGCTAAAGCCATATCCCTTTCTCTTTGGAGGGACCTTAGCTCCTTGCTTGCAGTGTTCTTGAACCTCAGCCATGTCTTGGAATTGCTTATATTTAGTGTTCTTCACACCAAAAAAAAAGCTCGCATCTGAGCTTGAGGGAGTAGGTGGGGGCAGAGGGACTAATATATATATGCATACATGGGATTGGGAAGGGAAGGCAAAGGTTGACTGAATGGAGTAGAAAGGAAGTGAACGTGGGAAGGCTCGAAAACTGAGGCCTCAAGGATTTGCAGCGTTCAATGTAGGGAGGGGGAATGAACGTGGTTTTCTTAATGCAATAAAATAGTGCTCTTGCTTGTGTTACCAATGTATGGCGTACAAAAACGAGCAAGGTTTATTAGAAAAGTGGCAAAGGTGGGCATGAAAAGAGGGGCACTGCTATAATCCAGACAAAGCATGGGAACACGGACCCGGCAAGCTGAGGTCGATTGGAGGTTTGGTTGGATTCTACCATGTCTCAACAACTTCTTTTTTACTTCAAATTATTCAGCCTAATGTGGCCAGCTGTAAGCTGTTTGCTTAGAAATTTATCTATTAATGACAGTTTGTTAATATCAAATATGTCACGACCTTAATCTATTCGGAACCATACTAGTAATTATTCTTATCCCAAAGATACTATCTCATTTTTAAACCCAATATCTTCCGGTTGAATCTTGATTAGTTGGAAGATGGAATATGTTCATCTGTGAGATGGATTTGTGACCCCATTTCATCTTTCCTTCTGCAAAGCCACAATTTCTTATAAGTAATTGCTCTTCTTATATATGGTACTTGGTTGAATTAATATAAGTTGTTAGTTATGGCTGGAACTTGTTGCCTTGTCATGAACGTGAGATTTACATGTAGAAAGAGAAGGTGAAGGATACGCAAATCAATAGATGCAACCTACCTAGACTCGTTGATAACTAGTCAAACTATATTCTTCTGTTTTGAACTTTTGATGGAGGTTTGATGACTGGCTTCTAGCTTTTGATGACTTTCCAAAAGTTTGGGTTCTAAGCATAATATTGAGTAATATCTTTTTTGGATGCCAAATTTTACCTTGAATAGATATATTTGATTTGGTGCTGGGATCTAGATTATCTTCTTTCTAATTTAGCATTAGTTTGTGATGGGTCAAATGCAGATGGCAAATGTGATCATGATGTAGAAGATATGGTTCCATTTCTACATGCATACTTGTACCCCTGAACGTAGGGAAGTTCCTATATCTTTGAGCCCCTCATTTGTTTTTTCAACGGCATCTAATCTATTTTATTTGACATTATTTAATCAAGTCACATTACCTTCTTAAACTAATTAATTCTATTAATCTTTTCATCAGCTTCACCATTTTGCCCTTTACTTCATAAAATTACACAGAGTACAAATCCTTTTTGATGGCGAAAAATCCAAGCTGTCTTTGGTGCCCTCCCACTAGCTGCTGAATACGAGGAGAAAATAAGGACTAACATGCCTTTCGTCTATCACAAGACTTGGATTCTTAATCTTTGATAGCATGCATCTCCATTCAGTGTACTTCCAGGAGTGTGTCAGAAGCTGCCAAATAGTCTGCAACTATAGAGTAGAATTCAAGTAGTACGGAACTTCATTCGTTGGAATGGACTTTGAGTTCTCACTGTTTCTAATATATATATATATATAGGAATAGGAAGGCCTCGAGATCGTTCCAAAACACATGCTTACAGATTTTTTTATGACAGATAAATGAAAAATGTGAGAGTGATTCTTTTACATTCACTTTCAATAAACTGCGAATCGTTATCATCTTGGGTTGCATGCATAATTTCCGTCCTTTGTATTCTAGGAAGATATCTCACTCCATCCAAGTTCACTTTGAACTGAAAGATTTTAGATTTTATTTTCCTAGGGAATCAAAATCAAAATCGAATTTCTTACATAAAGCCTGTGCAGTCAACTTCGTATACTAAGTTATTAATATGTCAATACCTCGTTGATTCAACGGTAGAAAGAAATTTGGTTTTACTTGGATAAGAATTTTCGAGAAACGAATGGAAAAAATGTACAAATAAATATCAATTTTGTGAACATAAGTCCTATTGAATGGCATTTGCCTTCCAAGTCATTCATCTCCAAAATGTTTTGGGCGTATTTTGGCAATTATTAATAAAGTATAATTAAAATTAAAAAATGTATTTTTAAGCGCTCCTTGAAATAATGGTGATAATAAAGATTAAATCTATGAAATTAAATTAAGTTTTTAGACGAAAACACAAACAATTTCTAATTTTATAACCTCTAAAAATATAACAGGGTTTTTTTTTTTGTTGTCACGTCTTTTGCGATGGAAGTAAAATGTACTTATGGAATTTAATTTATCGATATAATCACATCTCGTCACTTAAACAAATAGTAAGCTAATGCATGCTTAAATGGTTGTGTTAGTGGCGAAATCAATAAAATTCTATTCTATTGGTGAAAAAATGAAATAAAAGACACGGCATTTAAGAAAGTCGTAAGTAGAGGTTTCAATTGATAAATTTAAATTTTACGATAACTATTTATAATTTCACTAAAGTTAAGGGGATATAGTTATTTTCAAAATTACAAAAATAAATTACTACTACCGCATTGTGGTATTCACAAATCATCTTTTCAGATACAAAGACATATACCGCTTTAAAGCAAGCAAACTGAGGCCCAGTAGAATACTGGCCCTATCAATTATAAAGTAAGTCATATATGGGCCAACAAAAAGGATTGAGGATATTGACCCAAAATAAAGTTTAGAAGATAAACACCTGTGATTTTGAGGTTAAATAATACTATCAACACTCTTGGTAACACATTTTTTATTATTGAGTAAAATTTATATAAAACTAATAAAGTATGAAAAAAATATTAATTTAAAATAAAAAAGAGTAAAAGACATATAATTTTTATATTTTTCAATAAATTTTATCTAATATCAAAAAGTCGTTATAAATAATATATTGTTAGTATTTTTTAATAAACAAATTGTTAGTGTATGGGTCATATATGAATAAGGAACAAAGACCATATAAACAAGGAGTGAGATTAGAGTACTAGTGTAGTATACTGTATCATCCACCTACGTTTTTTAAATTTTTGCACGTTTGAACGTGGTAACCACTTTTGACCGTATAACAAGTAAATAAAAAGGTAGGTTTTGGTGCACAAATGACCTTTCCTAAATGTTAGCACATATTTTAACGAAGAAATCTCTCTACTAACTAACCTAAATATTAAGTGTTTTCGTGTTAGCGAACAAATATTATAAAGTACATTATTTGATAAGTATTTACTTATAAATATAATATTTATCCGTTAAATGAGTAAAGACGTGTGTCTAAAAAATATCTATAAATTTTAATAGAAATAAGTAAAGCTATGAATACTTAAATACTTACCCCGTTTCATATTCATAAATATATATATATATATATATATATATATATATATTAATTATACTATTTATATGAAGTTATATAAGTATATTTTTTTTTTATAAATAATTGTATATGATATTGATTTATTATGTATATTTTTTTATTATTTAGTGGCAACAAATATTAATCATCAATTCATCTTCAATAAAGTTAGGTTTTATTTTTCTTTTTTTTATTGTATTTTTTTTTTTGTAAAATGTGTATTTATAATAAATAATTTTCTATTTATACAACACTACTAACATACTCTATTAGTATCGTAGACTTCCATATTTTTTATATTTTCAATATAATTATTTAATAACAAAACTTTCTTACATAAATATAAAAGAAAGTCAATAAGTAGATATCAATATTTGATTTTAAAATATAATACTAATATGCATTGCATAAAAGGAAAATCTCTTTGCAAAATACATCACAATAATTAGAAATATTGTTCTACTTTCTCTTTTCAAATATTAATATTTATTTTAATCTATACATGTTATTTTATAACAAATAATTAACTTTTTTTATGATTTACACAGGAAAAAATCATAGAATAGAGCAACTAGGAATTCAAAGAAATAAAAACTCAATTCATTTTTAGTTTTTTTGAAAGATTTTTTAAATACTTTTGTAAAATTTTGGTCAAAATAAATATTTCACTGTTTATTTATATAATTTCATGCTTTATGTTTTTTACTCATTTTTTTATAGGATATAATTATTTTTTTTTAATGGGTAAATTTTTTATTTGAAGTAATATTTTTTAATTTATAATTATTTGTTTTCAAATTTTTTTATTATAAAATAAAAGGTTGAGAAATTTAATATAAATATTTACATTACTCAAAATTAAAGAATGCATACATAAATATATCTATTTGATAGAAAAAAACTATTTACATAACATAAATAGTTATTTTATAAGATTAACATAAAAATATATTTACTAGTAAAGTAAATTATAAAAATTATTATTTTTATATTTTTAATAGAAAAATTTATTTAATATTTTATATTATTTAACTAGGTTAATATAATTTAATTATTACATAATTGATATGAGATTAATATTTTTTAAATTGATTTATATATGACACACATATAAAATATTTTTTACATAAATATTTTCTTTAAATAAAATTACATAAATATTTAAATTATAAAATGAATGATAAATAATAAATATATTATAAATTTTACAATTATACTGTTATAGTAAGTTTATTATTTATTAATATTATTTAAATTCTATTTTTTATATTTTAATTTAAAATAATATTTTTCTATGAAACATGTATGTTACAAACATAACTATAATATATTAAATTAAATCTTAATAATATTATTTTTATGATTTATTTATGATTAAATTTTTTTAAAAAGATATAAAATATAAAAATATTATTAAATTTTTATTTTTATTTATTCTATTGAGTTTGTTATATATTTTTATTGTAATTTAACTGTTAAATAATTTTTTTCTTGATAGAAAAATATAATTTTTTTGATATAAACGTATATTTTTTTAATACAATATTGTATTGTGATAATTTATCTTTTAATTAAATTTTCTTTTACTTTTTAAATAATTTTTTATTTTTGACAAAATATTTTCATGCAAGTTAAAATTTCAGTATCTATATATATATATATTACATTATATTATTTCAATAAAATTTATTAATTTTCTTTTAATTTTAAATTTAAAAATTAAAAAAAAAATATTACGTATCCCTACTATTTTTGTTTAGTATTTAACATTTACGTCATTCAAACCTATTGTACAAATCATGAATTGTCATAGACCTAGTAATTGAAAGTGCCACAAGAAACCATCCAGTATGCAGATCACAAATGAGAGGCTAATCATCATATAGATTCATCTCATCATCGTGTAATTTAGTATCATTATTTTTCAATTGAATCCCACACAAATTAGTCATCGTCAGTAAATTACATGTGTGTTTAATACTACTTATAATTTTGAAGAACTTTAGTTTATAAAGATGTTGTATTAGTATACATTTAATATTTTTAATTTTTAAATATTTATTTTTTATTTATATTTAAACTTTATTAATAATTATATATTAAATTTTTGTATTATTATATTAATTATATAAACATAATTTTTTTTATAATAGATGCGGATATTAAAAAAAAGTACGTAGAAATCAAAGTTACTGTACAGACAAATACAAGAATGAGTAAAAATATTTAAAAAAAAATGCAGATATGAGGCCGGAAGTGCCATTTCTCGCAGTGAATGTGGCTGAATCTGCGTGGACACGTGAACACCTACATTTGATTTTAGAGCATAAACAAGGTAGGGCCGAAACTGGGGGCGTTTTAACAGCTGGCTCTTCTGTTCTGCCCGGTAATTGATAGATATTAAACCTTCCTATATTTTATCTTACAAACCAAGATTCAGAGACCAATGCTATTGCCTACTGCCTATTGGGTGCGTGATCACGTTGATGACGGCTAATGCTTAATCATAGTCTATCTGTCTGCTTATCTGTTCTGTGAGGTTTTGTAGTCCTTTCCCAATTATTATTATTTTAATAATTTGCACTCACCCTTTTGCCATGTTTAAAAAAAATGCTTGTGTGTGTCGAAAATGGAAGATAACGTGGAGCCAAGTATAAGAAGAAGAAGTGACCTAGTGGAGTGGAAGTTTTCAGAGATTGGAAAAGAGAAGAGAAAGATGATGAACAAAAACAACGTTGGACTGTTCGGGGATACAAGCATGACCAAAGTGTTTGTGGGAGGGTTAGCTTGGGAGACTCCAAAAGAGACACTGAGACAGCACTTTGAAAAGTTCGGTGAGATCCTTGAAGCCGTCATCATTTCCGATAAGCTCACCGGCAGATCCAAAGGCTACGGCTTTGTAAGTCGTACCATTATTACTTATTCATTGATTGAGTAGTGCTAATTAATTCATTCATGTTCTGAAAAAAATAAAGGTAACCTTCAAGGAAGCTGAGGCCGCGAAGAAGGCCTGCGAGGACCCAACTCTGATGATCAACGGCCGCAGAGCCAACTGCAATCTGGCATCTCTGGGTGCACGCCGTCCAAGGTCTTCACCTCCTACTCTTCCCCAGTCTCACACACAACAAGGTACACTATACATTTACCCATATGCTATTCCTATCTGTAAATTGTAATGTAGCTTTCTTCACTGCAGTCCTTGGAGGAACCATGAATGCCAATCCCGTCCACTGGTACTATCCCGCACCAACTCCTCCCCCTCCACCTCCACCTCCACCTCCACCTGCCTCTCCATTCCATCATCAACCTCTTCCCTTTTACGGGTATTCTTTTTTTCATTTCCATTAGTGCAAAGGTTAAATTCTTTTACGAATGAATATGTAACGCGATCTCTATACGCTTGTCATCTTACATTATTTTATCAAAATTTCAGTATATTTAAGACTTATTTTGATTATATTCAGGTACGCCCCCATGTACATTGCGGCGGACATAAATTACAATTACAATCAGGTGCGAACTTAACTTAGTATACATATTGCAATTGCAAATAATAAACAATGGGAATGAAATTGATTGGAATTGTGAATTGGGGCGTGCAGAAGCTGAACTACGGAAGCGGTGGAGGCTACATGAACGGGCATGTGTACCCAATGTACCCTGTCTACCACCTCCACCGAACGGAGACAATGGGTGTTCCTGCCCACATCTTCCACCCATTTTCCCATCACTCCTAACAGAGATCAATGGTTCAAAAGGATGGGTCTGAGTCTGAGAGGAGCTTAGTTGGCAAATAATAACAGAAGGTGGTCATTGCACGCAGCAACATTATTATCTCATCTGTCGTGCCTCTACTTTCCAATTTTTTAATTCATAATCTTTCATCACATTCTTTCACTCTCTCTCTCTCTCTCTAACATCTCAGCGTGAGCTGTGAATTGTTCAGTTTCAGTACAAGAAAACAACAATATGTCCATCTGTATGTTTAATCAATCACCCGTAGCTTATTGGCTGCTTCTCATCTCATTACTTAACGTTTTTATTGTTTTATTTTTGTTCCACATTCATGTCATGTTATTGAGAAATTTTAACCTTCAAACCTTAACGTGGCATCTAATTAAGTCATAGTGTAAAAATCAAATAAAATACATCAAACTTGCTTTTTTTAAAATACCAGTGGTATTCATTCCACTAAAATTATCGGAGAATACACCATTAATCCGGCTTAACTTAGATGTGTTATTGATGAAACAAAAATTGAAATCTCTCTCTGATTTATCATGTTGTTGTAACTCATTCCTGAGAGGATAATTGAGCAGAATTATTATAGTTTAACTAATTAAATATTCTATTAAATTCATTTATTTTAAATAACTCTAAAATTTAAGTTAAATTATGCATGTATTACATAAAAAAACTAATTGTAATTTTATTATTTATCACGCAAACTAATTCTAACTTCTTAAGAATATTTTCAATGATTAACCATTACTTTCATGTAAAAACAATATCTTCTCTATCATTTAACGAAAATCTCATCTTCCATTCTTAAGTTATCATTAATTATATTTTATTTATATTTGTACTTGTTTATAATATACATATGTTTACAAAAAAGCTAGGATAATAACTGTAAGAATAAATCAAAGAATTAATATTTAGAGAATGGATATATTTTAAATAAGACAAATTAAAACTTTAAATTAAATTAATTAAACTGGGAAGTATTTTCTTGAATCCATTCTAAAGTAGTGTATTTGACTTTGTTCAACTCGTTTAGATCCTGAATTCGGGATCTGGACCTGGATGGGGGTGTAGTATCATAATCCATTATTATGATGCTATCATAGCATTTTCGTGATTAATCGTACTCAGCAATGTGAAACTCTTACGAACTAAATTTAGTGGGCAAGTATTGTGGACTCAGCCCAGCCCATCCTGTAGTTTTAAACTTGTCGTTGACAAAAAAAAATAAAAAGTTATAAACTTGTCATTACCCAAAAAATAATTTTATATGGACAGCCAAGTTGTGAATCTAAAACCTTCTCTTAAAGAAATTGTCAATAAGGGATGCAAAAATTCCCGCGGAGGTTTATAAATTGTAATCGAGTGAATGATAGGTAACTGTCAATCGAGGGCAATCATAATTAAGTATACCTACAAATGGCTATAATTTTTTTTTTATTATTTTGAAATTGAATGAAGTTTTATATTTTATTACTTCATAGTAAAGCTTTTTGACGATAAAAGTTGTGGAACAAATTTATAAGATACGGTATCTTTTATTTATGTTTTTGCGCAATTTTTATTTTTTTATAACATTTAAATAAATTTCTGGTTCTTAACATTATTTTTAAATTTGTAAAAGTCATATAATTTTAGCCTTTTGTTAGGAATTGACATTATATTATTTTTTAAAAAAAGTCACATTATTTTACTAAATGGCACTAAAAGTTGACCACTATGAGATATTAGCGGGAAAAAAGGAGAGAACGTTAGGTTGAAGAGGCAAGTTTTGAAAAGTAGTTGAAGCCAACGGCCACTGTTTAATGTAGAGTTTCTTTGTCCTTTTTGTGAAATTTGTTGGAACACAAAATTGAGACATTCATGGATGTTACAATGAATCACCCACTCTTCTGAGACTTAGTAACAAACAGTCAGCTCCCCAACATGGAACAAACATTTATGTGCTGCTATCTTACTTCCACTCACTACCTACTCATTGCAAAGGAAGCTCAAGCTCCTCTCTTCTTCCCACTTCCACTTTTCCTCCAAGTAAGTATTCCTTCAATCATGGTATTTGTTTTTATCTGTGATATTATATATGATTACTATTCCGGCTAGAATGTAGGCATTGTATGAATATAACAACTTCATGGTTTACTTTGTCAACTTTGGGAGATATGAACTTCAATATAAGGTGATGTATCAGGTGGTTAAAGAACGATGTCATTAATACGATCAAATGTGTTGAAGAAATTTGTTCACATAGTTTAATGGTGTATATTTTTCTCAGTGATTTATAATTGTGATTTAGAGCGCATGTTGCAATTACCACTTATTCACTACTTGATCTGTAGCTATAACATGGCTGAGGAACTGGATAAACCTTTGCTTGATCCTGAGAATTTCAACCGAGAGGGCATTGATTTGGTAAGTCCTCCAAGATAGGCTGGGCTCAACATAAATAAGTGAAAACCATCATTTCAATTTCAAGTTTACTCTGACTGTAAATAACATTGTTATTATTATGGTCAGGAGCGCATACCATTAGAAGAAGTGTTTGAACAGTTGTGGACTTCACGAGGAGGACTGTCATCTGATGATGCTGAAGCCCGACTGCAAATATTTGGCCCAAACAAACTTGAAGAGAAGAAAGTAAGAAAACACTTCTCATAAATATATGATTTTCATAAGTTCATCATATAGAAAATGAGAAGCAAGATAGATTTGACCATCTAATAAGATGTTAAAGTCCCTTGTTCACTGAGTTACAACAAGATCACTAAGGGACATTTGGAAGAGCTTCTTTGCTCTTTTTAGTTTATTCCACTAAGCTTTTTGGTAAAATTTGTCAAAGTTCCTTTCTTCCTTCTCTCATTTATCAAGGCATTACAGTTCATAATTAGCTTCTTTTCACTGCAAGTATTATAATAGTACATGATTTACGTAGTCAGGAATTTGGATGTTTCAATTCTCTGTTGAAATTTGGTTAAAAGCGTATTATTTTGTTCTATATTGAATTATGGTTATTTATTATAACGGTTCAAGAGGCATTGAATTTTTTCGTAAGGCCCTTATCCGTGACTAGCGTTATGCATCCAACAAAAGAAATTCTAACCATAAATCCGCATCAAATGTTTATGCAGGAGAATAAAATATTAAAATTTCTTAGTTTTATGTGGAATCCTCTGTCATGGGTTATGGAAGCAGCGGCATTGATGGCAATTATCCTTGCTAATGGCGGAGTGAGTAGAGAACACAGTCATTGTTCTTTAATGTCTTATTTTCTCTTCTATGTTTTCGATCAACATTTACTTTATGTTTGTATTTCCATTTCTTGATTCCTTATTTCGAGAGAAATTTTCAGGGGGAGGGTCCAGATTGGCAAGACTTTATAGGAATTATATGCCTACTGGTAATAAACTCAACTATTAGTTTTATAGAAGAAAATAATGCAGGTAATGCTGCAGCGGCACTAATGGCTCGTTTAGCTCCTAAAACAAAGGTATGCTTCTTTGTTGGTGGCATCCATGAGTCACTCTTTATGAACGTGTTTAAGAATTGAGTTTCCTCGCATACATATACCATTAAGGAGTAAAGTTTTATATCTAATTGTGCAGGTTCTCAGAGATGGGCAGTGGCAAGAGCAAGACGCAGCTATTTTAGTACCCGGAGATATAATTAGCATAAAGCTAGGAGATATAATTCCAGCTGATGCTCGCTTGCTAGAAGGGGATCCTCTAAAAATTGACCAGGCAACTCTTTGTTAAACTGAAATCAATAAATCTTTAAGTAGTAATTTGTGCTATATATTTTTTTTTCCTACTTAGTGGTTTCAGTATATATTTTTTCATGACATAAACTGTTTATAATTGATAAAAAATCAAGATGGAGTTCATTCGTCATATAGATATAATTTTCAAGTTTTGTTTTACGCAGTCAGCTCTCACTGGAGAATCTCTACCTGTCACAAAGAAAACTGGTGACGAGGTATTTTCAGGTTCAACATGCAAACATGGAGAGATTGAAGCAGTAGTGATAGCAACAGGAGTTCACTCCTTTTTTGGGAAGGCAGCTCACTTGGTTGACAGTACTGAAGTTGTTGGACATTTTCAGAAGGTAACTTCGGAAAACTTTCAACATCTATTGATTTGGTTACATTATTAAGAAATATAGTCAAGCCAAGATGTTTACAGAGAGCTATGAGTTTGGATGATTATATAAAGGATAATACAGTGTTTCTAAGGATTGCCACTACTATTTACTTATGATAAAACTAGCACAAGTAAAGAACTATACACTTTGTCCTCACATTGAAAGGAAGATTAAAGCATTTGTTTTATATGGAAACCCACTTCAATGCAAAATAACTGAAGTTTTTTTTGTCAATCACTTGAATTTCAAACTGTGATATCGATGCTATTATTACTTTTTGCAGGTTCTTACCGCAATTGGTAACTTTTGCATTTGCTCTATAGCTATAGGGATGATTCTTGAAATAATTATAATGTTCCCAGTGGAGCATCGATCATACAGGGATGGAATCAACAACCTTCTTGTTCTCCTAATTGGAGGAATACCCATAGCTATGCCAACAGTATTGTCTGTAACACTTGCAATTGGCTCTCATCGGCTTTCTCAGCAGGTTCAACTTTTTAGCTAATCGCGTAAAATACTGTAGAACTAGGATCAAATTCTCTCTCCTTATAGAATGTTTGAAATTTTCAATCAAAGAAATTAAACTTCTGACTGCACTAACAAATTCTATGGCACCACTTTGGGGTAACCATACCCCTAACATACTTTATATCACATTACTTGGAGGATATCATATAGCGACTCGATTGTGTTATCCTTAAGATTATGGCATACTAACAGATCTTTGCTGCTCATTATGCTTTTTATTTTTGCTTCATCCTCTTAAGGGAGCTATCACAAAAAGAATGACAGCAATCGAAGAAATGGCAGGCATGGATGTCCTATGCAGTGACAAAACTGGAACTCTAACTCTGAACCGCCTGACTGTTGATCGAAACCTTATTGAGGTAGGTGCTTAAAAGCTCTATATAGAAGTATATTATCGATGTTGTTAACACAAAAAGTATATTTTCATGCGGTCATTAAGAATTTAATGTCCAAACAATAGGTAATGACTATAGGTTCCAATTTGTTCGAATGAATACAGCTTCACAGCAGTTTTTAAACTTCATGCTAGTTCATGTATAGAGAGATTATATTGAGTCTTTAAGCATATCAAGCTTCATGATATAACATATTCTAACGGTTGCCTCTGATTTTCTCTTCATTTCATAATTTTCTTTATGGTTAGAAAAATCTTAGTTACCATTAGGCACTGCTCAATTGAACATATTATTTAGCCACAATTTGACATATGCTGAAGAATAGACATTCTTCCTCGTCCCCAATAATCTATTAAAAAATCAGTCTTTTTATGTAGATTAAAAAAATTGCATTGAAAAGCATTTTTTGAGAGTTCAAATTTTTTTACTTCCAACTGGTCGCCTTGAACGAACATCCCTGTAAGCTTAGATAAATGTGAACTTTTCACAATGAACTACGAGGGTATTGTTCTTAATTAGAGCTTCACCTTACATGTTGAACAGGTCTTTAACAAAAATATGGACAAGGATATGGTTGTTCTACTTGCAGCCAGGGCAGCTAGACTGGAAAACCAGGATGCAATTGATTCTGCCATTGTTAATATGCTAGCTGATCCAAAGGAGGTAAAGATACCCACATTACTTTGATATTGAAATTCTCTGAATGTTTGTTATGAAAGCAACAACATACCAATAAAGAGAAACAATTGCTCCTTTTTCTCTACAGGCACGAGCAAACATCACTGAAGTTCATTTCCTACCATTCAATCCCGTAGATAAACGTACAGCTATAACATATATTGATTCTGAAGGAAATTTTTATCGGGCCAGTAAAGGAGCTCCAGAACAGGTATTTCATGAAAGATGGTTACTATTTAGCATTTTCTTATTGTCTAATGCTGCCTCATTTTAGTTCAAATCTAATGCATAGTTTTTCTCTAAAGACCCTCATCCAAAAGAAAGAAAAAATTTGCAACCATTGTGTAGAATTTCAAGCTTCCTTTACTTCTGTATCAACACATTGTTCTTTGCATTATTTCTTGAATGCCAGATTCTAAATTTGTGTCAAGAGAAAGGCGAGATTGCCAGAAAAGTGCACATAATAATAGACAAATTTGCTGAAAGGGGATTGCGATCTCTTGCAGTTGCTTATCAGGTACAGCAGACGTGATAGAAATTGACATAATTTAATGAAAAAAAAATTATGTCAATTTATTTCTGACTAATATAAATTTTCAAAACTAGAAGACGTGATTGTGAGTTGAAAAATTTTAGAATATCAATTACAAATTTGTCTGACTTTGATAAGTTACAACTCTTTCAGGAAGTTCCTGAAAAATCCAAGGATAGCCCAGGAGGTCCTTGGACTTTTTGTGGTTTGTTACCTTTGTTTGATCCACCAAGACATGATAGTGCAGAGACCATCCGAAGAGCACTTAACCTTGGAGTCTGCGTTAAGATGATTACAGGTAAACACAAAATTCCAACGTTAGAATAGAATAGAATAGAACAGAAGACCTCAGTATGGTGGTAATTTGTTCTATATTATGTATAAATATTTTATTTCTTGATTGAAGTATAGTGTTCTATTTTCCTTCATTTCATAGTGAATAATATGTCTATCAGGACAAGGTGAGGTGATCCTTTTTTAATTCGTCAAGGTTTACATTAAGTGTTTTCTTTATGAGATAAAAGGTAATATTTTATAGTATTACTTCCATTTGATAATGCAATTGCTATGTAAATGCAAGAAAAATTGGAATTCGGACGTCATGCTTAATATTTCTACATGAATTTCAGAGTCTTATGTGTGTCTTACCTAATGTAGTAAGTTATGTCGAGTTTCAAATTAACTCATTAAATCTTCTCTCTGCTAGAATCTTATCCGCAGCACACCCAAAATAACATATCTTATTTAATGCAACATGCTTATCTCAACCAGTCAAATTTAAATATCTTCCAATAAAAGTGATTAAATATGTCAGAATTTTGCTGTATGCACATTCAAAATTTTGGAAGTCTTAATGTTTGTCAGCTGAGTTAGTTTGCATGTCAATGCAGGTGATCAGTTAGCAATTGCAAAGGAGACTGGCCGAAGACTTGGTATGGGGACAAATATGTATCCTTCTTCATCTTTGTTAGGTCATGAAAAAGATGAGAATGAAGCTCTCCCAGTAGACGAGCTCATTGAAAAGGCAGATGGCTTTGCTGGTGTATTTCCTGGTATATGAACTTGATATTTTAGAAAATTAGTTGTTTTTCTCAGATCATATGTTTCACTTTTTACTTTCCTCTCATTTCCTTTCTCAGTCTAATAAAAAACTAGAAACAGAAAAATATGCTTATTAGATAGCATCTCACTATCTCAGCTAACAAACAAAGAGAATGATGCAGCATTGATGTAATAGATAGTCAACACGATGTCCTCTCAGTACAAAATTTTATACAATCAATCATTGTTTATTCCACCTTTGAGCTTCCTATAAACTATACAAAACAAGATAATATGGATATTTTACAGATCATATATGAGATATGCTAAGAAAACCATCGCGTGCAATATTTCATATTTTCCATCCGAATAAGAAGTGATTTAAGCATGAAAGAATTCCTAGTCTAGAGTGTTTAACACCAAATATGTTGTCCAATTCGAAACTTTTGGATGAAGGGTTTACCTATCATTTCCCCAAATGTTGCTATTTCACCAAATTTGTTTACCAATTATTTTATTGATGTATGCTTTCAGAACATAAGTACGAAATAGTGAAAATTTTACAAGAAAAGCAACATGTAGTTGGAATGACTGGGGATGGAGTAAATGATGCCCCAGCATTGAAGAAAGCAGATATTGGAATAGCTGTGTCAGATGCTACAGATGCTGCAAGAAGTGCTGCTGACCTGGTCTTAACCGAGCCTGGCTTAAGTGTGATTATTAGCGCTGTATTGACTAGCAGAGCTATATTTCAAAGAATGAAAAATTATACAGTTGAGTGTGCAATCTTACTCTTCTTCTCCACAGTATAATAGAAGAACTCTACCTTTCCATTCTAAATATTATACAGCTTCAATATGCAAGCATGACTTGTGCAGAGTAGTCAAATTGTTAAACCAAAAGCAACATTAGGCAAATATAGATTAGATTGTTCAGACCACTAGTCATTACAAATATATTAACCATTAATAACTCAATTAATATCTTTCATGATGTATAATATTTCTTTGATGTAATTTTGATATCTTTCTTTAATGCAGATATATGCAGTCTCCATCACCATAAGGATAGTGGTAAGAGAAGTTCCCATCTCCAATTTCAAACTCATTTTTTATAGCTTATGTTTTTACTTGGACTTGTACTTAACTAAAGTGTTTTGCGACCTCTATCTAACTTGTCCAACCAAACCCTTTTGCAGCTTGGTTTTGCTCTCCTAGCATTGATTTGGGAGTATGATTTTCCACCCTTCATGGTCCTTATCATTGCAATACTAAATGATGGTAATACATCCTAGATGAATCCCTGAGAATATGTACATGAACCATAAAACTTTCTTCTATTTCCTTTTCTTTTGTATACACATACTTAAATGATAGGTGAAAACTATACTCACCAATTTTTTAACAATACAATTTTCCCTTGGTTTTAGAGTATCCTACTAAATTTTTTGCTCATTCAAAGGGGTAAATTTTGCAAAGGTATAAAATTATAGCTTCAGAGTGAATGTAAAACCATAGGTATTGTAATTCATGAGGGCTGACCTAATGTTTAAAAAGGTGTATTGCCTATGTTGATTGCTTAGTCCCAATCGATGCTAAAACTACACAAGGATTCCCTCATGGTATAACCAAAAACAGAAAGTCCTTTGGTATTAAAAATAAGGATTTGGCTCCTTAAAGTAAGGAGATGTGTAAAGGGAGAAAGTCAATACTCATTCACTGTTGATCTAAAGTTGGTTATGTTTACAAAATATTTAAATTCAAATCAACAGTGAATAAGCCTTCAATTTCTCAATTTATTCATCTCCTCACTTTAGAGGAGTAAAATCCTATAAACAATTATTCATACCATATTAAAATCCTATAAACAATTATTCATACCATATTCTTCATTTGAGTGAATAGAAGTTTTTAACAGAAACAATTTTACTGTCTCATATATAACTAACAAGGGAAGAGCAAAACTCTTTACTAACTAGAATAAATCATAGACATAACAATAGTTAAGCTATTAGGCCAAATAAGAGACATGGTGATATTGTAAGATTTCTACAAATTGTACTCATAGCTGTTTTTAATTAGGTACTATCATGACCATATCTAAAGACAGAGTAAAGCCATCCCCAACACCCGATAGTTGGAAACTGCCTGAGATATTTGCGACAGGAATCGTCATTGGCACTTATCTTGCTTTGGTTACTGTCCTATTTTACTGGGCAGTAGTTGAGACCACTTTCTTTGAGGTACAAAAGTCTTTGTTTCTCTTTTGGCTTTTCTTTTTACCCTCAAATGAAAAATCAAATTCATTCAACAAACATCTTTAAGCTGACCAAAGTGTTGCTGCAGACCCACTTCCATGTAACCTCCTTATCCAGTGACAGCGAAGAAGTTTCATCTGCTATATATCTACAAGTTAGCATCATTAGCCAAGCTCTCATTTTCGTGACTCGTAGTCGTGGTTGGTCATTTCTAGAGAGACCCGGAATTCTATTGATGTGTGCCTTTGTAATAGCTCAACTGGTAATGTTATATAAATAGATGTAGCTCCTTCAAGGAGCTTTAATATTTTCATTGCTTATTTCTGATTAAGAAATGTAGAAATTTTTTGTTGTTGAATAATAAGTTGATTTTTATGTAACAACTGGTTAGGTGGCCACCTTAATTTCTGTCTATGCACATATCAGTTTTGCTAAAATTAGAGGAATCGGATGGCGATGGGCTGGTGTTATATGGTTATACAGTTTAATCTTCTATGTACCATTGGACATCATTAAGTTCATAGTGCGCTATGCCTTGAGTGGAGATGCTTGGAATCTCCTATTTGACAGAAAGGTTAGTGCAGAATATTTCCATATAGTCTTGTCTCGTCCTATAACATATGCCTTTGCATATTTTCTAACGTCTACTGATGAAATGTACGTGTCTATTTCAACAGACTGCTTTTACATCTAAGAAAGACTATGGAACAGAAGATAGGGCTGCAAAATGGGTTCTTTCTCAGAGGAGTCTGCAAGGACTGAATCTGATGGCTGGAGGGTTTGAGGGCAATGGAAGGCGATCTTCTTTGATTGCTGAACAGGCCAGGCGACGTGCCGAAATAGCCAGGTACATTTAATTTATGCCCATCTTCTTAACAGATTCTCAACACCCTTGATCCCCTACCTAAACAAAGTTGTTTATTTATTCGTGTTAAACTTGAAGAGGTATTGGTATAGAAAGCACTTTTCTCATTTAAATTTTTAAAATGCATGAATCTTCGCAGATTAGGGGAGTTGCACACTCTCAGAGGACATGTGGAGTCTCTTGTGAGACTTAAGAAGTTAGACCGGAATTTGATCCAATCAGCTCATACAGTCTAATATCGCCATATAAACCATATATGGACTAATTTCAATGAAGCTAGATTGAAATAATTGGTCGTTGTATCCATTTTTATAGGATGCCAATAGTAAGAGATTTCATCATACATAGCTGTTGAATTAGTTTTTGGACCATTGCTAGTTGTCTACTTTACATTACTCCTTTTGTGCACATCATTTTATTTTATTTTTTGTTTATTTTGACAAAAAAATTATCAGTTGAGAATTAAACTTAGGAATTCTTCTTGTTTAAAGTATTGAGTTATGATTAAACATTGATAGTTAAAATATTTACTAATGACTATTACTACTTTATCCTGTTACCACGAACATACATGTTTGTACTCTTATAATGGAAAGGTAACCAGGTGAACAAAGATAGGTCATCTCCATATTGTTTTAAACGAAAATCTTGCAATGGATACATTTATTTAAAGTTTTTACCTGATGCTAATTATGATAGATTCTTCATCAGACATTTGAATGGAGCTTTTCTTTCCAAACCTTATAAAGCACGAGTCCTATTATTACCTTGCCATTGCCAATATGCGAAACCAATATTCCCTATATTCTGTTCCCTCCACGTAGCTCGTTGCAAGGCCTCAAATTAATGTTAACATCAACAGCACCCTTTTTCGACCCGTGATTAGTCTTTTTGTCACATCTTAATGTTTATTTGACCTTATATTGTTATAGCCGTCAACCAAGTTGAAAATGAGTTCCATTTTATTTTCCATTTTGATTGGTTTGTAAAAATGTTTTTTTTAATTAAATAGTAATTATTAAAATATTATATTATTTTTATGTTTTTGTTTTCAAATATTTATACAAAAAATGATAAAAAATATTTTCATATAAAAAATTAAGTGAAAAATTATTTTTAAAATATTAATAAAAATATTTTCTCTATTCTAACATATCCCTTAAATTTTAAGAATCGGAGGATATTTTCTATATATTTAATGTCATACGTGTGAAATTATAGTCTTTTCAATATAATGTTTCTTCTGTATACTAAAATCATCTTTAATCAATAATAAGAGAATGATTTCTTTTGAAATATAAAAGATATTAATATAAAATTTTTCTTTTTAATTTTTAGTATATTTCTTTTCATATACATCTTTAGAAGATTGAATTTCTCAATTAACTGTTGAAATTTAATTATTTTTCGACGTAAAATATAATAAAGTGAGTTTTGACAAAAATAAAATTACTAGTGTAAAATTGGTATGGCTTAATGAATGATTTTGAGTTCGAATTTTTAACAATATAGCTAACTTAAAAGATGAGTTTTATTATCCTTTGTTATCTCAACCAATCCAAACAACAATTTTTTAGATAATAGGAAAAAAAACTAAACTAAATTTTACGTGGCTTCGTTTATCAATATTTACGCTATCACGTTTCAGATAATGTAGTTGAAGGTTTGGCAATAAATAATTCACTGAATCTTGTACCTTACCATTATTTAGAAGCTGTGTAAATTGCGAGCTTTAGAATTTATATATATGAGATTTAGAAATTATATATACTAAATTATAGAATTTTAAAAAAATTATAAAAGTATGATATTAAAAAATCTACAAGGACAATTTTTTATATAAATATTAATAAAATAAGGAAAAGTTATGAAGTTTTAAAATTTATGAATGATGATTTCTAAAAAAATTTTAAAAACTAATTATCACCGGTGACAATTTAAAAAAAAATTAAAATATTAAAAAATATTATTAACAATTTATAAAATACCATATTTTAGTTTTTTTTGTTCACATGAAAAAAGGGCGAGTTGAGACTCTTGGACATAAAAAATGTTGTCTGAAATATTTTGCTTTATCACTAGGAATATAATATCAAATAATAAGTTACGCAGTAATACGTGGCTTAATTTTATATTATATATGATTTTTTTATGTTATAAAAAAATCAAATTGATACTTTATTTAATATTTTAAAATAAAATATTAATATATTATCACACACTTAAAAGATTTTTATGCTGATAATTAATTAAAATATATTATTGATATGATTTTTATATTAATTATTTAAAATACACAAGTGACCTGACTTTTATTTAAGTGATTAAATAACTTCTATCTTAATAATAATCTTCACCTAACAATCAAGATATATGGGGTTGTGAGAAACATTGAATCAGCTATTCACTTTTTTTCTCAAATTATTTTGGTTAGCAATGGCATGCGTTTTCAAAACTTTGTCTTATAATGGAAGCCACTTGACGTGACACGCATTATAACACCTACTTCTCACGCCACCACATTAGATTATGTTCGTTAGATTCGTATTTTAATAATTATAATTTAATTAATACTCCAACCAAACACACAAAACCCTTCTAATATTTTAAAATTCACTATTAAACAATAAAATTATCTAACCTTTCGATAATTAATATTTCTTTCTATAATATACATTTTTTAAATAAATAATATTATTCAAATCAGATAAATTTTTTTCTTTAAATAGTTAATACCCAAGTTAGTTATAAAATTATTAAAATTAATAATATTATTCTATGACAAGTATACAGTACAACTTAACGCTCAAGTAGCATTGTTTTATATTTTGAAAATATTAAATATTTTTTATTTTAACTTTTTAATATGTATTTTTTATTAAAAAAAACCCCTTATTCCAAGTTACAAGACGATAAATTACACGATACATGGTGCATATTTCATCAGTATATTTAACTTGTTATGTACATGTGTGCTTATTGTTATTAATAATAAACATATTTTATATAAAAATTTTAATTTAAAATAACAATAGAACAATATGCACTCATCTCATTTATGTCAATACTTTAATCGATAACATTAATTAAAAAAAACTATTGTTTAACACCATTTTGCATGTGTCAAATAAGCAAAGAAGAGAGAAAATAATAATAATAACTAATGATGATATAAAAAGATAAAAAAAAAACATAAAAATGAGAAAGTTGAAATACAAAGTGTAAAGAGATATATAAGAATTGAATTGAGAATTATTATATCAAATTTTATATCATATTTTAAAAATTAGTTATATTCAGATTTATATTACTCTAAGTAATAATGTCAATACTCATATTTTTATTTGTTAAATCATTTTATACTTGTGAAAATATTTTGTATATGCTTTGTATTATACGCTTATTTGATAAAGCATTAAATATAAATACTATTATAATACCAATATTAATTAAAAATAAAAATCATTAATAACAAATGTAACTTAAATATAAAGTATTTTAAAAAATGTAATTCAATTCTTAACTATGAATATATTATATGAGTATGAATAACGTTAAGTAGTTTAGTAAAAATGGCCCTATATATCTACAATTTTTTTTATGAATAAATATTCATGCTGGTATCTAAACTCATTTAAACACTAAACACCCAGATCATTTTCAGATAATTTTTACAGGTATTCATTAAATTTAAATCTGATTACTATTCTTAACAATATGTTAATTAATTTAATTTTAACAAAGTTAGTGAATACTTTCAAGATATTAAGTAAAGAATAAGAAACATAATATTTTTTTTTATAAAAATATAACCAGTATACTTTTATCATAATTTTTAAAACAACTTTACTGTAACTTTTGATAATTTGATTAATTTGAGCACTTGGTTTATGTGAAACATTGTTATTAAAAAATGAATTTTTATAAAAAGGATCGTATTATGACACTTGTCGGCAGAAACAAAGGTTAGTTAACAGGTGGGAGGTGGGTGGTGACGGAAGTGTAACATTGCTGAAGGTGATGTGTTTGGGTTCTGTCTATCATAACAATCACCTAACTTTTGGATTTCCCTGCTTTTCCTTTTTTTAAGTTTAGAGAGACATAAAAGAAATGGGTTTGAAAAATAAGAAAAGAGAATGGAAATGGATTAATACAAAGGTAATTTTCACGATACTTTTAAAATTAAGAAAACATTTTATGCTTTTTCTAAAATAATTATTTTTATTAATTTTAAATAATTTTTATGGGGTATTAAAAGTTAAAAAAAATTCTATGCTTTCATACACTTAAAATAATTATTATAGTTAAATTTTTATTAATAAATAATAAAACTAGTTATTTAATTAAAAAAATAAATACTTCTAATATTTAATATATTGCAATCGTTAATTTTAAGAAAATATAAAATATTTTTTAAATTTACATATAAAACGTCCTATTAATTTATAAGACACTGTAAAAATAATCTTATATTAAATATGTAAATAAATAATAAAGATTAGTAATATTTTTAAAAAATATAAATATTCTTTAATATAAGAAATTATAACTTCCAATTTTAAGAAACTATAAGATACTTATCAAATTTATAGATATCGAAACATATGATATAAAATTTTTAAATTAAAAAATCTTAAACATACGAAAAATCTAATTTTAAAAAAAAATTTAAACATAATTAAAACACTATAGAAATCTTTCACTTATTTTTGCTTCTCCCGAGGAAACGACTCCCAAACATTAACATTGTTCAGTGTGGCTTTTGCACAGTAAATATACAATGGAATGGGACGTGGCTGGCTCCCTCCCCAAAACCAGAATGTTGTCTTCGAGCAGATGTTCCCCATTCGTTGTCATGCTCTATGTTTTATCTCTTCCATGTTTTTTTGTCTACAAATCAAATAAGGCTTTTTCTTTAATGAATGGTGTATATTTCATATATATGAAAGGTTAGCATTAAATCTACTCAAACTTGTTTTCACAATAGCAATTGGATGGAAGGACTGATTCATAAAAATGGTTATAAACCAAGGATTAAATAAAAATTTTAAAGTTTGTAGTGTTAATTTTAAATGGGTTGAGGTGATATTAATTTCAAGAAATTGATGATCTTGCATTTTGTAGATTCAATCTCTCGACCATTTTCTTGGACTTACATAAATGTAAGACTTTGATAGCCATTCTAAATTTCTTTGTTTTTCTTAAAGGTAATTTTATACCCTTTTTCCTCCTTTTTTTTTTCATAAGTCGTAAATTTAGTTTGGAATGATTAATTTCAAATCACTGTTTTACATAACTTACAAATTTTTATTATATTTTGGAAATTTAGCAAGTTTCTTTCTCTCTCTCTCTCTCTCTCTCCTTTAATTTCCCTGAAAAGTTTTTTTCATCGTATTCAATATTGTATAAAAATTCATTAAAATAATACAATGTTATCTTACATTAAAATAACAACAATATAATTATTAATTTTATAAAATCATAAAAGAATAAAAAAATTTAATTATATTTATAAAAATAAAAAAAATTTAATTATATTCATTTTATCGTATTCAATGTTGTTTTCTAATAATCATTTCTCGCACTTAAATTTAAACAAGCATCCTACATAATGAAACAGAAATATCATAATTCAGAAGCTTTTCTTATCGTCTAGATGAGAAAAAACATTATGTTTGAGGATCTAATGAGTAAAAAAAAGCTGCACACTATCAATGTGCCAAACTGGAGAGAGGAAGAATGAAGAGCAAAGAAGGAGAAAAACTACCTAAATCCAGAGGTTATTAAATATTAGAGTTGTTAAAATAGAATTTTTTAGTCCATCCAGACTAGCCATTATAGGTAAAAAAATAAAATAAAATAAACTTGTTTTGCAAAATTAACGTTTAAATTTGGCAATTTTTGTTAGCCTTTACTAAGTTAAGTTCACATCAAATTTAATTAATTTATGCTGAAAAATCTCGAATTTATTATAAATTTAAAGTTCAAATATTACATTGTATTAAATGAGTTGAAATTGATTCAATTGAAGCAGCTTATTTTATCGACCCCAACAAAAACATACTGTTAGAGGTGAAAGTGTGAAACCTTTTTATTCGGACAACAATGGGCATTTACTTATTTGTCCTCAAATACTTGGCTTTCTGCAATGCTGAATTCAACATTTTGCAGTACAAAGCTTGGCTTTATTTCCTTAGAGTCAGACACTATACGCATATATGATGGTATCATCCCAGAATGAATCTAAAGCCCAACACTATGAAATTATTGACCCCTCATTATTACTGCGAAAAAAGACGGAAAACAAGGCCATCATAAAATGTGGTATTAGTTCAAAAGTCTCTTTCTATTATTCTTCTATATTTCATAATAATTAATCCCATCACTAAATGGTCAATGTTTTGTACCACTCTTTTTCTTTTTGTAAATATTGTTTTTATTTTCCCTTCACGGTCGTTATAAGTAATTGATTGGTTTCTTTGACTTGCCTTCAGGTTTCGCTTAGCCGTTGGCATGAAAGCCACGTATACCAGTTCTCGCATATTAACCAATATAAATAAAAAACAGAAAATAAATATATTATTATATAATAAAAACTCAGAAACGTGTCATTTGTTCATGTCCGTGTACTGTGTATTTTGAAAGCTACTTAATTTGGATTATTCATTTGGGAAAAGAAAAACCCAACACAGATATGATACATTGTGGGCACTCCCTTCAAAAGAACCAAGCTTTACAAATTTTTCCTTTCTCACTCAAGAGAACTTCGAAAAGGAAAATTATTATTTCTTATAATTATGTCCTATTAAAGTATGAGTTTAAGTTTATGTATAAATACTCATACTGAGAAAGATGACTGTGATAAAGTAAATAAAATTTCTGTGGCTTTGGATTCTTCTGGCAATTCGTGCTGGACAGCTTTACTTGGCTATGGGGGCAGCATAAACCCATAAAATCATTAGAAAATTTTAGAACTTGACAAAAAGGGCTGACTGCAAATCCCTTTCTAGCTTTCTGGGTAGGAAGAATTTTGAGAGATGATGGAGCTTCCAAGTTTGCTGCTTCTGCTGTTCATCAGCACCTGCATTCTTCCATGGATGCCCAATGCTGGCGCTGCCACAGATCCAAGTGATGGTCAATCTCTTCTTCTACTTCACTCCTTTTCATCACCCCTTGAGTTTGTAGCTTGTTGCTTTTTGCATTGGGCTATACGCTTCTTAACTTGCTCTCTTCACCATTTCAGTCGCTTTTGGTTGTTTTTCGTTCATGTGCTCTAAACAGTTTTGACAAATTGTTTGCAGTTTTTATTTTTCTTTCTTTTTCTGAACTGAAAGTTGGAAACAATGAGAAGATTTGTGGCTGATCTATTGAATGGCTCACATCAACTTTATTACCCTGATTGTTACTGTTTGGACAGCTTGCTTGCTCTCTCTTTGGGGTGCCCTCTGGCGTTGCATGCCAAATGATCTCTACATATAAATGATGCTTTTTTTCCTTTACTGTTTGAGCTATCTGTTCTGTGTAAGATTGTCGGTTCACACTGTTTTGGGATTGGTTAACTTTCCTTGCATAATTTTTATGGAATATCTTCTGCTAAATGCTAAATAAATCGTAATGTTCTTATATCAGAGTTCTTTCACAGAGATTCTTTTGCTTTTGTGTGCTAACTTTACCATGCATTATTCAATTGTTGATGGCACTCTAAATGGGATTGGGAAGGCCTTCATCTGGTTTTCTAACCATGGATGGAGGTCTCACTCTCACTTCTTTCCATGGGTTCTGCACTTTCGGTGTATCTTTACTACAACAGTCTCTGAATCATGGGACAAAACTTCTCCCTGAACTTTTGATCAGGGAAATGTTCAACACCTTCTCTTCCATCCCCCGCCCCCCTGTTCAACACGTCACGTCATCAACTACGGATAAAACGCCTAGAATTTTATGTAATCAAGCACACACATTCAAACAACAACTAAAACCAAGCCTTATCCCACTGGTGGAACGCAGATTCAGAGTCTATTAAAAATAACCCTGTTTAATAATTTCTTTCTGATAATTTAAAGTTGCATAAATCTTTTGTTATAATTGAACGACATACTTGGTTTTTCACTTTTTTCCCCTTCAGTTGACTTCTTATCTTATATATATTTATATGTGCAAATAAATCCTCTGTGTGTTATACTGGGCATACAATTAAATAGAACTAGAAATTCTCCTAGATTAGCCGCAAAAACGCACTACAATACTGTCTTTTGTTTCCCAAAGGGATTAAATAATAATATTAACAAAACACTAGACCATTAGCGATTGACATTTTGGGGTTGTTGCGAGTTCTTTATTCTTTAATCTCATAAATAACCCATATGTCAAATGTGGGATTTGAAGCAGTTCATATAAAGTAATTAAAATAACCAAACTACTGTACTAGATTACCAGGCCATTCTAACTTCTGATCTATAAATTAGTGACATAAAATCTTTTAGGATTTAGCTATCTATTTAAGGTGTGTCCGTGTTTGTTTAGTTTTTTTGTATTGTATAGTTCATGCCTAATTTACTTTGTCTCGTGTTATCCACCCAGCAACCTGCTTTTGTGACCCTTCGAAAAGTCTAAGATGTTTGCTTGGTGAACATCTGATATTAAATTTCCTAATAACATTCCCAAAGTTGATCTTTATGCAGTGCATTATGATCCTCAAAATTTCAAAGTTTTGATACCGGCTAGGTGATGTAATTTTGAATGGTTTTTCTTCATGTTCCCTAGTATTCAGTACTGTTATTTTTCACTAACATCTATGCACACAAAAACAAATAATAATCTCCTATCCATATTACTTCCACCCAAGACATTATGATGCAACTTTTTGAGAATCCTTGGTGAAAGTTGGGTTTCTTTTTCTGTTTACCCCTTGATGTTTATAAACATTCAACTGCTTTAGTCAATAAGATGAATGATCAATTCAGTGTCGGTGATCATTTCTGAATTTGTATTCAAGACTAAGCTCCAATTTATTCACTTTTCCTTAAAAGTAATCTATACCTTAAAATATGTACATTGAATGATGGCAAGGCCATAATCTATTTGATAATATGAATTTCCAAACATATGTGTTGGGTTTGCTGAATATCTTTTCCTGAGTGTCTTATGCAGTTGCTGCTGTGAGGGCCTTGTTTCAAAATCTGAACTCACTATCTCAGTTAGGTTGGCCTGCTAACGGTGATGATCCATGTGGACAGTCTTGGAAAGGCATTACTTGCTCAGGCAACCGTGTTACGGAGATGTTAGTCTCATTCTCCTCTTCACTTTATATCACTTGATCGTGATTACTTTTGATGCTGATTACTGGTGAATGTTGTTTCATTACTTCTCAGTAAGTTATCTAATCTTGGACTTACTGGAACCTTGCCTTATGGATTACAAGCCTTGACATCTTTGACCAACCTGTAAGATTAATGGTCTCATCGATTACATATCTAGTTTTCTATGCATTACTACTATTGTTGTGACCTTGAAAATTTTTGCAGAGACGTGAGTAGCAACAGTCTTGGAGGCACCATACCATACCAACTTCCTCCATATGTGCAGCGCTTGTATGTTTCTATATATATATGTGTGTGTGTGTGTGTGGTTTTTATTCTTCAGTGTGTTTTATTTATGACTATGATTTTTATCATTCTTAGTTCTTTGTATGCAGAAATATTGCTGATAATAACATCACTGGGACGGTCCCTTACTCTATCTCTAACTTGACCTCTCTTACTGACCTGTGTGTAATTATCCTCTTGTTTATCATAGTTGTACTGTAATAAGCACCACGGCAAGCATCTAGACTAATTTTTTTAATTGTTTTTATGCAGGAATCTTGGTCATAATCAGTTCCAGCAAGGACTGGGTGTTGACTTTCAAAATCTTTCTACCCTCTCCAAATTGTGAGATTTCCTCCAACTCTTCAACTGCATAAAAAGTAGTCTAGATGGCCGTCAAGTTATTGTTACCTTAACTATAAAGTGTTGATCTTTTTTATCTTGTGGATGTTTTAATGATGATTTTCTGGATTAATTACCATTTTGTATGTGCAGTGTATAATTTCACAATATTACTTCTGAGTGCATTTTAAGACATTTTGGATGTGAAAAAGGTCCATATTTACTTATGCTATTGCATCATCTCTCATGTCATATGGTTTTGGTAATTCCATAATTTGCATACGCCTCACAGTTGAGGCTATTTTTGGTTCTTGGTAACAAACAATTCAGGACCAAGTGGGATAAAATCTTTTTCTTGTTGCAGGGATCTCTCCTTCAATTCTTTTACAGGTGACCTCCCTCAGACTATGAGCTCACTTTCACGCATAACTACCATGTAAATATACTACTAATTGTTGATGTTTTCTGTTAATACCTCACATGTTCTTGATTGCATGAGTTGATTTGTTTACTTTGTGCAGGTATCTGCAAAACAACCAGTTTACAGGCACTATTGATGTCCTTGCTAATCTGCCTCTGGATGATCTGTGCGTCTCTGTTATATCATATGACAGCTGGAATATCCTTTCCTATATTTCCATAAAGAAAAACTTAAAGCCAATTGTATTTATCTTCTTAAATTCTTCTCAGGAATGTGGAAAACAATAATTTTACTGGATGGATACCAGAACAGTTGAAAAAAATAAACCTACGGTAAGAATTTCCCACCATCAGCAGTGTGATGACTAGGACTATGATTTTTATTGTAAATTTCTGTAAAACTCTAATATTGGACAATTTTAACCACAGGACTGCTGGTAATGCATGGAGCTCTGGACCTGCACCCCCACCTCCTCCTGGAACACCTCCAGCACCTAAAAGCAACAGACCCCACAAATCTGGTGGTAGAAGCACCACCCCCTCAGATGCTGGCGGTGGCTCAGTTGGTGAGGGCAAAAAATCTGGTATAGGAGGTGGGGGCATAGCTGGAATTGTGATATCTGTCATTGTCGTTGGGGCAATAGTAGCATTCTTTCTGGTGAAGAGAAAATCCAAGAAGTCATCTGCAGATTTAGAAAAGCTGGAGGATCCTCTTCCTTCGAATGAAGTGCATGGTCTGCACCTTGCATGCTATTTAAATTTTTTTCCTTTTATCATATGAGGCCATCCTTATTTTTATGTTGCCTGTATTTATTATTCTTATCACATTTTTCATTTTTTATTCTATTAGTTTTTCACTTTATAGGTTAGTTATTTTTGCAGAAACCATGTACTGTATTTATTGTTCTCATACTTGGTCTGCTTTTGATAAATGAGTTTTGCAATTCCATCTATTATTTTGGTAAACGATACACTCCTAGCCTGGGTTGGAGGAGGAAGCATAGCTTGCACTTGAATGGGCCTAGGAATGTGGGTGGGCCATTCATATACTCAGTTGGTAGGTTAGGAGGGATGACAGAATGAATGGGAGGCCAACAGATTGTCCTAGGGGTGGGGTGTGAGTGGTTGGGCAAGAATTGAATGCATATGGGATGTGTGGGTTTGGGATCCATGGCAGGGGAGCATGCTTGGCACCATGGCAAACATTTTTATGGCTGCCAGCTTAGAGAAATCTATTATAATATTTACCAAACTTCACTATTTAAGAATCTGACTGTCTTTTATTTGTTGTTATATAATGCTGATCTATCTTTGTCTTGTTAGTAAAACCAAATTCATGCATGCAGTTCAACATTTTGTAGTTATGTTATTCTACTTTTTGACTTTGTTATCCAAATTGACGTGTGTCATAATGCAGAAGCAAAGACTGTGCAAACTTCCTCTGTAACTGACTTGAAGACATTTGATACTTCTGCCTCAATAAATCTTAAACCCCCACCTATTGATCGTCTTAAATCATTTGATGATGAAGAATTCTCCAAGAAGCCCACACATGTGAAGAAGACTGTTACAGCTCCTGCAAATGTAAAATCATATTCTATAGCTGAACTGCAGATTGCTACTAATAGTTTCAGTGTGGATCACCTTATTGGTGAGGGGTCTTTTGGGCGTGTGTACCGTGCTCAATTTGATGATGGAAAGGTATTTCTTAATTGTTATTTCTGTAATTTGACTCTATGTCTGATTCCAATGGCAAGGATTAGTATATCCAGATTAGTGTTACTGTGTAATTTTCCCTGAAAGGGGATCAAATCTCACTAGGATCCATACACTAACATGAACTCATTTATTGACGATATCCTATGAAGCCCGGACACTTCAAAACAGCAAACGTATCAGATACATCTAGATACTTATCTCAAGCATCTATAGTTTAATTTATTTTTAAAAATTAATTTCTAATCTAATACGGCTTAGATACGACTGGAATATGACTCCTAATTATTCAATACAATTTAGATAGAATTAAATAGTATAAAGACAAGACTTTCTTTTTGTGATAGTTTTATATTTCTTTTGGATAGAACTACTAATTCTTTTTGTGGAATTCTAATTTGAATAAGGGTAAAGTATGTAATTATTTTGTGTTTATAGTAGAAAAAATATTTTTACTTAGTTACTTAGACAAAGGAAAAATACGATCTCATGTATATTTTTTTTGTAAGATGTGATAATTAATATCCAAATATAACACATTAAATAAATGAATTATCAATATCTTTGTATAAATATTTTGTATATGTATAAAGTATATTATTTTTTTAAATTCATGTTAATGTATCTAAGCCTTATCATATCTTGAATTTCAATTTTTTTTCCATATTTCCGTATCCGAATTGTATCATATTCGTGTCGTACTAAGTATCTAGGCTTCATAGATGATATCACATAAGGTTGAGCTAGTTTTTGTGCCTCTGGTCTCTTAATCTCCAACATTTCCTCCCCTAAGCTCCCAACCCACCCCATCCCCAAAAAAAATAATAATTCAAAGAAGTCTGGAAAATCATTTTTATGTAAACACTGCAGATATTAGCTAATATATCATTAAATACCATGAATTCTTCTACTGTGGACCAAGCCTTGTATCTTGCTTGTGATTTCAAATAATTAATGATTTTGACTTTGTTTTTGTTTTTCATTTCTCAAAATTCTGTAGGTTCTTGCAGTCAAGAAGATAGATTCATCTGTCCTTCCCAATGATTGGTCAGAAGATTTTACAGAAATAGTTTCAAATGTCTCCCACTTACATCATCCAAATGTGACAGAACTTGTAGGTTATTGTGCTGAGTATGGACAACACCTCTTAATATACGAGTTTCATAAAAATGGATCACTGCATGACTTCCTTCACCTATCAGATGAATATAGTAAACCATTGATATGGAATTCCCGTGTCAAGATTGCTCTGGGGACTGCACGTGCTTTAGAGTAAGTTAGTTGTGGACTAATGGTATTAATATTGCATTTTGTGAGGATTTTTTGCATCTATTCGCAATTAATTATTTTAATCTTATTAATCTTGTTTTCCATTGAATTTTTAGCTCTTTCTTTCTTTCCTCTATTTCATTGTTTTATATATTTTGCTTGGCTCCCTGTTTAACTTGCATGCCGACCTTTATGTGTTTGACTGATTTAAATTATGGTTATCTTTCTTTATAAATTGCTTTTTGTTTTCCTGATAAAAAAAAGTCCAGATTAATACTATATCTAATGTTCAAAATTTGTAAATATAAAGCAGGAAGAAATAGTATGAACTACACATGGGAATTGAGTTTAAACTTGATCCACTATCACCTTGAAACTCAATACACTCAGTAAATAGTAAAGTACCACTTTACCTAAGTAAAAAGTATTTTACATGCAATATAGAAGTTTCTACCTGATTTTTAATATCTGGCATCGTGTAGTTGGACATCAAGCATAAGAATATTAAGTGAGCCAACATTGTAAACAATCCAAATGTTATCTTTGAGACCAAATGACCTAAATTTATCGACAATTTCTTTTATAGGTACCTACATGAAGTTTGTTCACCGTCAGTTGTGCATAAGAATATTAAGTCAGCCAACATATTACTTGATGCAGAGCTTAATCCTCATGTTTCAGACAGCGGATTGGCGAGCAATATTCCAAATGCAGAACAGGTGATCTACTGATTTTATAAAATTTGAAACTTAATGTTGTGAATTAATGTAATAATTGGATGTGATTTTATCTGGCCATACTGTGCTTTTTTTTTTTTTTTGGTTTCTGTTGCTAGTTTTCCACATATTTTTAGGCTATGCTAATCATTATCAATTTGTCAATTTCAATTTTTATTACTTTCTTTGGACTCCTGTTTGTTATGGAGGCTGCCAAATTTGTTGAATTAATGACATTTAAGAAAGCAAATGGTTGAACATTTAATATATTGAGTTACCAATAGCACCAGTCTTCATGACAATATGAACTTAGCTACACAAGTAATATTTATATTATGAATACAGTAACTTGTAGAATTGAGTCAGTTCATCTATTGGCTCAGAATAATAACAGCGCACTAGTTGGCTCCTTGGCTATTTGATTGGGAAATGTTCTTTTTTGGGCCAACTTTTTAAATTTAACAAGGTAAAATGTGTCCAAGGGTTCAAACACACTACGTACTTTGTAATTTACCAATATGGACAAGAAAATCTATGTGTTGTCTGACATATTCCATTGGATTTGGATGTGTTTTGTTGTTATTCTCACTTCATCAAGAATATTGATCATGCTCTTAACAAATGTGGCTTTTCCCTTTTACCCAGTGACATAAACTTGATAAAATTATTGATGTTCTAACTTGGGTTTCGGGTTCAGATATTAAACCATAATGTTGGATCTGGATATGATGCACCTGAAGTTGCCTTGTCTGGTCAATATACTTTGAAAAGTGATGTCTACAGCTTTGGAGTTGTCATGTTGGAACTTCTCAGTGGACGGAAACCATTTGACAGGTGATTGATTGCCATACCTTTAACCTAAACTGTTTTCTACAATTGATAGATATATATTATTACAAAGTAAAACAATTGAAATATTAATGTATATAAATAGATGCCTGAACATAATTTTGGATTAACAACTTTTTGGTCCACTTTCACTTTATTGAGCAATTTGACTGAGCTCTCATGCAGTCGACCTTACCTAGTGAGTAAGGCTTAGTTGTTGTTTTGAAACTATGCATAATATAATGTTGTCGCCTTGCTTTGTCCTGATTGTTAAAACAGCTCAAGGCCAAGATCTGAGCAGTCATTGGTTCGATGGGCAACACCTCAACTCCATGATATTGATGCATTGGCTAAAATGGTTGATCCTGCACTGAAAGGGCTATATCCTGTTAAGTCTCTTTCTCGATTTGCCGATGTTATTGCTCTTTGTGTTCAGGTATTGTCAGCAACATTTTGATTCACCCTAATTTTATGTTGAAAATATTTGTACCATGCTTGTTAATACCTTCCAATTTTATTTTTGGGGGCAGCCGGAACCTGAATTCAGACCACCAATGTCAGAAGTGGTTCAAGCACTGGTAAGGTTAGTGCAGCGAGCTAACATGAGCAAGCGAACATTTAGTAGTAGTGATCTTGGAGGATCCCAACGAGGGAGTGATGAGCCAGCTCTACGGGACATCTGAATACTTGTGTTAAAGTAGTGGTTCCAAAGGAATTGTACTCAAATTTTTCTCCATTTTTTGTCCTTTTAACCCTTGAATCTATACGTCTTTGTGAGTTAGATTGATTGCACCTTTGATCAACCAAGTTGGACAGTGGGTGATGTATGTTGTTTAAGCTAGTTCCTTCATTTGTAATATAAATTCCATTAGGTGCAAATTTGAAGCTCAGTTTAGCTTGATGGCTGCCATATTCTGTTGATAATGACCAGCTATAATTAGTAGGAACACAATAAAACAGCAAATCAACAGAATATCAATGATCAACTCCTCCTCTGATCATTTATCATGGTTGATGACTGATAACCACAAACTAAAGCTGTCAAGAAAAAAATTTACCAATAAAATAGAATATGCAGGGAGTTATCAATTTCATTTAACAATATCAGTAATAATGGTTGCTGTACAAAGATAGTGTCATACAGGGAATTGTCGATTTCATTTAACAAATATGCAAGCAGATTCTGTAAAACAGGATTTTAGTAAGTGAATACAATTGGTATCAGTATGCTCTCTTAATGGATACAATGTTCCATATGTTACTGTCTGCATTAATGAATACAAAATGGCAATTGCACACATACCACATAAATCATTGACTTTCTTTGCCATGTCTTTTATTTCCTTCTCCACTTTTTTTATGCTCGCGGAATAAGGTCCCAAACCCTGCATAAACCAAAATCTACTTAACACACCAGACAACCAAATCATAAAAAATCAAGAGCATTTAATCATTCACCATCCATACCACAGAGAGAACAACCACTATGCAATCGCTACTTAAGACATACCTAGTACACTTCATCAGTGATCTTGGAAACTCTTAAATATATGGATTGAAATTGTGGAGAAAAGTTTAAAATTTGAATAGCTATGCTTTTTCTGAGACCCTCCTTCTCTCGAAACAGGGACCCCTTTTAAATTGTGAGATCCTATCAGCTTGGGTTTGGGGATCGGAATGCGGCATGGAGGAATGGGAGAGTTGCTGGTGGTGGCGTCCATCACCAAAACCCTATCCTCTGCAACACCGAACCTCCCTCACTCTCTTGCGCTTCAAATCACACAACCCATAATCCTCAAAATCCTTTCCAACCCATCCATTAGCCCTTCCCAAAAACTCCAATTCTTCGAATGGGCTCGCACCCACCACACTCCTTCTCCCTCCGCATACTCTCTCATCTTCCGCGCCCTCTCTCGCCCCCCTTTTCTCTCTCACATTCCCTCCCTTCTCCATTCCATCAAACAAGACGGCGTCGTTCTCGACCCCCACTCCTTCAAACACCTTCTCCACTCTCTCATCCTCTCCCACCATCTTCACTCCGCTCTTCAACTCGTAGACTATGCACAACACCTTCACCTCTACCCTACTCTCACCCCTCTCATCTACAATTCCCTTCTCATAGCCTTGCTTGGAAAGAACCAACTCTCACTCGCCCTCTCCATGTTCTTCAAGCTCCTTGATGCTGCGCCTCACGTTGATTCCAAATCCGTCGCTTACAACCACTTGTTGGTTGCCCTTAGAAAAGCCCACATGGAAGCCGAGTTCAAACAAGTATTTCACAGTCTCAGGGAGAAGAAAGGTTTTTCCTTTGACACATGGGGTTATAATATCTCTATCTACGCGTTTGGTTGTTGGGGCGATTTGGCTGCTTCCTTGGCCCTTTACAAAGAGATGAAGGATAAGGGTTTGGTTGCCCCCGATTTGTGCACCTACAACACCCTCATCACTGTGCTTTGCAAGCATGGCAAGGTGGAGGATGCACTCCTTGTGTGGGAGGAGCTGAACGGCTCACCTCATCAACCTGACAACTTCACTTACACCATCCTTATTCAAGCTTGTTCTAAGACCTATAGAATAGAGGATGCCACCAGAATTTTTAGCCACATGCAGGGCCACGGTTTCCGTTCTGATACGCTTGTTTATAACTCTTTGCTCCATGGATTCTTCAAGGCCACAAAGGTTTCTGAAGCCTGCCAGCTGTTTGAGAAAATGGTTCATGAAGGGGTGAAGGCGTCCTCTTGGACTTACAATATTCTGATTCATGGATTGCTTAAGAATGGGAGGGCGGAAGCTGCTTACACTCTGTTTTGTGATCTCAAGAAGAAGGGCCAGTTTGTGGATGGGATTACTTACAGCATTATTGTGCTGCAGCTCTGTAAGGAGGGTCAATTGGAGGAGGCACTGCAGTTGGTGGAGGAAATGGAAAGCAGGGGTTTTGTTGTTGATCTTGTTACCATAACTTCGCTCTTGATTAGCATTCATAAGCACGGTCGCTGGGACTGGACAGAAAGGCTTTTGAAGCATGTCAGGGAAGGTGATTTGGTGCTCAGTGTTCTCAAGTGGAAAGCTGGAATGGAAGCTTCTATCAAGAACCCTCCTTGCAAGAAAGAGGATTATTCCCCGTTGTTCCCTTCCAAGGGAGATTTTAGTGACATCTTGAGCTTCATGAATGCCAACCTTGATCCTCATGATGGGGAGGAAAATTTATGCAATGAAATTGACGAGTGGTCATCATCTCCACACATGGATAAATTGGCCAATCAAGTTAGCTCCACTGGCTATTCTTCACAGCTGTTTACTTCTTCCCGTGGACAGAGGGTTCAAGAAAAAGGGTCGGATTCTTTTGATATTGACATGGTGAATACTTTCTTGTCTATATTTTTGGCCAAGGGAAAGTTAAGCATGGCTTGCAAATTGTTTGAGATTTTCAGTGACACAGGTGTGGATCCTGTAAGTTATACTTACAATTCTATCATGAGCTCTTTTGTTAAAAAGGGCTATTTCACTGAGGCTTGGGCTATTCTTACTGAAATGGGAGAAAAGGTTTGCCCTGCGGATATAGCAACCTACAATATGATAATTCAAGGTTTGGGAAAGGAGGGAAGAGCAGATCTTGCCAGTGCTGTTCTTGATAGGCTAGTGAAGCAGGGTGGTTATCTTGACATTGTTATGTACAACACTCTCATCAATGCTCTGGGGAAGGCCGGCCGAATCGATGAAGTGAACAAGTTCTTTGAACAAATGAAGAGTAGTGGGATAAATCCTGATGTTGTCACTTATAACACATTAATTGAAGTTCATAGTAAGGCAGGGCGATTGAAAGATGCTTATAAGTTCTTGAAAATGATGCTGGATGCTGGATGCAACCCTAACCACGTTACAGACACTACTTTAGATTATCTAGGGCGGGAAATTGATAAATTGAGATATCAAAAGGCATCCATTTTGAGTGAAAAGGATGATCCTTCGTGAGTTGAGTTTTGTATAGCTAAAGTGAGGTGGATGGGATAAAATTCCAACAGTCTAGGAAAAATGGAATTTGTAATAAAGTTTTTTTAAGTATACAGTTATCAATTCATACTACAAAAGTTCAAGTATGTTTGTACTGAAATGTAGTTTTTGGTGGGTTCTGACTCTTAACACTGAATTTGACTTGCAGTTATTAGAATATTTAAAAATTAACATGATATTTAATATAATTATTTTATTTTATTTTAGATACACATATTTTAACATATTTATCAAAATTATAAAATATACTAAAAGTTGTTTCCCTTTAAATGTATACAAAATATTTTTCTTTGACTTTTTGCTGTACTGTGCCTTTCGGAGAGAAATTGGAGTAAATGATTTTTTTTTTTTTGTAAATTTCTTAAAGAGATAATTTATGTTTAGCTTAGGTCAATAGGTCCCACAAAATCTTTCATTGGACAGTGGGTGGTGTATGTTGTTTAAGTTAGTTCCTTCATTGTAATATAAATTCCTTTATTGCAAATTTGAAGCTCAGTATAGTATGGTGGCTGCCATATTCTGTTGATAATAACCGGCTATAACGAAGGATTTCCTAGTTTGTGCAAAGCCAATCAGCTTTATTGGGCGAATGAAACGGGGAAATAACTTGCTGCTTTATAGATATGGGCACGAGCAACGTCAACCAGCCCTTGGCATCTATTTACATCGAAATATCAGCAAGTTTACAGCCAAAAGATATGCAACATAATAAGATAATTGAAAATATGGAACATCAGATGTAGCTCCCATACTCTTCAATCCGCTCGTTTTTCTTGTAACTCTTTATTGCTCGTAACCGTTTGTTCAACGTAACGTTATATAACCACCATGACAACAAAATTCAGCATGGACAGTTCAACCAGGGAAGAGCATCTAATCATCATCAGTTAGTTTCGCCTTCGATTATTTAATGCATCTGGTGTCAAGACAAGGTCGTTGTGTGATATCACAAGTTCGTTTCATGGTACATTCAGATTATTTTTCTTCAGCGCCGTGTACTGACCCGCGATTGACGTGTCTCAACTTTGAATGAGTCGTGCTCGTTATTTGTAGGCCAGTAACGAGCACGACTCATTATTACTCTTGATTAACACCTCGGTGTAAGATAATAATTATTACTCTTGCTGTTGTTAATAAAAGCAACGAGACACGAAATAATTAGCACGTAACATTATATAAAGCGTTTGGTAGAGATTTTGGAGTCAACATTCAAACAAACGAATTTCACAAACTGCAGATGAAAGAAACACGCGCCCCCTTAAAATTTCACTGGCAAAAATACCGTGTCACTAATACAGTTTCTGGGAAGTAGAGGAAAAAGAATATCTCAGTTGTAGACCATATACTTGGGAGTAGCACTGAATTTCTGGTATCCTTTGATGACTTTATTAACTGCATCAAGGAAGTCTTTCTCTGTTACAGTCTTCCTTCGGGCTCGAATAGCAAACATACCAGCTTCAGTGCATACACTCCTTATATCAGCTCCTGAAGAGAACCAAATATATCTTGGTCAAAAAACCAATCTCTGGAAACTACCTAAGCCTGAAGGACCATGTTCAACCATGGGGCATAGGAAGGAAAGGAAGTAGCAGAAATCCCTCAAAATAGGAGCAAGTTTTAGGCAGAAAACATAACTACGCCAAATGCTAAAAGAAACAATAAAATTTGATGAAAAACTCTAAAATAACAAACAAAATACCATTATACAAAAGTAAAATGCCAAGTTTTGAAGGTATTCTTACCGGTAGAATTTGGGCAAAGCCGAGCTAAAAGTTCAAAGCGGATATCCCTTTCACAGTTCATGGTTCTTGTGTGTATCTTGAATATCTGAGTCCTACTCTCTAAATCAGGAAGGCCAAATTCAACTTTACGGTCCAATCGTCCAGGCCGTAGTAGTGCTGGATCTAGAGTATCAGGCCTGGAAATTGGGAACAAAAAACCATAAATGATCAGCCCCTCCAGCAGTAGTAATAATTCCAAAATGGGGAAGGATAAAAACCTTAGCCATGAAACAAATGCAACAAGAGTTACATCGCAACCTTGGTTTTTAATATACTTCTTTACAAAATCAAGGGGGCAACACTGGAAAATAAAACTTAAGAGATATGCTAGAGCATAAAATACATGTTATGCTTTGACACTTCCAACAAAAGGGAAAAAAATACAGCCAATAGCCCCAATATGAAAGGCATCCAGTGATATAAATATAGCATCATGGAATCTATAAATCAATAAAGAATTACGTGAAAACAAAAAAGGTTAAACTTAGTCAACATCGGTACTTCTTGCACACTTTTTTTTGAGTTAAACCAACTACAAAATGCCATGGGATGGAAAAAACCCACAAAATCCATTTCCTAGTAGTTCAAAGTTCGATGTTTAAAGAGCACAAAATCATAATTTACTAATGTAAACTATGATTCGCTAACAAAGTCAAAATACAAAACATCAAAAAATGACAGAATGCATTTTATAAAATTCCAAAGCTGAAATTTGTTATATGAAGTATTATACCCCAAAGTAAACAAATTTTAGCCCTTAAAGTGAATGTGATAAATGGTATCCACTACAACAACTTAACTGCTTTGTAATTATGATCATAATGGTACAGTGCACACACTGACACTTTCTTAACATCTGTAGTAAAACTGAGTATGAAATAAAAATAAAATTGTATGATAGTCAAATCAGAAAACCTGTTAGTTGCCATCAAGACTTTGATATTTCCACGGGCATCAAATCCATCAAGCTGATTCACAATTTCAAGCATAGTGCGCTGAACCTCGTTATCACCACCAACACCATCATCAAACCGTGCACCTCCAATTGCATCAACTTCATCGAAAAAAACAATGCATGCCTTCTTTGAACGGGCCATCTACATAAGATAAAGTTTTACTCAGATGAAACCATGTCGCAGAAATAATTATGAAAAAAAAAAGAAGAAAAACTATATGATGCATCTTAGACATTCACCTGAAACAGTTCACGAACCATCCGAGCACCCTCACCGACATATTTCTGAACTAACTCACTTCCAATAACCCTAATGAAACAAGCATCAGTTCTATTTGCCACAGCCCTAGCTAACAGTGTTTTGCCAGTCCCCGGAGGACCATAGCAAAGAACACCCTTTGGAGGATCGATTCCAAGCTTAACAAATTTCTCTGGGTGGAGCATGGGAAGCTCAACAACCTAGACAATTTTATTTTTTTTTAAAAATTAGAGTCACATAACTTACATCCTCAATTATAATATCAATTGAAAATCAGGGAAACTTCTAATAACTTACTTCTCGCATCTTTTCAATCTGTTCCTTACAACCACCAACATCATTATATGTCACATCAGGCTTTTCTTCAACTGTCATCATTGTAACACTTGGGTCAATTTTTGGAGGCAACGGAATCTGAATCTGATATTTGTTTCTATCAACCCTGCAATGATAGAATGAAGTTCATTCAAACAAGCAGTCAGCATAACACAAATGCCTCCTCTCTCGACAGGTAATATTTTAACATCCAAAAGTTACTTATTGAAAACGTACCCAACACGCATCCCTTCCTCTATGTCTGTGGGTGAAACTTTGTCACCCAGCCCAACAACAAACTGCCATTAAAAAAGAAGGCAGAAGGAATATTAGTCCCAATTAAATATAGACAAGAATCAACAGCTTTGCCAAACCACTGGCATTTAGAGAACTGTTCAGAAACTGATAATTTCATAACAATAGCAAAGTCTAACATCCTTAAACAAAGAATATATGATAGATGTTGGTGGTGAGAAATAATGGAACAGTATAAGATATGAATACCTTCGCAATCTGCTTCACATTGATAACATATTTGGCATCTTCTGAGTTTGGATTTATGATCTTTGTGCACCTTGCTACCTGTTCAATAAAAACTCATCTTTCATTAGTAACACCCAAAAATATTATAAAGCACTTCAAACAAGATCAACAAAATTATGACCTGAAGAGGCTGCTCCTCCTGCATCATTTGTTTATCGGAAACAAGATCCCACTGACTTGGTGCAGCCAAACCAGTATCAGACTCCTTGATACCTACAATAACAAAAGAAAGTTCAGAAGTGTTAACTGTATGCAGTTCATGCAACTAAGATACTCAGTAGGAACGCAATAAACAGAATATCAATTATCAACTCCTCCTTTGATCATTTATCATGGTTGATGACTGATACCCACAAACTAAAGCTATCAAGAACAAATTTACCAATAAAACAGAATATGCAGGGAATTATCAATTTCATTTAACAATATCAGTAATAATGGCTGCTCCACAAAGAATGAGTGTCCTGATTTTAATAAATATACAGGGCATTATCAATTTCATTTAACAAATATGCAAGCAGATTCTGTAAAATAGAATTTTAGTAAGTGAATGCAATCTGTATCAGTATTTTCTGATAATGAATACAATGTTCCATATGTTACCATCTGCATTAGTGAATACAGAATGGCAATTGCACACATACCACATAAATCGTTGACTTTCTTTGCCATGTCTTTAATTTCTTTCTCCACTTTTTTTATGCTCGTGGAATAAGGTCCCAAACCCTGCATAAACCAAAATATGTTGTAAAAGAATTACGTAAATTAAACACACCGTAGACGACCAAATCATAAAAAATCAAAAGGGCATTAAAATCATTCACCATCCATACCACAGGGAGAAGAAACACCATGAAATCACTAATTAAGACATGCCTAGTACACTTCAGCAGTGATCTCGGAAACTCTTGACTAAAATAGATGCACTGACATGGTTGAGAAAAGTACTGAATTTGAATAACTATGCAAGCAGCAACAGACCCCCAATTACACCCATTCATCTCAACTATAAGTTAAAAACTTTGCACAGTTGCATCAAGACTTGCTAGCACTTACCACCGCATAAAATTCACAGCAAGCACAAAGCCCAAAGCTATCAATGCAAAATAGAGTCGTCCAAAGAAACCCTAGTTCCCTAACAATATTCTTGACATACAGAAAGTCCAAGTCTATGAGATATGGAAAGGGGAAGTTCCATCGTTTTTCATTTAGCTTTTCATAGAAATCATCCAACTTTCTGAAGTTCAAAAAACAATTACATCTACAAATTTGCAGTAGTAAACAGACCCCATTATCGAGAATGCATATTAAAGATAGTAATGGAATGAAACCCAGTGGCAGCAGGTTTAGTGGAAACAAAAATCTAATCTAAGATTGATAAAGTAGGGAGATCTGGAGAGGTAGATTAGGGTTAAGAGTTACATAGGTTTTGAGGAGGGCGATATCATCCTCGTCCAGGGGGCGGGGATTCTTCTCATCCTTGATATCGTCTTCGTGGTCTGTTGCCATAGATGCTTTTACTCTCTTGAATTTGATTGATTTATGAGTAACACAATAACTGATATGAAACTGGTTTTCTTCGGAAGAAAGCCAAATCGAAATGAATCAGCCACAGCCCCGGCTTTTATAGTAGACACGTTAACACGCACTCATTGCTTCAACCTTCAAGCCGTGTACTATCAAATACAAGTTTTTCTTTTCTTTTCTTTCTAGTTTATCTAATCTTTTCTTTACTTTCGGATGTTCGAAAAATAACCATCCTAAAACTATATTATATTAAAAAATATATCTAAAATATATATTTTATGAGTGATTAAATCAAGTAATACTTGTGTAATAGTAATTTTCACTCTGAACTTAATTAAAAAATTTTCAGAGACTAATCTTATACGATTTCTATCTCAAACAGAATTATTTCTATATAACATACTTCCTAATCATTTTTATCAAAATTTTAAAATTAAACAGGTTAAATCAAATACTAAAAATGTTCACAAATTAGCTTAGTTTAATTTTAGAGGCAAAATATTTTAAATTAATAACAGCAACAACGATCAATTTTATTTCATCATGTGAAATTAATTACATAAATCGTATGATGCAATTAAATTTAATAAAAAAATAAATATTTAAAAATATTATTTATTATTAAATATCTTTCAAAAAATTTATCCCTATTCATTCTCTTTCCTCACTAGTGTAGCCGGTAGCCTTATTTACAAGCAACCAAACTAAGTAAAAAACCTAACCAATCAAAATAAATTAAGTTATTTCAATTTCATAGGTCTTTTGCAAACCAAATGGATTTAGTTTATTAGAGTATATATATAAAAGAAAACATTAATGTTGGTAAGTTTAAATAATTATGCATTTTAACTAAATTAACATTATATTATATTATATATATATTAAAAAGATGAAATCTAAGTAATTTAGTTGGAATAATCGATTTTTTTAATAAAAAAATGATTGTATATTATGCTTGTATAAGAGAGAGAGAGAGAGAGAGAGAGAGAGAGAGAGAGAGAGAGAGAGAGAGAGAACAAGTTTGAGTTAATTAATTTGAGAATCGTACAATCAAGTTCTAAGAGCTACTATAATGAGGTAGTATATTGAATTATTTATCTCGAATTTTATAAAGTATCATCCCCGTGTATAACGTTGCTTCTTATAGAAAGAACATTACACAAAACAACATAAATGCAATAATTTTTTAATGGGTATAAAAGGGAAAAACAGAAACTATCAAAAGTGCTCTAAATGATAATACCAACACCTATTCCAAAGCTGATCAAATTTTATTGGTTTGATTTAAACTCGAACGGATATATCAAATCAAAATAATTTAAAATATTTGGTTTGATTTTGAGAAAAAGAAATGGGATTCGGATTAGGGAGGGATGGTCCGTAGAAGAGCTATACTTATTGTGAACAAATTCAGGACAAACCCGTGGAGCATACAAACTATACTTATTGTGATAGAATATATATATAACAAGAAAAAGTTATGAGCCAATCACTAATTCTATAATCATACACCACAGTATTATTCACAAATCGCACTTAAATCTTTCCAGGACGAAGACGACTGTGCCCTCTGCCTCATGGCATACACGAAAGTCGCAGCAGTTATCTTCATTCATTTTCCGCCACCACATTTGGCTCCTCACCTTGGCATAGGTACTCATCGCACAGTGATGCTGATCCCCAGTCCTTCCTTAGCCGCAGGATGTCTTCAGTGAAAGTTGAACCGGAGGCTCCAATGAACACACTGGACATGGCACATATAGTCTTGTCCAGCATAGCTTCCACCTTAAGAATAATAACAACATTCATAATGCACGTCAGCAAACCACACTCAGAATGCAGCAGGCTTCTGCGTTCCGAAGCAATCAGCATATATATAACATGCGTAAAGACTTCTTCTAACTCATCTTATGTCACTGCACAATCCCACCAAAACCAGGGAGAAAAAAAGACAAATATTCTTGAAAAACATCTCATTCGCTAGAACTTTAATTTCCGCAAAAGCAAAATGTTTAGATCGAATGATAGGAGAACTACCAGATTTCATTGAAACAAACACACAAAATCTCGGTCATTATGACCTGAAAGGGCCGATGAATACAACTTTGCACATAAGGATACAAACTAAACAAATTATAGACAACGCCCCTATGCAGTGGTGGTCAAATGCTTCCAATTAATTGTGACCATCAACATCAAATTCACACATATATAGCTAGAGCTGAATCATGAAACGCAACTGTAGTCACTTAAAAAAGATGCAGCACACAGATATAAACAGAAAAGGACGCATGATGAACATAAGATACAGACTCATCAATTTTTTGTAATAATCTTAACGGTCAATATGGTTTTGCAAACTGAGGTGAGTTGAGAGTTACAATATTGACTAAAGTTGAAAACCACACGGAAGAAAAGAAGCAATGTGATTGTGATCTATTCTCACCTGGGAGTCTCCCTCAATATGATGCCTGTATAACAAAGCATCCCATTTTTCTGCTGAATTACGAGCTGGGCGTTTAACAAGTGGTACTGGCCTGCCATTCAGCACAACCAAAGATTGAAGCAGACCAGTTTCACTTTCTGCCGCATCTGTTGAGAGATAAATGACGGGTGCATCGGCTCGTTCCACCACACGCAAGATACAATCTGCTGCCTGAGGAATGGGATAAAAGCAACTTGGTTTTTTGACATTACTGCAGACAAACAAGAATGAAAATGGATCATCGGAATTATTGTCTCAGTGATGAGAGATGAAAGAAGAACAATGGTAGAGTACGCACCAGAACTTCAAGAATCCGTGTCTTCGAAAATGTAAGGCAATGAAGTTCCTCCCCAGGAAGGTTTGAATGAAACGCTGAGCAGTGAGCAAAATAAGACGGCTGGGTTCAATGAGAGTTTTGCATTGGTGAGCAAGTGGACCACCTGGTTGCATCACCCACTCTTGTTCCACCTCAGCATAGAAAACATCCCCAATTCCCATAACATCATCTTCATGTGAAAACTTTGACAGAACATCCTGAACAGTCCTCTTTTTGGGTTTCCTAGTATCCTCATCCCAAACACCCTCGGGTTTACGCATCGACAAACCCAACGCCTTCAACTTCCTCAAGCGCTCATCATCTAGGTAACAGGGCTGAGGCAATGAAAAATAACACAGGAACTTATCCACGTGCATGCGATTCTTCCTTATGGTAGAAAATTCTTCGAAGGGGATCACTACCTTTCTTCCGATGCATTTATTGATGTGATCAATATCCAACACTCTATCATACTGATAATCCACTTTGGGACTGGGAATAACCAAAACGCGGTTTAGGAGAGCCGCGAAGAACATGTGCTTCTCCAAGCAAATGAGGTGGTTAGACATCTGCCCCGAAACGCACACCGCTAGCAAATATTTGTTAGCTTTGGGCTTCCATTCAATGGTTCTTCTCTGCGACAATTTCTGATCCACTGTTCTACACCTATCGTAACCCTGAGTAGCATTCCAAAAATCGACCGAGTTTGCAGTGCCGTGGGGATTGAGCAGAAGCTGTTGAATCTGTGAGTTGAGGGAAATCTGCTTGAAGAGAAGGGATTTAAGATCCTCCAGAGGATTCAGATCCTGCGTTTGGGAGGTGGAATTGGAAGGAATGGTGGAGTTCCAAGCGCGGAGAAGCCCTAATTGCTGTTGGCGGAGGAGGTAAAGGGCGCGCAATAGGGATTCGTTGGTGTGATCATCGACGTTGAGAGAGGAGGCGGAGAAGAGAGAGTGGGAATCGGGGGTGACGTAATAGAGGAGGATTATGAAGAGCGGAAGAATGGCAAAGAGGTACTTCTTTTGGAACTTCAACTTCAACTTCAACTTGGAGGTGAGGTGTTCGACTTGGAAGGAGGGAGGAGTAGGGGGCTTCCTTTCGTTCTGCTCGACAAGATTGTGGCGGTCGTCTTCCTCATCGGAAGATAAATCCCTCTGCATTGTTCCCTTAGCCACGGCGGCGGCGACGGCCACCGGAGACGGAGAACGATATCTGGAAGTGAAGAAGGAAAGTGGAATTTGAGGGAGTAAAGTAAGGTAAATGAATGAATGAAAACGACCAGTTACCAGTTACCAGCCCATCTTACCTTTTAAGCCCATTCTAGCATGCTGCTGTTGGCTGCTGTTGGACAGGTCCAACTACCCAAACGCTATTTTATTGGACTGGCAAGTCTCTAGAGAGTTGATAAAGGTTGCTTACTTTATTAAATTATTAATAATTAATACTACATATATTAAATAAAAAAATAAAAATATCCTCGTTTAAGATAAAATTTATTAAAAAATAATTATGCAACTCTCTCTCAATCTTAATCAACGTTTTTTTTCTGTATTTTTTAATTTTAAATAAATTTTAAAAAAAGTGTGTCAAAAAGGTACATAGATGGTTCAAGAAGAGTAATCATGGTTAAATGATCCATCTAAGCTGGCGTAACATGAGACACGTAGTTATGAACGTTGCTGCCACGTGTGCCTTCAATACATGTGGAAGCCTCCAGCATTACGCGATTAAGTCAGATTTTGAGGAGCCAAAGACACATAATTTGAAGCTTTGTGTAAATGCCAGCATTTTCTGAAATTTGATCAAAATCCAAATATTGAGAATTGAGATGGGGAAGACAAGAGTTGTATTTACGATTGGGCGGAACTTGAAGCTTAGCAGTAACATCACTCCTGGTTCTTGCAAGTTCGTCACATCCAAGCCCTCCGACCGGGCTGCAGTTCATGGAGTTAAGCCTCCACTTCCTGACATCCTCCGCGTAATCATATTCCAACTCTTTCATTTCATTTAGTTACTTCTCAATAATCACTTTTTTTAGGTGGGGTTGAATAGAACTCTGTTGTGTCATGTGATTTTTCAGAAGGAAGAAGTAGAAAAAGAGATTCAGAAAGCTAAAGAAGACAAAGAAACTAAGAGGAAACAGATTGAGAAGTCTATAGAATCCCCCACCGCCAACTCCTCCAAGCATAGATATTTTTTTCAAAAATAAAAGAGAGAAAAGAAACTTCGTACATTGCAGCTTTTCAGCTCTTCCTAGCTATGACATGGTACAATAGAGACGTTCACTGTCCAATTTGTAATGAATAAAACTGAGATAAGGTCCTCTAATTTATTTATTTGATTCAGAAGCATTTGAAATTTGAGAGGAGTGTTTCGTAGTTACATCCTCTCCCGGGCCATGATCATTTATTTGACACGACCAAAGTCAGACTCAAATGAGAGAAACCATATATAAATAAATTTAAGGGATAAATAACAACTAAAGCAAGATGAAAAAATAAGTTATATGGCAATAGTTTTGAACAATCATTCACGAGACCTTTTGCAAAGAATGAAGAAACTTCAAACTAGCATACTTGTTATTCATTTGAATAACAGGATATTTCCATTTTTAATATACTTTTAAGTAGCATACATAAACATGTATTCACTTGATTTCCACTCGAAGCAAGATAAGAATCTGTCCTGCCTCTACGTGGAAGTTGCTTCCTTACGTACAAAGTTATAATTCTACCATGTTTTTTGATTTACTGTAACTAAGCTGAAGCACTGCAGTATTGTTAATTTCTGATGATCTAGTTCTTTCTCATGATCTTATCTTAGTTCAAATTGAGCCGTGTGTCATAATTTACACCCTCTGCGTATTTGTTTCTCACGATACTTGTTTCACACTGGTTTGAATACACTAACAAATCGATAAATATATCAGTTGACATCAACGTTTTAAAAAATGTTACTAACATACTCTTTGTGGAAATTGTTTTAGATTCCTGAATTTATAATAAAATTTATGTAAATGGTTTCTTATTTATTAAATCTCATTCATTGTTTAAAGGTTCACGTGATTTTCACTCGACGATAAATAGTTGTTGAAAAGAATAGCAAAACAATTCTCCAGTCCGCAAGTTTCTCCGGGTCAAAACCACCAACATCATAAAAAATTAATAACATAATTTTTAAAATAAAGAAATAAGATATTCAATCAATAAATTTAAGTATCTTTTAACAAATTTAAAATTATACAAAAATTAACGTAAAAAAACTAAAACACACATAATTAAAACATTCTTTTGTCACTTTTTAATATATGGAGAGTCCATGAGATAAGTAGCATGATTCTCATCTAATCTTTTTGAAAAATTAACCCCGTTTCAATTTTCATAGAAAAATAAAACTCAAACTCACAATCTCACATAGGACAATCTCACAAAAATCCTCAAATTATGAGAAGAATTGTTGTCTCTATCATACATTATCTTCAAGAAACTAATTTTTACAAATTGCAACAACATTAGTGTAAGCAAAGGAAAAAAGACATTTATTCCGTTTTTGAGCCCTTTTTCATCTGTCTGTATACGTCCAGGAAGCCTAGGGATGGGTGGAGGGATGAGTAAACAATCTTGACATAGTCTTTACGCATATCAGCCAACGATTCATATTACTCGTTAGAATTCAAACAACTTATGTTTAACTATGCTACAACAAAGGGGCAAAGCTAGAGAATTTTTATCATACTGTATTTGAGGGGCTAATTGAGAAGTCCAAATATTAGAAGTAAAAGAGAAATTCGTAGACCCTTAGCCAACACTATCCCACTCTACATAATTCGGGTGTGACCCCCAAGTATAAACAGATTGTCCTACCTGACTGGAAAATGCCACTGCTCGGGCTCAAATCTCCGCAGTGGCTACACAACTAAACATAAAGTACTCATGCAATCAACTCATACAAAGTAATGTAACAAAATATTCATATGATTAAACTCAGTTTAATGTAACATGATTAAGTCAAGAAGATCCTGTGATCTATGTGCTCCCTTTCCTTAGAGATAGCTATTTTAGTCTCCATCGATCTGCCTACACTTGGCTGTTCCGGGGCTGATACAACTCAACTCATGATTTCAGGACATGGATGAGCAAGCTGCGATCACGCTGTTAAGAATAAAATATTTGTGGCTTTTATGGTGATCTACATAACATGCAACAAATAATGACATTGCTTTGTATTATGTTTGAAAACTCAGTGAAGCTTTACCCATTTTATTTTTTCTCTTCAGCCACTTCAACAAGCCTTCCGCAAACCCACTTTTTAGTTACTATAGGTGATCTAGATACCATCTCATCTTCAAGGGACGGAATTCCCATCACAGTTGGAGAAGGATCTGTTTTGTATTCGTTGCTCTGACCCTGCTCTGTTTCCCTTTGTTGACTAGATGGACTAGATTCCTTTATCTGGCTACTCAAACTAAAAGTTAAGGATGCACAGCCATTGGTTAGGTGAAGTTTGGGATCACCATTAACTGGCTTCTCCAACGAAAATTTGCCAAAATCTTCAGAGAACTTGTAGTCACTTGATGCTAATTCTGTGCGCCCATTTACTTGGGCCACCATTTGAGATTGGTTTAGAACTTCAAATGCCGATCCTTCTTCCTTATTGACCTCACTCAAACCAACTGAAGGACCATTACTGTAAGTTATACCTTGTGTATCAATGGATTCAAGTGATTGAATAGCTTCAGCTATTAGCTTTCTAGTTTCTATCAGAGAAGACTGTGCAATGGGACTCTTTGTTGCAGCAACCTCAAGTGCCTTGGCAGCTTTCTCAGCTTCAGCAATCAATAGTCTGTGCATAACACATAATTTCATGAATGAATACAGGAGAACCAGAACAGATTTGATAAATAGATAGAGTATTAGAACAGAAAAATCCATTAGATAATGAACTATTAGTTCTAAGCCATCTTTGGCAATGAATCAACAATGCAAAATGTTTTTCTTGCGTATTCTTGATAAATCAGCGTTACAACATAAATTAAAACCTGCATTTCTCTGACCTAATCTCCAAAACTAAACAGAATTAACCAACATTAACCCATAAAAAAATAGTTCATTGGAAGTACAAAATTTTGAGTGAAGAATGGAAAAGAACCCAATAAAAGAAGTAAATTGAAACGCATAGTATAATATTCTGGAGTGATTCTTGTCAGTAAAAAATGAGTTTACCTTGCTCGTTCAACAGCTTCAGTTTGTTTGGTTTCTGCAGCAGCTCTCTGTGCTCTAATGTTTTTTATCATTTCAAGCTTAGAATTCACCAAAGGATCCTTATAGGCAGGGGATTTGATTTTTTTCAACACGGCAGGATTATGAACTTTGGAGCCACTCTTAACATGGATGCTAGTATTAGTATCTCTTTTTGCTATAGGTTTCTTCCTGGTGGGTTGTGCACCATCACTTGGCTTTCTTCTAGGTTTCCTTTCAACTACAGCTTCAGTGCCATGATACTTGGCCAATGCAGAGCAAACTCTTCCACGGTATTCCTAATTTAGCATAAAAATATGTGAGTCCTGAAGAGAGAAATGTAGTAACAGAAAAAAAATTACTCCCAAATCTGCTTTGATTCTTAACAGAAGTTTATTAGTTTGGGTACAATATTTTGACAAAACTTATGAAGACCATTTGGTGTAAGAAGTAATTTGTGACATGCATGACTGCGAGTCAAAGCCCACAGACAAGGATGGAACAAACACATACATATCAACGTCTATTTTTTACATAAGGCAACAATGACAAACACAAAAAATGAGTGTCATTAGATTACAACTTCATCAGATAAAACATGGAACCTATGGTCTGGACTTTTGACTATTTTAACTGCACGTCCTCCTTCCCAATCCAACTTTTGTATCAAATAGAATTCACACCAAGGACCTTTGACCTAACCTTTTAACAATATTCAGCATTTATTAGAATTTGGAAGACAATTTGTAAAACAGATCAACATAGAAAGGTTTTACAGCTAAAAAAAAAGTTACTACTACTGAGCCTCTTATTCTGATTAATCCAGGTAGCTTACAGAAAGCAACTACAAGAGCTTTGTCCCAACATATAAAATCTCAAGGAGAATAATAAGAAAAGATAATGGTCTCAAACTATCAATACATGCCAAGTCATTGAACATACGAGTCTAAGAAATGTCATGTCTTTCTAACAGACAACTAATAAGATCTGATTTTACAATCTACTAGTGTGCTAGCTTAGGGCAAGATCTAAAAAACATTTAGGAGCTATAAAAACTATAAACCACCCAACTGCAATGTATTTAACATATACACCTACAGGATCAGCCCATTTTGCAGTAATGGCTTCTGCAATTTTCCTTCTCTGTTCAGGGGACTTGGGTCTTCTTCTGCAACCTGGTGTCCTTGCTTTTAGTTTCCTTTGTTCAACGCTGGCCAACCACTCCTGCTTCAGCTGGTCGTTGAAGATTTCATAGGAATTCCATTGCAGCTCTTCCTGACCAACATAGCCTTGTCTAGAAGCCTCTGCAATTAAATCCTGCCACTCAAAGCAGCAAGTATCCTGCGCCATCTTCTTTCCACGTCTCTTTTCCCATCGCATTTTCACTCCAGCGCCAATCTTCATTCTTGTTTCTGTACTGTGCAATCAATAAAGAAGGCTGAACACAGTAAAATTCTTTGGATAAAAAAACTAATCAACAAAGAAACAGTATTTAGTAGTAAGAACAATAAACATGGAAAGGTATATACTTACGTTTGTGCATGCCCGAGATTAATCAACTTCATTTTGACCTGCATTACCAAATTTTGCTAAGAAAATCGATTAAGAAATCTATATTGAAAAACTCTAACCATTCTACGTCCTCATTTACAACAAATTAATCATAAATTAAGTTACCATTTAATCCAGATTAAAATACATTTAAATAAGATTACAACATTTTAAAATTACACCAGAGAAGGGATAATAAATTTTGAATGTCAGATATTGTGTGCTTTATCAGAGAGAAAAAAAGAGAGAGAACATAACATTGACGGTTTGTTGAGATGAGCTTTAATTGTTTGCAGTTTTTCCCTATTTAAGAGTTTCTACTTTACGCACAAAAAGTGAAACCAGAGGCAGGCTAAATTGTAAAATGTGTAAGTGGCATCGAATTAAAATGGATGCTGTGGAGAGAATACGAAAATCTTATTCAACAAAGACATAAGAATATGCTTACATGACATCACCTTAGGATTCTGCATCGCGAGGCGTGTTTTTTCCCGGATTTTCTGCAAAGTTTCTGGTGACATATTGAAAAAAAAGATGCAATGATGGAAGATGATAAAATAAAGATTGAAGTGGGGAACAAGTAAAGAAAGAAAAAAGTACCAGGAGTATGTTTTCTTCCTTTGTTCCAGGGAGTGTTTCCTTTATTAGCTTTTGAAATCCTCATTCTTCTCAACTTCTCCCTGTCATCAAGTTGTTCTGTTTCTTCGTCAGAAAATTCAAGCAGAATGCCCGGAGAACTCAGACTTACCTCCAACTTGTTGTTGGAGTTTCCTTCTGCAGCCAAAGTCTTTGGTTCAAAGGTAGCAACTGCTTTAATCACATTGAACTTTTCCATTTTATGCTGCTCAACGGAAATCCAACACCCTTTCGCATGAAATGGCATTGGGGCTCCGAGTGAATATCGAAAGGATAGTTGTGCATTCGTTATCTCTGCTCACAACACAACATTAATAATCAATCATAATCCACATAAATAAATAACAAAAAAATTCATGAATTGAAGGGAGAAGAACGTAGTTACCAAACAAAGGCATGGGAGCTCATTCAAAGAGATTGAATGGAATTCAGGGAAAGATAGAGTGCATCTCTTCTCTCCACTAATGCGTCGTCGTTTTCGTTCTGAGAGGGAGGGAGCCAAGAACAACAACCTGTTTCGCACACCACAAATTGAAATAGGATAACGTAACAGCGAGTTTCACACTCTATCAATGTAAGATGCCAATTCAACCCCCCATCCCTTCGTGGGCCTCCGATCTCAAGGCCCAAATTCTTCTCTTTTTACTTTTTCCTGCCCGTCATAAAATATGTGAAAAGAATATCCGTAATATATTTTTATTATTCAAAACAAATATATATTATTAATTAAAATTCATGTCAGATTACTAGGTTAGAAAAATACCCTGATCTTTATTACTTTATATTAATGTATTATTCATTTGGGGTAAATTGTTCGGTCTTATATTTATGACCTATAGTCATTAAAGTAACTGAAACTTTTGACTTTTCCTTGTTAAGCTGGTGCTTAACGAAATGAACAAAAAGAAAAAGTAAAGAAAGGACTCGGCTTCGTATGGTTCATGCATATATCCTCTACTGAGTTTTAACTGAAACTTGTGCAAATTCGTTGATCAGTTAGAAGTCAAAAGTATCATAATGGGAAGAACCCATCATAACCAAATATAGATCAATACAAGTATAATAAAACTTGAATCAACGTCTTTGAAGTTTAAAAAGGAAAAGAAAGAAAAAAAGAGTCACTGGTGCTGTCATGGTTATTGTCAAAGACTAGGAATTCTTTCTTCGAAGTTTCTTCCCATTAGCCACCAAACGTGCATATTGTGAATGGGTCATCCAGAAGGAGTCAATGGTTTGAATGGTTATGTGGAACCTCAAACCCACCTTTAAGTTTCTAGGTATATTCCTAGTTTTTTATCAAGACTATGTTCCTGTAAAATAGTTCCTCCTTAGATAATACGTGTATTTTTGGTAGGATAAAATTAAAACTTGGTACGAAATGCAAGAAAGACTATACCTATATTTTTGTCGGATAGAAATCACAAGTTAAAAAAATAAAAAATAAAAAGAAAGAAAAGAAATGAGGTGTTTGTATATGTTTCCTGCACACATTTTTCGTACTATGCAGCACTTTTCTTTACAAATTGAATGCTACAGATATAATAATGAAAATGAGATGAGTTAGCATATGTTAATCACTTACTATATTAACACCAACTAAAAATATAAACCATATCAGAGAATACCAATATATAACATCCAAGATTTCAGCCTAAATAAGATCTAATTACAAAGAAAAATACAGTTAGAAAATTTCTAAATTCATTATAAATGTATTTTTATCACATTAAAATATCAATATCATAAAAGATAAAACCTTTGTTATAAATTAATTTAATGTGATTTTATTAATAATTTACATGCAACTGCTATTTTAAAGTAAAATGAAGCTTGCATCTACTTATACGAAAATTCATTTTTTTACCCTTCAAACTTTAATATAATTTCATTTTCATCTTATAGTTATACCGTTTTCATTAACATTTTTAATATTAATATAGCAGTTATAAACAATTGAGTGATTTGAAAAAAAAAATGAGACGAGCTATGATAGTGAAGTTTTATTTCACTAATTTGGACCTGCTTCTGATAAAACTTGTTAAACAAAGGACTATCGTACTTGTATGCATTTGGCAAACCTCAGTTAATGTCTCACTAAAGTTAACAAGGTAAGAAGTCGTTTTCAAGTCCTTAACCATAAGCTCCGTCGTCTGTTATCTACTTTGACAGGGTTGTGGTTGTAGACTTGGAGTGCCAAAGTTTGGTCTAATTCCATCATTAATTGGTCATAGCCAAGCCAAATTTGCAAATTATTTCTCGCTCTTTTATAGTCCGATTCTAAATGATCATGCATTAACCATTGTTGTTTGGGCAATTGATAGGAAAACTGTTACAAGGACACTCCCAAAAAAACAAAAGTGCAAGTTCCATCAATTTCACGAAAATCCAAATTCAATTTATTTGCCATTTCATGACCACAATGACAGTGTCACACATAATTGGATTGAAGGGAGTGCTTTTTGCGAGCAACTTGTGAGAAATTCATTCTATAAATAAATAAAAACTGATTCTAATACAGAGGTGTATTACTTGGTGGACTCATTTTTAACAAAAGTAGAAAAAAGAAGGTTTTTATTAGTTTATATGTCGCTTTCTACAGAAATTTATACATTGAATTGAACCATTTGAATTGGAGCGTGATGGTGTTAAATCATTGGAAGGGTCAAAGGAAAAGGTTAATGTATTACTGAATACTAAGGCTGCTAAGTCGATAGGAAATAATGCCATAAAGATAGGATGAGATAAAGAAAAAATAAGATTTTATTTTATTTAATGTTTAATGTTGATACTTGATATAGTAAAATAAATAATATTATGTATTATTTGATGTATGAAATAAATACAAAATAATAGAATAAAATATAAATAATATTTAAACATAATATTATTCAAATTTTAAAAATATATTTTATAAAATGATTAAAATAATTTTTAGAAGTTCTTTTTAAAAAATATATTTCTCTTAAAATAATTTTAAAAATGTTTATATATTTTTTATAAAAATTTAAAATTATATTTTTAAAATAGTTGTTTATAAAATATTAAAAATATATAAAGTTAAGTAGACAAAAAGTTATTTTATCATGATTTTTATTAATTCATCACCTCATTGATAGTAAGAATTTGAACTAATAATAAAATAAGATAACTAAAAAGAAGTAACAAACACTTAAAGATGATTTATCTCTGATCTTGTGTATAAAAGAAGCCCAAAAGTGAATAGTACAGATACAGAGGCTGCGGCTAATGGTTTGAAATTGAATTTACGAACGAGAAGATAACTAAGAAAGATCCCGTAGACGTGGAAGAAAGGGATACCCCATCTTCTCAAATAAATCAACATTCAATTCTGATTCAAATTATATTACTTTTCCATTTTTGGGTCAGCATCAACCAAGTTAGACCATTCGACTTCAATTCAATGCCGTCGTCTTCTTCTCAACTTCATTCTACTTCCTTTTTTGAATTTAAACTCTCTTCCATACCTTCTCATTCATAAAACCAACTCGGCTTCCTCTTCTCACAACATTCTCAATTCCAATACCATTCTTCACACCCATTTGCATCTGGGTCTTGAAGTTCGCATCCGAAAGCTTTGCTTTTTAAGTAAGAAGCGTGATGGGTGACTCGTCGGTGGCAACTGATAAATTGGGTGACTCCCCAGCCATTAATTTAACCGGAAAGATAATGGTGGTGGTCACAATACTCCTCTTCTTCTTAGTTGTAATTATTCTCTTCTATCAGTTCTGTTCTAGAAGCTTATGGTCTGCAGACATCACTCGTTCCCAATCTCGGAGCCGCCGCCGCCGCCGCTTTTCCTTCGCCACTGGTCACGACGGTGCTCTTCGAAGGGGACTTGATCCCTCGCTCCTCAGGTCACTGCCCGTATTGGTATTCCAATCCCAAGACTTCAAGGATGGTTTGGAATGTGCCGTTTGCCTCTCTGAGCTTGTGGACGGAGAAAAGGCGAGGCTTTTGCCTGAATGCAATCACGGGTTTCACGTTTATTGCATTGATATGTGGTTCCAATCCCATTCGACTTGCCCTCTTTGCAGGAATGCCGTTGGCAGTGACTCCTCCAATAATGAAGTTGAACAAATAACTGAATCGTCGTCACGCGCAGATAACGTGGAATCACCCACTTTTCCCACAAACGTGTTGGTTTGGGGTGACCAGACCCAAATAAGTTCTACTGGTGGTCCTTCTTCGGAAGAAAGTGCTTCTCAGCCATCTTCTTCGGTGGCTGACAATAGACGTCAGGGAATGTTGGTGATTGATATACCCAATGAGATCACTTCAACCTCTTTGTCGCCTTCTGCAAGCAGGTTTGCGGAAGATGAACTTAAATCGCCAATGGCAGCGAGATTGAGGTCGTTGAAGAGGCTTTTAAGCAGGGATAGAAGGTTGAATCCTTGGAGTCCTAGTTCTGTAGATGTGGAACAAGCAGGCGGAGGACAGAGCTAGGAATTTGCCAATCATGTTCTTTTTATTTATTATTTTTACTTAAAGAAGTACATATGCCACATTTTTTTTGGTTCCTGAGAGCTCAGAGCTCCTTTTGCATAGAGTGCTCTCGTAGTTGTGCTATTGCCCTTCCAATAGTTGTGCAGATAATGGCCAAGGAGAGTAATTGTTTCAAATATCTTTCTTGTATAAAATATAGGTTTTGTTGTAGTAATACAGCAGAATGACCCGCTTTCTTTGATTGAAGATGAGTTATATTTCGTTTTTTTAATTTGACCTTCATTTGCAAATTACAATTAGCCTGACCAAATTCCACTTCATTGTTAAGTGAAAAGCATTGGGGACGAATTGTCTTACCACTGTTTGCCAGGACGAATTTGCATGTTGTTGCATTGGAATTACTCAGTAATTAAGAGATTTTGTCTAGCTGAATGTTATTATCAGTCAGCGAAGGTCACACTGTAATTGGACTGATAACAAGATATAAATAAAGCTGAACTTCTAGTCTAGTGTCAATACTTTAAGGCCTCACTTTTTCGCCTGATTTTATGCTTCATTTATTTACTGATGGAATCTGAACTTCAAAGATCTTAGCTTTTAAGGGATCAATTTTTCGCCTTCATGCTATAATTGCCTCAATTTTGAACATTTTGATCCGAAATTGGGTAGAGAGAGAGAATCATATATGATAAAATGTGTACATTATTATTCGTGTTCACTATGTCTTTAATTTTTTTTGGTTTTGGGAATGATTGTGTGATAATGACGATTGAGAGTATAATCTCGTGCAAACTATCCAACTCCATCACCATTAGTCTAATTCTAGTGGCTGAAACTTCGTACCCAAAAGATTAAGATGCAAAGAAAGAATTTCAGTAATAAGAAGTGGGATGCAAGACTGAGTGTGCAACTAGCAACTAAAGCGGACCCAAAAATCCATTCCCTAAATAAACTCCAACTACGTGCCCATACAGCTCATACTAAAATTCAAAATATTAATAGTTTCATCACATATAAAGCTGATCAATTACATTGTCCTGCAGAAAATGAAGAAGGCTTTTTTTAAGCTTGTGTCAGTAGAATTTGCAACTCTAGTGGACCAGTGGTACATGCATGCATGCATACATTTAAGTAACCAAATAAAGGGGCCCATAGTTCTGCACAGCACGAGGGCTGTTTTGTTGGTGAAGAGACATATATGGAATCTCACTCTCTTCTCTCTTTGTGGATTTGAACAGACTTGTGAGAGGCCCAGAAGTTGGACGTCCGTGCTTCACATGAGGACCTTTGCCGCAGTAATACATTGGACCAGAAACATGGCCCTTCCTTTTCCCATCAAGCTTTCTTTGAATATTATTGTTTGTGGGTTCCGCTGGATGCTTACTTTTCTTGTCACCTTTCCACCATGACATCAGAAAACTTTTCCATGATTTCTTCTCCTTTTTCTCTTTCTCCAATCTTGTTCTCCCAGATTCTTCTGGGTGCACTGATGAATTCTTTAGCTTTTCTTCATTTACATTTTGCTTTGCTTCCTCCAAGAACTAATCAAAGCAAAGAATCAGATGTGCTGCGTGATCAAAATGTAATTAAAAACAATTCAAATGCAACATTTAGTGCAGAATTTGGAGCTCTTGCTATTGTTCTATCAGTTGAAGCATGCTTGTTTAAATCTTTCAATGTGCAAAAGAAAAATAGCATACTTCAACACAAACTCTATTAACAAGTTCATCAAGTGGTAACTGGGTAGAAAACCAATAACTAAACTGTTAGTACCTGGGAAAAGTCCTTCTGTAGATCAAATCCATAGGCTTCATAATAACATGCCTGATATTGTTGATGTTCTGGAGATTTATTCATTATAAACTTGAGCAGAACAGAAATATAAAGCAGAAGGCCTCTAGAGAAACTGAAACCTGATAGCTGCAAAGTAACGGGCATTTTTTGCATTCTAATACGCAGAGAAACACAACGAACGAGTAAGAGAGGCTTGAAATGGAAAATAATAGCTTCTAACCTTTTGAATTTACTGGCTTGAATAGCAAAAGGTAATGATCAATATCTCCTTATAAAGATATCACAATTACTGTGCCTGTTATGAAGATAACAAGATCTGGTGGTTGAAGTGCAGTGTTGTTGGTTTTTTTCATTCGCATTTGCTTATTAAGGGAAGAATTGCCGTTCTTTGGAAGGTGGATTTAAGATTCTCTTATTTATCATACTAGTACGTCAAATCTAGACTTAGCACAAGCTTAAACGGCTATGTTTATAATTAATAATGCCAAAAAGGAAAAGGAAAAGGAAAAGAAAAAGCCCACTCAGAAATCCAATCTTATATGATAAAACTTACAAATCAAGGCAGAACTGACAGTGAAAATACAAAGAAAGTAATATTTGGCTAAACAGCATAATTACGTACTTATTTAATGAGCTCTCAAGGTTTTTACCATCAAACTTCTTAGAATAAGTTAAAAAAAACTTATTTGAATAATCTATTCAAAGCTTACTAAAATAAACAAAAAATAACTTATAAAAATCATAAATTTTTATAAACTATATGTAAACTTTTTCAAGCATTCTCTTATTCTTAAAGTAAACAGATTAGTGTTTTTCTTAAGGTAAACCAATATCCTAATATTCCTAAGCAGAGTGAGAAACATAATTATAAGATAACAACTTCTTTTCTCCCGTGGAACCATATTTAATCCCCCATATCATTTTTAATTTAAAAAAGGGTTTATCTTTGCCTGCCAATTTAAGGGGTTTTTTACTGATCAACAGATCTAGAATGAGTACTACCAAGCAAACAGAAAACAGTTATAATTTGATTAAAAATAAAGAAAAAGATTACAAGAGGAAGAGATTCTTGCAGAAACGGTGTCGTGGATTCAAACGGGACTTCAGCCCTTGATGTACGTTACAGAAATTCTTCTATTCTCGAGGACGAACATCATCAATGAATATTAATGGGATTTAAATAGTTAAATAACGAAAAACGTTAATATCACTCCCAAGCCAAGGTGGGCTGGTTTTAAGCATAAGCATAATAAGTTAAAATCAGCCCTTACAGTGTGTTTGAATTTACATTTAAGTGATTGTAAACTTACGTTTATTTCAACCTACTAATTATAATTTTTATGTTAGATTTACGTTTCCATTATTTTCAACGTGCTTCCCAAACTTGCACATAATTATCAGCTTGATGAACTTGTGTCTTCACTCTACAAACTTAAGTTGTCCGCTTCCTGGGTTAGTAACAAACCAATTTGATTCGACCAAGTACGGTTCTTGACAAAAAGGAAAAGCCAAGTACGATTGATTACCCATTAAACTAACAACATCTCAGTATTAACTTTCTAATCAGGTGCAATCCAGTTATGAGCTGCCCACATGAGCATCATAAAAACACTCTTTTCAGAGTAGAAGAATGAAATTATTTGAAACAATGGAGGAAGCAATGTTAGGGTGACTACTGTCCTCATGGCCAAGCTGGAAAGCTCTGAATTAGTAATCTCTCAAACTTGGGGTGGGGTGAGGTGGGTACTGATTAAATAAAGACAAATAAAACTATAGGACAGATATTCTTTCGTTCTTTGCTTTTGTTGCCTTCAATATGAACAGGGAAAAGCAGGAAACTCACCAACCTCACTTTTACTTGCTAAGAAGTGCTCAGCTGATTTCCGAAGTTATCATCTAACTACTATTCAATATCGACAATATCTTCTCCAAGAAAGTTAAAGCTTAAAGATATAGTAACATCACGTGGCTTATCACATGACCACTCTGAAGTTTCTGTCACCATTTTCACCAAATCCAAAGTCCTCACAATACAAGATGCAACAGTCAAAAGTTGAGCACATGATCCCACATGAACCCAATGGCTTCAGATCCCCATATTGTCAGCGTTTCAGACAGTAATAAAGAATGAATCAACACTAATATAATTCACAATTCACCATCAAAACATCGTATCTTTTTAGCTTTAACACTTCACCCACTATGCAACAAGCCTCCTAACCGTAATAACCAAGATCCTTCCCTACCATGAAGAGCAGGTCCATAGCACTGGCTGCTCTTGCTCTTACATTGTCGCTGTTATTATCAACCCGGTCTACAAGAACCAAAGCTGAGGTTTGCCCATCCATAGAAGTGCATTCGTGGCCCCTAAGCAAGACTTCGTCTTCTCGTCGTGCTCTAGTGGATTTGCTCGCTCATAGGAAGACTCTTTCAAAGCAGGTGAATTCCAGTTTCCGAAGGATACCTCCAAGCAAATCAAATCCCACACAAAACAAGTAACTCTTTGCATTAACAGTTTCAAGCCTTTTCCATTATACGCAGCTACCCTACGATTGACAGAAAAATCATATTTCTATCGCAGGTTCAATCCTCCAACATATGGTTGACAGCCAGAACAAACAATACAGCAAAATTGGAACAGCCCGTTTTTTTCAGATCTTTATTTCTTTCATTTCGTTTCCATTAGGCCTTCCAAAACAACCATAACTGTTAGTGTATGCTTGTGTCTCACCTTCCAACTGCCTATGTTTATATGTATTATAATTTACATTGAATCTTACAGTTTTGCTAACCAAGCTTGTTGAGTTCTCTGGTATACCTAAAATATACGATATTGGTATTCTAAACAAGAGGAATGAATGATCTTCAGATTTGCACCAGTCATATTCATTCAACAAAATGCATAGAATATACTGGAGTGAAGGGGAAGCAGAAGTTAAAAAAAATTTCGTCGGAGGAAAAAAAAAAACATATTTTGCACTAACTTTCTCCATGCGATTGCTCATTCCAGTTGCATAGTCTATATGACATGGTAAAGTATACAAAATTACACGCAAAGAGGAAATCATTCAAACCTTCATGCATTAAATATTTGGGACCCTAGTGACAAGCTTAATGCCATCGTTTTCTTTAAAACACTTTCTCCTTTAGGTAAAAAAATTTGCCTTCCATTCTACGCATTTGATGCCTTCACTTTCTTCAGAGAAACCTCAGAAAAGCCACTATCTCTTTGTCGTTTCTTCACAGTCTTCTTGGTTGCTGCAGTAGCAGCAATATCGTACCCACTTTCAACCTTTTCCTTGTTAGACCTTTTCTTCTTCCTGTTAGAGTTATCATCATCTCCACCAATCTGAGTATTTCTCTTACTTTTCTGCTTTGTTCTTTTTGGGTTTCCCTTGAAGCTTTGAGTGCTCAGAAATGGTGCACGAGAACCTAGGGATTGGTCAATTTCTTTCCTCATTTCCTTAACAGTTTTTTGATTTGATTTACTATTCAAAGTGTCAGCAAGAAAGGCGTCATTTTTCTTTGACTTTGTACCAGTGGAACCAAATGTAGCATAAAAATCTTTATAAGTAGATTCTTTGGATGCTTGTTTCGACCTCCAATGATCAGCACTGGCAGCAAATCTGTTGTAATAAAGCAGGGAGTAAATCATAAAGATTAACTTCAATAAACTCAAATCTGAAAGCCAACAACATACACCACTACGAAGTTCCATCAGATGTCATCTAGCATAAGCTTTGAGAAGACGAGGTTAAAAATATTTTCTCAATGGAAAGTAGTAATCTGGACATTCCACAAGACATTAAATAGCCAACAGCATACCCGTCAACATCTAGTTTCCTTAATAGGTAAGAGCCCTGCTTTGTCTTGGAAAGCTCACTTTGGACAGCCAACATCTCAGACACTATAGCCTCTCTTAGTGACAAATTACTGGCAGTGAAGCACTTTTCAATGGTGAAAGCACCAGATGAGTGGAGTGCAAGCTCTCCAAAATGCTTATGTAGTCTACAAAATAAGTTAGACGTAAGGGGAAAAATAAAGACATTAATAAATGATTTTCAAATCCATTACATACAAATTTCTTGATATTTTCAACTTGTAGCTTTTCTAAAAAATATGCTAGAAGGTAAAAACGATGGAGGAAAAGTACTAGAGTCACCAACTTTCAATTTTGGAATTTAACCCCCTCTCAATTTTGGAAAGTATCTCAATATATATTTCAATCCATTTGGTGTTGGTCAAAAGAAAGCATTATCTAATGGATCCTAAACCATAAGGGATAAAAATCTAGCTTTGAATAAAATAGAATTCAACCAAATAATTGCTCTCATCTTATGTGCACATATTAATACCTATGATCCAAATGTTGAACACAAATCCCAGAGTCACATGACATGATGAAAAATTTTGGTGTTCTAAATAAAAATAGAAAACATAATTTAAAATCTTGTTGACAACATTTATCCCTTTAGCATATATAAGAATTTCCCAGAGAACACAAAAACAAGAAATGTAATTAGTAGACATACTTAGTAACCAATCTGCGCTTCTGTTTCCCAGAAGCACTTGAACATAGAAATGCCTCAATAACATGTGATCCTCTTGCATCTCTCACTGCTTCAAGCACATGAGTTGCTTCCATGGAAGTTATACTGGTGATATAAGGTAGTATACATTCCTATAAAAATAAAATGCAGGAGAACAGAATATAGCAAATAAATAAAAATTTTCACATAAACATGAGATAAAACTAGCACTTGTTTAAATAATATAACAAAGATTAGCTATAAGCAATTTATGGCATAGTGCATCCATCAACTCCCACAATATGCATAAGACATAAACAATACCATAAAAAGTTCACCACACTACCAAATATCTGGATGTGCACCACTATCTAAGCTTTACACATAGAAAAACAAATTGCCTCTAAACAGGGAGACCCCTGGCCCAACCTGCTAAACATTAATAATCTTTTAAAATCAAACAAGGATTCTGGAATCCACTTACACTTCTAAACCGGAATACTGTCTGCAGGATCAGAGAACCCATGACATGCATTTTAGCACCACTTGGCCAGCTCCAATTGGACTTATCTTCACATGTGAAATAATTATCAAGAAACAATAGTCGTGGAACAATCCATTTTGGAGATTCACCAGCTAAACACACTGCTTCAGAAAGGACTTGACAACACTGCCCCAAAGAAATAAAATGCCCATTAAAGTTTTCAGAAGGATGAGGAACAAAATTAGGAAAGTAAAATAACTTCAGTACGTAATGCAATTAAAACCATTAGGAAAGTAAAATAACTTCAGTATGTAACGCAATTAAAACCATTTACTTTTCAATTTGACGCAATCATTGTAGGCAAGTGGTTAGGTTTTGGAAGCAACAAATTAGTTTAGAATCACAAACATGTTTAAGTTCATAGGAATCCACATAACATAACACTGCAAATAAAATGCAAACCTTGTGGTCATTAACATGAAGCCTTTCACTGGCTGCAACTAGTGAAGCAGCAACGCCTGACCTTCCCATTTTGAGAAGATCCTCCATATTTGGCCCAAGTTCCTCCCAAATCAACTCCATCTACCAAACAATTGAAAATATTAAAACAAAAATGGGGAAAAAATCTGTCAAGAAACAAATGCCGTAAATTGCAATATTATGTAACCAATCCTAAAGAATATTAAATTAATCAGTGGCCACGGTTAACAAGATGAGGAAAATGTTCAGGATTGAAAAGCTAGACAAAAAGGCAAGTAGGCATAATACCAGATCTGGATTGCTTGCATAAGAAATTAGTGCTTGAACAACAAAGTTCCCATGTTGATGAGATGATAACTCAAACAAGGAATTCCTGAAAACTTTAGTGAATAATTCATTGAACAACGCCTTGGGAGATACCTCCAAAACAACCTGCAAAAGATTTAGAAAAAATAATTATCTCAAAACCTCTTTAGAAAAATTAATCATTGATACCTCCATAAAAACATGCACAAGCACAAAATTGTTACGTATATAATGGCCATGAAAATATACATTAAACAAGGTTGTATTAAGTATCACAAAAACAACTGATGAGCATAACATATCTAATGTTCAGATCACTGTCCACGAAGAGAAATTATTTAGGGACTAACAAAATTTCTTTTGTGATTATAACTGTGCAAAGGTTACTATGAAAGAAGATATACAATTCTAGTTTGCTTTTATGCTAAAACACTAGCAAAAAATCACATTTACAATAGAGTATAGACAGTTTAAAAGGAACATATGAAACTTCTCTTCAAAAAAATCTTTAAAATGAGAACTATATAATTACATGTAGCTTCTATTAAACTTCTCTTTGCATTATTCACAAGCTCCTGCACTGCTCTAGCTAATTATAGACAGTTTTCCCCAATCTGTATGTTGCTCACCTCCATCAGATGGCTAAATTTGGCTTCTTTAAACAAATTTTTGAGCTCCAGTACTGCTGTTTTTTCTATAAAATCTTCCTCTGCGTTACTCTTATCCTTGCAGCCAAGAAGGATAGGTATCACATGTAACAACTCTTCATCATTGCCAGCCAACACCCTTAGAGTTGTCTGCCATTAATTGAAGAAAATCCAGTGGGATGAAAGGAATAGAAAAGAAAAGCTAAAAGCAACAGTAAGCACATAATGGCATCATAGAAAATGTTTTAAGCCAAGAGGTAACAAAGTTAAGAATAAATTTTGGAATCTCTTTACAGTATGATAAAGCTCTAAGGTGAGCAGATCCAAAGAAAATAATCAAAAGAAGGCTACATCTCACAGAAGCACCACCATAATATCAACTCCACTAATCGAAACATTTGAAACTAGAGGCTAAGACAATGTAAAACACTGCACAAGCTCCCCACAATCAACCAAAGGAAGAAAAATTAAAATTTCAAATTTTAAAAAGATATACATCACATCAATTTTGAAAACATTTGAGTAACCATACAAATGTAATCAAAAGATTCTTATTTTCATATATTTTAAAAATATATACATCACATCAATTTTGATGAGTAGCAAAGAGGTATTAAATAATTTTGGATTAATAAAAAAATTGTAAATATTATCTAAAATTCTAGATGATAGGAATTTTCAATCTAACTTGAAATAAATTTATCCAATAAAAAGTTATTGAATGCTGTTTGATGCAATGTAATTTATACTGATGTAAAATCCCTCCTCATATGTGTGTGGGTGTAAATCATACCTGAAATACTAAACTGCTGAATTGGTCAACTTGCAGTGTCTTAATACATTTCTTAGCTTGCTTTAACATCTCTGACACGAGTAACTTCAGTAAATTTGGAAAACCAGGCTGAAAATTTGTTGCATCATCTTTCTTTGAAGAAAACTCTTTCAAATTCAATCGCTCTGCTAATACTGTAGTTGATTTAGATAAATAGTATCCAGACATATCTGATGGTACTCCTTTACAAAGGCAAAGAAGACTTCGAAGCACATGAGAACCATAGCAATTACACATTACATCAACAGAATTTGCTGCAATCACCTGCCAAATGAGAAGTATACGTATAAGAATTCACATTCAAAGCCAAAGAACAGCCTTCCTAGCCTTGTTTTCCTCTTGTCTTCCCATAATTTTATCTCTGATCTCAATGTCTCTAGACACAATGCAATATGATTAAAAAAAATTATGCCCCCATTAACTATCTAGTTTGGTGGTTAACACTCAGGCTTACATCCATATATTTGAAACATTAAAGCAAAAATTAAATTAGGCAGGAAATAAACAGTGATTTCCATACATCATACCTTGCATATCATGATTAAAGCATCCTCAACAAGAGGGAGAACATCCTCATCTTGAAGATGAGCAGCTAAAGAATTGATTGCAGTCTCGGCTACGTGAGAACCAGATCTATCCATTGAAATATAGGGGAAGTCGTTGGCAGAACTGTGAAGGAAAGCACAAAGGTGGTCTACTTCACAGCCCTGAAGGATGGTCTCCAAAGTGTGGCTAAGAATATAATCAGTTGCAATTTCAAATTCTTTTCCCCTGGTTTCTTCGAGAGCATTGGCACATATAATTGATCGTTCTTCCAATTCAACCCCATCAGTTTCAAAAAGATTAGCAATTTCAGAGAAGTATTTAGTTGTTTCAGGGTCAAGCTGTTTCCTAAGACGGGACTGTTGAGGCGGTGAGTGGAAGGTGTTAGCGTCGAAGGCATGAGTGAGTCCCCCTTTCTTATGCTTCCTCCTCATTCCCTTCTTACTTTTGGCTTGGTTGGGGGATTCACAGTCGTGCTCTCCCATTGAGGTTGTTGACGCCAATGCTTTTGAACCAACAGAAACCATATGCACCCTGTCAGTAACTGTAGCTGTCAGTGTAAGACTACATCAAACAATCAATCATCATTCTAATATTCTTAGAGAGAGAGAGTACAGATACAGAGGCAGAGGCGAAGGCTGCTTCTCTCGGTGGCGCGCGCCGAAAGGTATGAACTATGAACTATGAAGCCTCAGAAGACCCTTTGAAACGCCCCGCTTTACCGGTTCTCCTCAGAACTCCAAACCCTCTTTCGCCCTTCTTTTCACTTCCTCGCCCAAACAAGAAAATAAAAAGCAATCCCTTTTTTCAATTTGTTAAAAGTATTTATCATCTAACTTTGTTTTATCTTTTTAGAATTTTTTATATTATTTATTAATTATGACATTTTTATCATAAAAAACTGATTTTTTTAATTATATTTTTTTTATTCCTTTAGCTACTAATTAAGATCAAATAAATATTAAACACAACGATAAAAACAAAAATAATATTTCAGATATTAAATTAGTAATGTTGCATATATTTATTCAGTACTTAAATGAATTGGTCTCAAAAATATAAAATTATTTAAAATAAAATATATTACACATATGTTTTATTAAATTTATATTTTTAACAAGGGGTAATCCTTATCAAACTAAGTTGGAACACACATATTCAGTAGTTATTAAATTTATTAAAAAATTTAAATTTTTTAATAAATAATTAAATGTTTTTTAAATTGTTAAAAAGTATATCATGACACTTTTTTCTAAAACTTAAAATATTATCTTATAGAGATTGTTTGTATTAAGATTGTTAGTTTTTAATTATCTAGATAAATATGTAAAATATAAAGATTAAATTAAGATAAAAAAATGAAAGAAAAAAAATCAAGAAAAGTATTCTAAGAGCATGAACAATTATATACTCATATATGAAATTTTTTTAAAAATTACAAAAATATAAAGATTTTAAAATATTATTAAAGATTGTTGGTGCACGTGCGGAGGTTAAAAAAATCACTATAAAAAATTTTGATTTGCAATTTTTAAGAAATATTAAAAAAATTTAAAATCTAAAAAAATTCCATTAAAAAATTATAAAAATATTTAAAAACTAAAAAAAAATATTATTATAAAAATTTAAATCACTAATAACAATTATTGATACTTTTATACTAAAAATTGTTAAAAAAAGAATCATATTCCTGTAATTTTTTCGAAATTTCGTATTTTGCACTTAAAATTTTCTTTTATAAAGAAAAAAAAGGTCCAGACAATCACATTCAATTACGGCAAGCTTCGGGCCAAGTTTCCCCGGTGTAGTCATTAAAATTGTCAATTCTTTTACAATTCATATTTCTTCTGACTTACTGATCACACATACTTAATTTGTTAACACCTAATAATCACACCATGAAATTTTATCACTTCAAACAGACACAGACATGCAAGACAATAACCAAGCAACGCATGAAATTTATCGGGCTTGATAACTAAACAATTGATTGAGAGCGAAAATGAAAGATTGATACTCTAAATCCCTTAACCCAATTGATCTTGTGTTTTTATCAATCAATTACAATACCTAATAACTAAGACCACATTAAGAGTATCTAATTCTCAACACATCGTTCAAAATAATAGAACAAGATCAATAGGAAAATAAATAGTAGACAATCTGCTCAATTGCCATAACCAAACAATAATAGGATAAAGCTTTCATTTTTTAAGAACCAGGTATGTGAGCACCTTACCTTCTTCTATGCAGCTGTGCTTGTCAATGTCAGGGGATGAAACAATTTCCAAATGTGTATATACTATGTGTTGTATATTGGCATACCCAATCCGGCCTTGCCTGCAATACTAAAATAGCAATATTTAAGGAGCAGGTTTAAGTCCTCTTTGCCAAATGGAACGTTCCTATTTGGGGAAAGATACATACTATACAGTATTAGTATACACGGCGTTAAAATGTTATCCCATACGCTAATCCCATAACTTATGCATGTCATTAGAGGTGAATATTTGTTAGATTTAACTGATAGATGTTTGCATGTAAATTATCCAGATCTGCTAATTATCAAAATGAAAACCAAATTAACACCTTGTGGCCTTCTAAGGTGATCATTATAAATATTAATTATATAAAATTAATATAGATGTATACTAATTCTTGATTAACCTTAACATAGATAAAATGCAACAACCAGTCTTCTATATATTACTATCCGTAAACCAACATTAAAATAAAAGAAAGAAGACAACGTCATGCCCTACTTTCTATAAAAAGCAAGGGAAGCCTTCCCTCACAACCTGCAAGTTGACGCATTGAGCTTTGGAGGTATCATCAGCAAAAGTGTTGGGTAGAATGGATTCCATGAACTCGTTCAATGGAAACGGCAAGGTGGATGAGGTGGAGCAACAAGCATTCAAGAAGAAGACACGCAAGCGTCTCATCATCCTCGCCGTCTCCTCCATAGTGCTCGTCGCCATCATCATTGCCGCCGTTGCAGGGACCGCCCAACAAACCTCTTCCTCCGCCGACAAATCCGCCCCGGCGTCCTCTCTGAGAGCGGTATGCAACGTAACACAGTACCCCAATTCCTGCTTCTCAAGCATCTCCTCACTCCCCAACACCAACACCATGGATCCTACTCACCTCTTCAACCTCTCCCTCCGCGTTGCGACCAATGCCCTCTCCAACCTCTCCCCTTACCTTTCCAACCTCCAACGCAACGCCAGCGATTCACGCCTGCAGAAGGCCATCCACGTCTGTGAAATGCTCCTCCAAGATGCCATCTCTCGCTTCAACGATTCAATCTCCTCCCTGGTTGGCGCCCAAGACCTCCTTCCTGCGACCAAGGTCAACGACATTCAGACTTGGCTCAGCGCAGCCATAACCGACCAAGACACTTGCTTAGATGCTCTGCAGGAGTTGAATTCAAGCGACGCTAACGCCATTCTTTATGATTTGAAAACTGACATGAAGAACTCCACGGAGTTCGCCAGCAACAGCTTGGCCATTGTCACTAAAATTCTGGGCCTGCTCTCCAACTTCAATGCCACAGTCCACCGGAGACTGCTCGGGGGTTTCCCGGAGTGGATGGACCGGAGGCTGCTGCAGGAAAGCCACGTGACGGCGGATGCGGTGGTGGCGAAGGACGGGAGCGGACAGTATTCGACGATAACTGAGGCGGTGGAGGCGGTGGAAAAGAGGAGCGAGAAGAGGTTCGTGATATATGTGAAGGAAGGGACTTATGAGGAGAACATTGATTTGGATGCGGATACTTGGAATGTCATGATTTACGGTGATGGCAAGAGTAAGACCATCATCTCCGGTAGCCGGAACTTTGTCGACGGCACCCCCACTTTTCAGACTGCCACTTTCGGTAACCATCCATTCTCTTTCTCTTTATTTCGTTTTTAACCATAATCATTCTTATTTATTTATTTATTTATTATATATATATATATATATATATGTAATATCTTAATTTTAAAAAAGAAACAGTTGAAAAGATCCATCGAAATAGAACAAAAAGTTCACTTTAAATGCGTGCGTCAATGAAACAAGTTTGATGAAAATCCTGGCTTATCAAAACGTTATATTGAGTACCAAAAACATTGTCAATTTTCTAAGCATATTTTTAAATTTATTTTTAATTATTAGTTAAATTTATAAAAATATAAAAGAGAATTATCAAATTAAGACTTAAAATTATTAAATTTAAAATGAAATTGAAATAATTAATAAAACTTATCTAGTACCGAAAAAATGGTTAGAATTTGTCAAGTAAAAAAGTGGGTTTGATATTTTAACATGGCCCCGTAGCCTCATTCATGCCTGCAGGCCTCCATCCATTTTAGGACAATTGACGTGGCTTAAGATGGCCACTTCTTCAGCTTAAAAATTTGACGTTGACTCATTTTGATTTTCCTTGGCTTTTTGGCAGTGAAGATTATAATTTGTAAATTACCCTTGTGGTATTCCAAGGATGGAATTCTGAAAGAGGTGTAACGAAAAAACAATACCAACCTGGGAATCAACCAATAAAATAATAACTGTTTTATATATATTTTTTCTTTCTAATGTCTTTTTTTGTGTTGATTTCATAGCGTGAAATAATATATAATATAATTTATGTTAAATTGAATTTGCAGGTGTGAAGGGAAGGGGATTCATCGGGAAGGACATAGGATTTGTAAACAGTGCAGGTGCAGAGAAGCAACAGGGCGTGGCAATGCTATCTGCCTCGGATCGCTCAGTGTTCTACAGGTGTTCATTCGATGGTTTCCAGGATACTCTATATGCCCACTCGAACAGACAGTTCTACCGTGAGTGTGACATAACTGGAACCATTGACTTCATTTTCGGGAATGCAGCTGTTGTGCTACAGAACTGCAATATCATGCCAAGACAACCCTTAGCAAACCAGTTCAACACCATCACTGCTCAGGGCAAAACCGATCCCAACCAGAACACTGCCATTGTAATCCACAAGTCCTCAATCTCTGCGCTCCACGATCTTCAGTCTCCCACATACCTTGGTAGGCCTTGGAAAGATTACTCCACAACTGTTATTATGCACTCTGATATTGCCTCTTTCGTGAACCCCGCCGGCTGGACAAGCTGTTACCCCAACGAAGACCCTCCAAACACTATACTATATGCTGAATACCAAAATACTGGGCCGGGATCAGACACTTCACAGCGTGTTAAATGGCCCGGTTATAAGCCCGCTCTCACAGAAGAAGAGGCAGGGACATTCACCGTCCAATCCTTCATCCAAGGCCCTGAGTGGTTGCCGGACGCTGCTGTCCAGTTTGAGCCCACCTTGTAACCTTAATATGGACCACACCCATACTACATTACATTGGACATTGACTAGAGACCCCAAACAACCTCGATTATGTCATTCTGCAAAGTGGAACATTGAGTTTTCATCCGTAGACTACATATAATTTTACTTTACCCGAACACGTCTCTTTTACTGAATATTTGTTCGAAACCCTTAAGATTCTTTTTAAAGTAGTTGACTCATTTCCTTGAGTTATTGAATGTAACATTTTAAGGTAAAAGAGGCCACAAAGTATGCTAAGGCAAGGGATGGATATTTTATTATGTTTAGTAATGATTGTTACTACAGGGGAAGCAACCACATAAATTGTGGCCAGAAACTAGTGGGTTATACTGGTTCATGATCTTTTGTGCTTGTTCAGTGGACTCCTGGATTTGCTCCAAGTGCTGCCGTCTAGCTGATACTCTCCACTCTTCAGCTTTTCGGTGAACCATTGCCATCCTCTTCATCAACTTCTCTTCCAAGTTTGATCTCATCTTTTGTATTTTCACCTAAAACAATTGTTTCAACGAGATTTCTTAGTTTCATCGCTTTTGAACATTGTTTGAAGCTAATGATAATCTGTATTGTTTTATAAGCAAACTTGCGCTTTTCAATAACACACAGAACATAGCATCCTACACGTTTAAAAGGCGTTAATTGCGCTAAGCGTTACTTACACACTCGTACACACAAACTCACTCCTATAAATCGTAAAAAATTAATACAGGGTGAAAAGTGATCCCTGAGACAAAAACGGTGTTGTAGGGGCTAAGAATCAAATTATATATAATAAATTTCCTCCTTTCCCTATTCCTCGCACAATACACTGTAATTCAATCTCACTGTAACCTTTAATCTGTCCAAACAATTTTAAACCCGTTCTACACCAAATAAAAGTGCGAGAATCACCATCCACTTTATTTCAAGTTAAAAAGGAGTGGAAAAAAAAAAAATCAATGGTGGCAAATAGGACTATAATTCGCCAACTCAACTCATATGCTCCAAGTTTCCTACGAATTTCTAAACAAAACAATCACATGTGCTGCACTGCTCCTTAATATAATATTGGGAACAGAATAACATATGGGATTATAGTTCTTATTGAGAGAGGGAAGCATAAATATGGATCTGTATGAGATAGAGGAAGTGTGAACTGGTCGAGAAAATAAAAATGAGAATGGTGTCCTTAAGCTGGGGTTGGCTCGAGGACGAAGCAAACAGCACGACTAGCAAACCACTTTGGATTGTAGTCAAAAGTTCAAACCACCAACTTACTGCCAACTTGTATATGCATTATTTAAATGCAAATCATCTTGGGTTTCTAATCTGGACTTACAATTTATGAATAGTCAAAGAACTTGTTGGAAGCATAAAAGCTACGGTTCAAGTAAGGATACTGTGTACTTGCCTGTTATTATTTTCGACGCGAAAAACAAGGAACAACAAAATGGAGGAGAAAGAAGACCAGCCAATAGGAAAACTTTTTTGTCATGTTTAATTAAGAAAAGCTTTAAGCATAATTTATATCCTGATTCGATAAATTACCGGCATAATTTAGAGAATAAGGGACTTAAGTTCTTATGTTCTGGTAAACAATATCTAGTGAAGGGTTAATAGTAGCTTTATATTGCAAACTACTAACGGTTTCTACTGGAATTATTGACAACCATAATTTATAAGAAAAAGAAATACCTCAAGCTTTCTTGATTGTGCTTCGGCTTTAGCATTCTGGAGATCTACCCAAGCTTGAATTTTTGCTTCTTCTCTCTGATACCTGCAACTTAGATACATTTCAGTCCAGCCATACACATCAGATAAAGCTTAGAAACTACTATATCTGACAACTTTAAGATTTATTTACCTGAGACAGCACTTGGTCTTTTCTTCTTCTTCCCATGTAGGGACTCTGCAGTCTGATTCAGCTTTTCGGCTATGATTATGTCTCAAGCTTTTTGATATTTCCTCTTCCTCCTCTTCTCTTGAGCTCCAATGTGATGTGACCGATCCTAGTTGCAATTTAGCGAAATGGCACTCCTCCAGCCGAATAACATCGATGGTGCAGGTAGTGTTATTGTGGTTTGGCAAGGACAATGGTCCTGACCTATTTGCAGGAGTGTTATGGCGAGGAGGGGATGAACTCTTGAATGGGGTGTGGCATCTCGAAGTTGTACAACTTCCAAGAGGACTCATCTCCGTGCCAACATCCTTATGAACCACTTCTGTGCATGCATCATTCATTGCCTCTCCAGTTGGGTTTCCAAACAGAAACCCTTCCCTGAAATTTGGGAAAATGGGCTCTGTGCTGTCTGTGAACTTATCTGCATTGTAAATGGAATACACTATCTATCAACGGGTCGTTATAGAATTGAACTCAGTCATATCTATCAGATTTGGTAGCAAAAGCATTTACAAATCATGAAAAACAATTCTCAAACTATTATACAAGAATTTTTTATTTTAAATATTCAAAATAAGCGGGAGCTTGAAACTTAGTAAAGAGAAGGGAGTGATAATGATGAGCATAATAATAGGACCTTTTGATACAATGTCTGTGGAGTATGAGATCCCATTAAAAGCGTGGAGTGAGTGATGGTGGTCCAAAGATGCTTTGGTCACCCTTTCTGCTGTGACTCTCGATTTGTCCGCAAAATCTTCCATTTGCCTGCTGATATTTGAAGTTTGACATACCTTTACAGCATGAGATGGGGAGTCATGACTTGTGAGCCATTTCTCTGCATCGTCCCATTTGGAAGGGAAGCTCTTTCTTGAAACACTGTTGTTGAAGCTGAAAACGGGTCTACCAGGGGTAGAGGGACCCTCTACTCTCCTCTGTGTCACAGAGTTGCTTCCTTCTCTTCTCCTGTGTGCCCAAACCTGCTCAAGAAATTCTCCGCTATCTGCAAAAGGGTTGCTTTTGCTTTTATCATTACCATACAAACTCATGTTGCTGGTAATTCCTGAATCTCACAAGAGCCAAAAAAGAAAAGCCAGTTAGCTCTGTAATGCAAGAGAAGAGAAGTGAATCAAAGCGAATGACTTAAACTGTGGCAGTGGCAGGGATGGGGTTTGGGGTATCCATCACAGCATACTGAACGGAAAAAAGCAGTGCAGTCTTCACTAATGACTAATGAGTAGATGGAAGGAAGCATGAGGCTCCAAAATCACATGGGTCGACACAAACACACCCTTCTCACTCCCTTCCAACTGAGACACATGTTCCTATGTCCAGTGCAAGAAGACGAAAATTGTGCATCATCAAAAGAAGAGGTGAGCTTCGGGAACTGCATAGCATTAGCAAATCATTTTAACAAACAACATCAATATCAAAAATCAAAATTGGTGTCTGTCATATGCTATTGCTCACTAAGCTGCGCGGTTTGGTATTAGTAATGCATGCTTGTTAGGTTCTTTTGTTTTTACTTTTTTATGAAAAAAGGAAAGAGAGAGAGAGAGAGAGAGAAGCTTATGCATGCATCAACTGCTGTAGCCTAATTTGGTTATATGTAAATTTTGGTGAGTATATTTTTTCATAATATTTTACATAAAAATAATATAAAAATTGTGTTTTTTAATAAATATAAAATAAATAAAATGTTATTAAAATTATTAAAAAATTTGCAGAATAATAAATTAAATTTTTAACATGACATAACACTATTAAAAACTCACGCAAATCATTGATAAATTAATAACGGGTAACGTTTTGATTTTGCATGAACTGAGAAAAAATGTTAAAACCTGTATTGGTTGGCCCATCAAAACGAAGTTTAGCTGTCAAGTCAACGCAGGGTATGTGTGGCTTTATATGTAGCCGTGTACGGAGGTAATGTGTTACATGGCGTCCTTTCAGTACTTTTTAAACTCGTTTTTTTACCTTCAACCACGTGAAAAAATGTACATAATTATTTGGGTATATGTTTTTTTATTCTAGTTCTCCTTATCCGCAGGGAGAAAGAATGACTAAACTCTGCATGTAATGAGATTTAGACTCTTTAATTTGCGTGAGAATTTGAAGTTTTTTTTTTTTGCTTAATAAATTGGAAATTACTCAAAGAAATTAGACAAAAATAATAAAAATTATTCAGAACTTTTGCTTAAACAAATCTCGTGTCATGTAATAAGTAAGTCCTGCAAAAATTATGGAATGAATTGGGGGAGATGAAAGACTCTGGCCTAAAATTTCCGACTTTCTTAAAGTTAATTTATTTAATGGTGAATAAGTATTTGTACGGAGAAGAGAGGTTTGATGGAGAGCCTTTATTTCTCCTAGGGAGATAAATTCAAAGAGCTAAGATAAGTGTATTTCGACGTTTGTCCATTATGAGAATAAATGAAAATTGGAGTTACAGATTGTGAATGCCATGAATTTGAAGCTTGAAGCTTCTATTAAGCTTCCTTTGGGTTGTTTATGTTGATAGTTAAGCTAAAATTAGGAACTGTTTTATAAGACAGATATAGGTTCTGTTATTTTTGTTTTGTTTTTGTTTTTTTTGTATATTACTCTCTCTGACACTTATATAAAGGAATGTACTATTATCACAAAACATGACATTACTTTTTACTTTTGCATTGTCTCTCTCTAAAAAAACCCTTTATAGTATCAATAGCATAGGTCAGTCCACAACGGACAGTACATAAAATACGCCCGTTGTGGCAGAGTTGAATTCCAAGGCCACAGAGGAAGATAGGAAGAACCACAGAGCACAACTAAAGTTGGATAGTAAAGCCAGATACCTTATCTATCAGTGTGTAACGCCAAAGATTTTCAACAAAATTTCAAAGGCAGCCACTACTAAAGAAGCTTGGGGAATCTTGGTCAAGACTTATGGTGAAGGGGACAAGAACAAGAAGGTAAGATTGCAAACCCTGCGGTGGTAGTTTGAGTTTCTGACCATGGATGAGAGTGAGACCGTGGCAGATTATTTTGACAAGGTTCAAGAACATGTCAATGCAATGCGGGCTTGCAAAAGTAACATCTCAGATCAGAATGTCATGGACAAGATCTTGAGGACTATGCCACCTAGGTTTGATCACGTGGTTGTTGCTATTGAGGAAACACGAGATTTGGAAACTATGGAGATTGAGGAGCTGCAACATTCATTGGAGTCGCATAAATACAGAATGAATGAACGACGTATTTGCCAAGAACAAGTCTTGCAAGCTTGTTCATCATACAAAGGAAAGGGAAAATTGTTCAAGAAGTCAGGCAAGAGTAATACCAACATAAAGATTCACAAGAACAGAAAAATGAAGGCGTGACTGAGTTTGGAAGACGCAAAAGTCAAAAGGCTATGGCTAATTCTGATGGAGAAAAGGAGTGGAAATTTGATAAGATGAAAGTCAGGTGTTTTAATTGTCAGAAGTTTGGGCATTTTGCCAAAGAATGTTGGAAGGGTGATGGTGCAAAGAACAAACCCAAGAACCAAGCTCATCTGGCACAGGACAACACGTCTGACTCTGAAGCAGTGATGCTGATGGCAAGAACGAATGAAGATGAATCAAAGGATGCGTCATGATATATAGACTCAGGATGTTTGACCCATATGACTGCAAAGAAAGAGTGGTTTGTGAAGATGAAGGAAGTGCTTGATGGGAAAATCAAGTTTACTGATAATAGGAGTTTAATGGCAGAAGGGTCTGGCAGAGTTGTTCTTCGAGATACAGATGGCAGAGAAGTTGTGATAGAAGAAGTGTTATACGTGCCAGGGCTAAAGACCAATTTACTGAGTTTAGGCCAACTTTTACAGAAGGGTTTTGTGATAAGGATGAAGGATAATAGCCTCGGCATATTTGACCAAAGTAAAAGATTGGTTATTAAAGCAAACTTGTCACAAAATAGGACTTTTCGTGTAGTCATGAAAGCTGTGAAGCACCAATGTTTTTCTACAGCAAGAAAAGAAGTGGAGTGGTTGTGGCATTTGCGCTTTGGGCACCTAAATTTCAAAGACTTATTCCAGCTAAGCCAATACACAATGGTCAATGGCTTACCACTGGTTAATATCCCTAAAGCAGTATGTCAGGAGTGTGTCCAATGCAAGCAAGCCAGAGGCAGTTTTCAAAGTTTCTTACCTCAGAAGACATCAGAGAAGTTGGCAATTGTGTACTCAGATGTATGCGGGCCCATACAAACTGAAACTCTAGGAGGTAGTAGATACTTCGTTCTATTCATTGATGACTGGACTAGAAAAACGTGGTCATACTTACTCAAGAAAAAGAATGAAGTTCTGGAAGTGTTTCAAAAGTTCAAACACATGGCTGAGAGACAAAGTGATAAGAAGTTGAAATTGTTGAGAACAGATGGAGGTGGTGAGTACACATCAGCAGAGTTCAAGCAATACTGTGATAATGAGAGAATAGTACACGAGATAACCCCTCCCTATACACCAAAGCACAATGGTACTGCAGAGAGGAAAAATTGAACCATATTGAACATGGTGAGGTGCATGTTGAAAAGTGAAGAGCTGCCAAAATTTCTGTGGGGTGAGACTGTGTTGACTGCTACTTACATCTTGAATAGGACTCCCACTAAAAGGTTAAAGAACATCACTCCAGAAGAAGCATGGACCACAGTTAAGCCAAATGTTGAGCATTTGAGGGTATCTGGCTCAGTATGCTATAAGCATATACCAGATCAGCTGAGGAGAAAGCTAGATGATAAAGGGGTACCATTAATACTGATTGGTTATCATACAACTGGTGGGTATAAGTTGTTTGACCCAGAGATAGGACAAGCTGCTATAAGTAGAGATGTGGTGGTTGATGAGAACAGAACTTAGCCGGCCTGGTTTCGGCTGGTAAGCGAGCTCTACTATATATGGATACTGCCCTCTGCTGTTAGCGGTTTCGTTTGGTTGTCCTTTCCGTTTTGTTCTTTCCATTAAAGCAATCCTGCTTTTTCGAGCTTTATTGGGTCTAGGTCTAGTTGAGACTGAAGTCAATGCCCCTATTGTAAGGAAAATGGCGAAAATCATATTTCTTATAGAAGTAGTGTTCCTGATTGTCGCTACTGCGGGTAAGAAGATCTTTTTCTGCCCAGTCTTCCTAGTTGATCCTTTTTCAGTCTGGGATGCCAGCCTTTAAAGTAAAGTAAAGTAAAGTAAAGTAAAGTAAAGTAAAGAAAGTAATTGGTTCAGTTCCTCGGCTTCGGCATCTTAAGATGCAGTGCCCGTCATTCCTATCAGTACGGGTGAGGGGTCGAGATCCGTTATTAATGAATGTCTCCTCTGGCCGCTTCTTTTTTGGATTGCCCTTGCAGGAAAGAAATATCACACTTCAGCTGGATGATGAGTCTTTAAGAAGTGAATCTGCTGCAACTCATGAAGGGTCTACTGATCAAGGAGAAAATCTAAGGAGATCTTCTAGAACGTCACCATCTCATTTGAAGGACTATGACTTGTTCTATGAGGCTGCAATCACCTCAGAGGGAAACTTTGTGCACTATGCACTCTTAGCCAAGGTTGAACCTGTTACTTTTAAGCAAGCTGTTGCAGATGATAGGTGGTTGAAAGCGATGCAAGAGGAGATTGAATCCATTGAGAAAAATCAAACGTGGGAATTGGCCAAGCTGCCTGTAGATAAGAAGCCAATAGATTTGAAGTGGGTTTACAAAGCCAAAGTAAATCCACAAGGTGAGATTGTCAGATATAAGGCCAGGCTAGTTGCAAAGGGCTTCCTACAAAAAGTTGGAGTAGATTATGATGAGGTATATGCACCCATGGCTAGGATGGAAACTGTGAGACTTGTAGTAGCTTTAGCAACTCAACTTGGTTGGACTTTACATCAATTAAATGTAAAGTCAGCATTCCTAAATGGAAGGCTAGAAGAAGAGGTTTATGTGGTGCAGCCCCCAGGTTTTGAAGTTAGAATGCAGCAGGGTATGGTGTACAGGTTGAGGAAAGCTCTATATGGGCTAAAACAGGCCCCTAGAGCCTGGAATCAGAGAATTGATCAGTTCATGAGTAGCATTGATTTTGAGAAGTGTGCTTCAGAACATGGTGTATATGTCCAGTGCAGTCAAAGAGAAGGAAGAACTGAAAATTAATAGTATGCTTATATCTAGACGACTTATTGGTCACAGGAAGCAGTGAAGCTTTGATTTATGAATTCAAAGTGCACATGCTGAGTGAGTTTGAGATGAGTGACTTAGTCAAGCTGAGCTACTTCCTTGGCATAGATTTTACTGAAACTGTGAAGGGTATGGTGATGCACTAGTCACGGTATGCGAGAGAGATGCTGAGGAAGACAGAAATACATAAGTGCAATGCTACAAATACTCCAGCTGAGGTGGGTTTGAGATTGAAAATAGATTCAGAGGAAGAAGCAGTTGATGCTACAACTTATCGAAGTATGGTAGGAAGATTGAGGTATTTGTGTAACACACAGCCAGATGTGAGTTACAGTGTTGGCATTGTTAGTAGGTATATGCAGAATCCAAGAGTATCCCATATGAATGCTGCAAAACACATTCTCAGGTATGTAGAAGGAACACATAGCTATGGCATCTTGTTTCCACGAAAAAATGTAGGAGTGGAATTGAGGATCATTGCATACTCTGATGCAGATTGGTGTGGAGACAAGTGTGACAGGAAGAGTACAGCAGGGTATCTGTTTTTCCTTGGGGACTCACCAATCTCGTGGAGTTCAACCAAGGAACCAGTTATTGCTTTGAGTTCTTGTAAGGCTGAGTATGTAGCAGCATGTGAAGCAACCTGCCAAGCTGCATGGTTGAGTTCTGTTATGGAAGGTTTGAAGGTTGTGTTGGCAGGGAAGATACAACTTCTTGTTGACAACAAGTCTGCGATTGATCTTGCTAAACATCCTGCTTCTCATGGGACGAGTAAGCACATTGAGACAAAGTTCCACTACATTCGTGACCAAGTTAAGAACGAGAAATTGGAGATTTGCCACTGCAAATCAGAAGTGCAACTTGCTGATGTGCTAACAAAGGCGTTAAAGTTTGAAAGGTTCAAACATCTGAGAAGGCTTATTAAAGTTGCTAATGTAAACGAAATTTTAGCTTAGGGAGATGTGTTAATAGTTAAGCCAAAATTAGGAACTGTCTTATATGATAGATATAGGTTATGTTATTTCTGTTTTTCTTTTTGTACATTGATCTCTCTAACCCTTATATAAAGGGATGTACTGTTATCACAAAATATGACATTACTTTTGCATTGTCTCTCTCTAAAAAAACCCTTTATCTTATGGGTTTCATGGAACTTTTATTTCTTCTAAGGAGTTGGAGGAAGCAAGCTTGATTGGTGGAGTGGGTTGTGAGGAGAGGTTTATATGCCTCGGAATCTACTCCTCTGTCATCATGTTTACGGAAGAAGCAAATTTTTTATGCATTTTTTTTTATTTTAAATTTTGGAGTCAGTTTTATTGAGTGAAGAGGTTGAGGATAAACTTGTAGCTTTTGGGTGTAGTTAGCAATGAAGCTAAGCTAGTCTCTGCTTGTTCTTTCACTTGATGTGCATGTAACTATTGAGAAAGAAAGGTTATATATATCACACTATCCTCTATATCAGTCTTGCTTAGCTAAATTTAATGTGACTTAAGCCAAATTTTTGTACATGCATCCTTTTTATCTAATTTGCTTAAGCAAAATTCATTTTACTTAAAAAATATTTGGACGTCTAATTTTTATACAAATTGAAGAGAATTTAGATACCTATAAAGAACCAATTTGACAATTAATAGTACACGTTGTTTGGTTTTACTGAAAATGTTCATGTTATTTGTTTAAATTGTCATCTTAGATTATTAGTTATGTTTAGTATTTACACATATTTTTACATAAATTGTACTGTAATTTATGAGTAAATATATAAATTAATTTTTAAATTTGTTAATTTGCAGATATCTTTTCGTTTCTGAAAAAATAACTTGGTCTTAAAAATATTATTTTGTAAAAGTTATAGTATTTTTAGAGATTAAATTGTAAAGTTATTTTGTATGATATATATATATATATATATAACAATTTTCATATTTTCTTCAATAATATGAAAATTATGAAGAAAAAATAGAAGGAAAGAGATGGTAAAGATGTTGCACATTTGCGAATATATTTTTCTCTGCAAGTAAATAGTAGCAAAATTCTAAAGCAAATATTATGTATTAAGCAATTGTTTCAACAACATAATTTTACGTGCGATGAATTTATGAATAAAAAGTAGAGGAAGATAAAAAATAATGGAAGAAAATTATGAAATAGATTCTTATCATATATAATATCTTTATTTTTTGTATAGTCTAATAACGTTGTAAGATTAATCGACTCATCAGTGAAATAAAACGTGTTGTTATTATATCTAAATATGTCCAAACATTCACTAAGCAAGTGTTTATTTTTATTGTTCAACGTTCTCTCTCTCTCTCTCTCTCTTCGAAATGTTCAACAATAAGCAAGTGTAAATGTAGCATCAATCTATGTAGGTACTGTTTTATATATATATTTGGGTCCATACGTAGGTACTGTTATAAGCTATCATTTTCTCTGGCTTATGCACTGATGAGCATGGAAACCTTATCTTTAACAACTAAGTTGAGCCCATATCAACTATCCAGAAGGTTGTGTGTTGAAGTATAGGCCCATGTTTTTTTTCTTATAGGTTTACCTACGTGAATCGGAGCAGATGTCAAAGTAAAATATATAAATATATATACTATCGAGGTTCTAATTATTGGAGCCAATAAAGAATATGATGACAAAAAAGAAAAAGCCGAAATAGAATTCTATGGCAGTATTCAGGTTTGATTTACAGAAAAAGAAGACAAGTATGAGGTTTGTTATTTATTAATAAGCACCAAATTTAGATATTTATGCTTCACTGATTAAGTAAAACAAAAGTATAATCATATTATTAAACGCAAAAATTCAAATAAAATGCACTTTCTTTTTTATCGATTATCATATACATTTTGTCATTAGATTTTCTTCTGTAAGTTAGAAAGTCTAGTACTCGATTGGTTTGACGTGAGGTTGCTAATATTTAGTGAAATTGTCCACGAAGATCATAACCTGAAAAATTAGATATGGCTCTTTACTAAAACCATCATAACTTGAAATTTTTGCGTGATCTTATGGGTGACATCATGATGTGTAGTGTTTATATATAATAATTAAATAAATTTGTAAATTTAATTCAGAATCAGAATAATTTCTATTATAAAAATACTAAAATATTATCTTATAGAAATTATTAAGATTTGTATTTTTATATAAAATTTATAGAATTTTTTGAAGATATAACTACGAATATGCATAACTTTTGAGAACAGCCATTTGGTTTGGTGCGAAAGAATTTGAAGGGAATATAACGAATTGTTTATTTTGATTTGTCGAGTTTGATAACTGATGGTTTCCTACTCCGTCTCTGAAGCTTTTCATTGGTGGTAATAGGTATCCATTTAGCCACATATTGCTGCCTCTGACAAATTGTTCTTGTTAGTGAGCCTATTTGAAGATAGCAAAAAGAAATTTATTAATTGTATACCGTATCTGACTCTGCATTAGTGGATCTCTATTCTCTATATCTTTATAGTTTTTTAATTGATTTAATAGAGAATTTTCTTAGATCATGTTGAACTTATCCATACTGTTTTTTGGTTCTATTTTCCTCGCTTCTTGTGTCAAATATTATGATTCACACCCACTATGGAAATTGTGAACTGTTATTAAACATGACCATGAATGAAACAGACAACAAATTCATTTCATAGTGAAATGGTGAATAGACCAATGAACTAAATGATAAGAGAGAAGCACTATCAAGCATCAACCAAAACATATGACTTGGAGTTCACCGGCAACAAGATGTAAGGGATAAGCGACTTTGGGCCTACATAACTCTATTTATATTTTAATGCATCATGACAAGACACAAGCCACCAATAATTGAATTTATTAGATGATATAATATAAGCAAACAAAACTGATCCTTACCATTAATAAGAAAATAATTAATCAAATGATGAGATCATTCCTTTACTATATAGGCAGGGCCTATCCGACACCAATTTTATTATTCTTCTTCTTGGAGAATTGGATTGATGGCTGTCAACTGTACTTCCTCAACTCAAATCCCAATTCAGAAATATGGATCATTTCTCAAGTACCCAAACAAAGAATTGATGTCCAAACGCAGCTTTGTCCCACTGAAAAGGGCACCAGTACTGAGGATCACAGCATCCATCAAGAACAAGGTCAATATCTTATATCTTTTTCTATACTTTACTCCTACATAAAGATGCCGATTTTTATTTGATGTTTACCCTTATCTAAGCAGAAGAAAGTACCCGTAACAAGTCCAACGTTTTTAAGAAACAAATATTTTTGGTAAGTTGCGTTAATTAATGTCTGTTTGGTCTCTAATTAAACAGATTTATGAAGATCGCTCCCAGGGCATAGTCTGTTACCAAGATGAGCATGGAGAAATAATTTGTGAAGGGTATGATGAAGGGCCTTGTTTTCAAAGAATTCCAGAGCCAACCTATCATCAAAGGTAAAGAATCCAACCCAATCTCGCATTTAACACCATTAAAAAAAATGGTTTTTGACTTCAAAATTGTACTTTTGAATACTTATCTGACTACAGAAGTTGTGCTGAGTTCAGAGATGCCCAAATCACGAATCTTCTTCTTCGACAAAGTTGGCTTCAGATTGCTAAAGGAGGGAACTCGAATGATGCTGTTGAAGGTGTTCGTCTGCAAGAGGACATTAACTGCAATGGCTTTAACTCGCTCTGCTAATTACCTGAATCTGATCCTTTCACGCGCAAAGATCCCCGCAATAGTTACTACTATACCATGCGTCACAAAGGCATGAATATCACAAAAAAAAAAAAAAAAAGACTGAATGGTGAATCACATAGCACAAGCACAGTGAGTTTGTTCCTGAAGCTCATTTCTTGCATGTTGTATGGGTTCATAATGGCAATGCTTTTCTTAATTGCCCTTCATTTTCAGCTAGTTGCCTGTTACTCTGTTAGTATTATGGATTATCTGATAGAAAAACTAAAGGAAAATGATGATGACTTCCTAATCACAAAGCAATAAATTTGTCCGTGTCTTAGTATTCTAAAAGGCTAAAAGCACAAATATTATGATACCGAATCATGCAGTTGCATATCTACAAAGTCAATGTTTAAAGAAAAAGACAATTGCTAAAAGCAGAAGAGGATGTGAGGGCAAATGCATGTATGAGAAAAGCTCCTGCTACTAAAAAAGGAAGCAAACTTCCTAGATTATAAAAATGATCTTCCATTGTTACATTTCACTATGCAGCCGTGGTCGCTGTTCTTCAGTCCCCCACTCAAAAATCTCAGAAGGGATTTCTGAGATCTCCTCTCTACTTCCCAAATGAACAAATAAAAGGGTTATATTCAAATCACTGTTCTTCCTTCCATTCCTTTCTTGCTAAACTAATTAATCAGTGGGTTAAGGAGTCACAGGACAGTTACAGTTCCGTGACCAAGAAACCAACTCTTGTCGGCTTTCGCTTAAAGGAAGTACTACCTTACAATCGAAGTTTGGGTCAGGCACGTGTTAACATATAGTTTTAAGCAGTGCCTCAGAGGTAGCTTTGAAGTGCGGAATTTTTTTGGTACAACTCTCCCGAGTAATCAAAAGTTTTGTTTTATATATATATATATATTAATGGATATGAAGAATAATAAAACTTCAGTTAAAAGCAGTATGCAAAAAACCCTTCTTAAAGTATTTTAAAATCAAACACAGGTAACATGGTTAAATATTCTTTCTACTCAGATCAACACACATTGATAAGCGTTTTCCTTTCATCTGACGCCAAGCAGGATCGGATATTAAAACATTAAGGAGGGTGAGAAACAGTGTAATATTAGTGATATACATGTAGAAATGGTAATGCTAAATACAGGATTATGTCTTTGAGTGACTGCACAAGAGCAAGGTCACTTGTGCATGTGAGAGGGACATAAACTTGGACTCTTACCAAAGCAAGAAAGAAGGAAAGGGAGGATCTTTTAAGATCATAAAGACGTGTCACAGTCTTCTTAAATAGTAGATTCTCCATAACCAAAGCATCCATCCTCAATTCTTCCTTTTCTTTAAGATAACTTAGATGTAACCTTTCCAGCAAACAAGTCATCCGTAAATTAAGATATATAATTAAAAGAAGCAAAATACACACCCACGTGATTTAGCGTGTTTGTCCTTCTTCCTTTTCTTTTTCCTATAATTTTAATACAGGTCAAATTACGTGTGAAGTGAATACGCTTAAATTTTAATCCATGTGCAAGAAAAACTGAATTGAATATACTTAAGTTTAAAATATCCCAACACTTTTTAATCATCATACGTTAAGACATGAAATCACCTTTCAATTTTTGCCATCCTGTGTATCACATCCTCTAAAAGCTATGATTCTTCTTTCTTCTTTCTTCTTTGTTTCTCAACAAGCCAGGATTATTCAAATATGGGACTGATTTATTCGATAATACCATAACTCCATCAAATATAACACTGATTTGCAACCTTAGTGAAATTAAAAAAAAAATTCAAAATTTGGTGCCATGAAGACAAAAGTTATATATGTCAAAGGGCAATTGGTTCTGACTTTTGGGACTCCACAGCTACTGATCAATTGCTAAGACAACATAAATTCAATGACTTAAATGGGCAAAATTATTTAAATCCTTCGCCCATTCCAAATGACTTCATTTTTTTTAGTTATAATAATGACCTAACATGCCATAAATTATTCAAAATTGTATTATATATTTTGCATAATAGAAATCATATAATTAATTTTTATTATGCAAAATATATAATAATTTTTTTATAAACTTTATTACATATTTTATCTCTCAATTATAGTTTGCAAATAATACTTGCCCATCAATATTTCTTTGAGCAACTTTAATTTCTCAATTTTCAGTTGTTAAATTAAATATCTTCATCGCTTTACTTTTTTTTAAGCTTTCAATTTTCATAGTAAATTAACTTAATAATTTTATACTTTTTTCTCAAAATTTATTATCCAAAATATTAATTTTTTGTTTGAAAGAAAAAAGGTTTAAAATTTTCTAATCTTCAAATCCTAATATCACATTTACTAAATCCTCTAACACTTTATCAAATTATTTACTAATTTTTAAAAATATTTTATATCTTAAATTCTTAATTGTTTGAATATAAATTTAAGTAAAAAAATTACAAGACAAATAAATTTATTGAATTTTAAAAAAGTGTTTTTTAAAAGAAGCTTGAAAGACTAAATTTGAATAAAAATAAATTAAAGAGTTAAGATCTCAATTAAATAATTTTTTATATTAATTCAAGATATTACTAAAATATTAATAATTTTATTTTGATTTTTTAAAAATTAAATATTACCAATACCTTTATTGTCGATCTTTTTTTTATTTTCAAGATTGATCAGCACGAAGCAATTCAAGAACCTTTTTCCACACTCGGGGTAAATAAAAAACCTAATTAGACGCGAAAGGGGACGTAGTTAAAAGAGAGGAGAAAGAAGGAAATGTTGAGTTGGCTTGGTCCTAATCCTAAATCTAAATTGAATTTGTGAATGGATAAACCCTAATTATTGTGTTGTTTAGCTCACGAGTCACAACTCACAACGCATCGGATCTTAAATCAAATTGTTGTGTATTGTGGTGCGAACACGATGTGGTGGAGATCGGCATCATTCATCATGGACAGGCAGCAGAACGACGCCGCTTGGAAGGCCGACTCTTCCCACTCCATCACTCCTCCTCCGGCTTCCCCCACAAACGAATCCTCAATCTCAATCCTTAACCCTAACCCTAACCCTAACGCTAATCCTAGGATTTCAGCTTACTACCAGACGAGAGCGGCGCACCACGGCGTGGTGACAAGCGACTGGCTGGCTCAGGCTCAGGCGGCGATTGGGCCGGAGCCCGAACCCGAAGTGAAGCCCGATCCGGATAAGCCCTTCAGTGTGATCGACGAGTTTAATAACTGGCGGAAACAGCCACATTTGGCGGAAGCTGTCGCAGCCATTCGCGCCTTGGCCGCCGTCATAAGGTCGAGCGAGGCCACCACTATGATGGAGCTGGAAATCGAGCTCAAGAAGGCCTCCGATTCTCTCAAGGTAACACTAGTAGTAATACTCACTCACTCTATTTCTTCTTTCTTCGTTCATTTGCAATTGTTGATGTTTTTTTTTTGCTTTCATTTGCAGTCTTGGGATACAACTTCTATCTCTTTGACAGCTGGTTGTGATCTGTTTATGCGATATGTGACTAGAACTTCTGCTTTAGAGTATGAAAACTTTAATTCCGCAAAATCTCGCTTAATCGAACGTGCTGAGAAGTTTGGGGAAATCTCCTACAAGGCAACTTGCTTCCTCCCCTCCCGCTTTCACTGCATTCTAAGTTTATTTCCTCACACCTTCCTTTTTTTTTTTTTTTTGCAGGCTCGTAAAATTATTGCAATGTTGAGTCAAGAATTTATATTTGATGGTTGTACAATTTTGGTTCATGGTTTTTCCAGAGTTGTCTTTGAAGTTCTAAAGCTCGCAGCACAAAATAAGAAGCTATTTCGTGTCTTCTGCACAGGTTCTTGCCTCCCCTCATACTCTCTTATTATAATTGTATACATATATATACATACATATGCATTCAGGAATGCTCATATATGCAGATCATGGTTATTGACTTTCTTTCCTCAATATAAATTATAATTCTTTCCAACGATCTCTTGTGAGCTTTAGACCGGAGAGTTGGAATTGTTATTCTTGATTCGTTGCCCTATTCGTTTTCAAACAATAGAAGAAATCACCTCTGAATGGTTTAACTGATAATTTGGTTTTTGTTAGTCTAATATCTTCGATTGATTCAGAAAAGCATCCCCACCTAGCGGAATGAAATTTGGTTTCAAATTATGTTATCATAATTTCCACTCGTCAACCCCATTTTGAACTTGTGTGAACTCTGCTGTATCTTTGGAATCTTCATTGTGATCTGGACTTAAAAATTTGTTGTCCTTGAATTTGCAGAGGGAAGACCAGACCGAACGGGATTACGGTTGTCCAATGAGCTGGCCAAGCTTGATGTTCCTGTGAAACTTGTAATAGATTCTGCAGTTGCATATACTATGGATGTGGTGGACATGGTTTTTGTGGGTGCAGATGGAGTTGTGGAAAGTGGGGGCATAATCAACATGATGGGGACCTACCAAATTGCGTTGGTTGCACACAGTATGAATAAACCAGTCTATGTCGCTGCTGAAAGCTACAAGGTATATTTGCAACTTACAGAAAATTCTAGTATGTTGCAAGTTATTTTAGCATAAAAGTAGCATCAATTAGGAATGTATGTTCTACAGTTACATGTCTCGTTTGTGTTACCCTGCAGTTTGCTCGTCTTTACCCTCTTGACCAAAAGGATTTAGCCCCTGCTTTGCGCCCGATTGATTTCGGTGTACCTATTCCACCCAAGGTCGAGGTTGAAAGGTCTGCGCGGGACTACACTCCTCCTCAATATCTGACTCTGCTTTTCACAGATTTAGGTGTTCTTACTCCATCTGTTGTTAGTGATGAGCTGATCCAGCTATACTTATAGTCATACATGTATAAAGTTTTTGCTATTCTTTAAAAATGTTGGCTACAATTCAAGATCATACATGTTTCTTGAAACAATTTTGTCACAAGCACGGGTATCATTTCATATTAAGGATAGTTTTTTAGTATCAAGTATTACGTATCTGTGTGCAACTGATTTCTTAATTTTTTTTTCTTTGTATTTCATCTCATCAAAGCGTAACGCAAGCCCCGTAAGGACGAGGAAATGAACTGCATTATGTTTTGGTTTTCAGTCACAAAGAAATTATACTTCAAAATTCAAATGATGAGTCGTAGACAACCATTCGTTATAGTTGTACTTAATGTGTATTTGGTTTTCATTATTACCTTGCATCAATTACTTTTAAGAGTATTCTGATTTTTAGGTTATTTTGACTTTTATGTTGAAAAAAAATATTTCTATAAACATTTTAAGGATTAGTTTTACATCAGAAAGTGTATTTTTCAAAATATTGAATACGCATTATTTCATGTTACATTTTTCTTTGGGATCCCTATGTATTCCATGCGCTACTTATTTTATGGCTTGTTATTAAAGTGACATATATGCCAAATTGGTGACATCATTTCCTAAATCCAAGTGATTTTACTGACACATAAATGGTTATGAAGTAGATATGGATTTATTATATTGCGTTTCTGCTGTAAAGTTATGCCTTACCTGGCTTCACGTACTCCCATCATTGGTGATATGCAAAAATAATATTGTAACATAAATAACTATTACGGGGTGAAGGACTTTAAAACAATCTGTTATTTCTTGAAAAACTTTCATGTTAGTGCTTTGTAATATATTAATTTATTATTTTTTTAAAAATTAAACATTAATGAAACACTCTCTGCATTTTGTTACCCAAGATGTTGCATAATTTAAAAAAATGAATAACACATTAAATTAATCTTTAAGATTATGAATACCACTAAGTTAATTTTTGAAATAATCAATTAGTGATTATTTTAATCTCTAAAGTTATAAATAAAAGTTATTGAATCTCTAAAATTGTAATAATAAAATTAAAAATGATTTATATTTAATAATTTTAAAGATTAAAGTAATGTTTTCAAAGTTTTAAAGATTAACTTAACTTATAATTGGAGACTATGTACAAGGACAGATATAATATAGTGTGGACTACCATTTTCCTTTCCCATTTTTGGAGTCTAGTTCGTTGAACTTAGTGCATAGAAGACTTGTTCTTGCTCAGATAATAAGCATATTTGATCCTGTATACAATGGGTGCCAATTTGATTCCATTTATACACTTTCATCTTGAATATTGTGGTTAAGGAATACAGCAGATCTCTGCAACTTTATTCGGAATCCGGAGCCGATTGTGAAATCAAATCAAGTCATGCGAAACTTTCTATTAAAAAATAAAAAAACTAACTCATCTAAAAAATTCAAGTTTTTTTATATATTTCATTGAGTTTAAATTATAAGTTAATATAATTAATTAAAAAATTTAATAGAATATTATAAGTGTTGTAAAATATATGAATCATTTATATTATGATAGCTGACAGTTTAATTTTAAAGGGATTAGATAGAAATTGGCATTTGGACTTAAACAACTGAAGTTGTGTACTGCAGGACACTTTTGTGGGGATACAAATTTCTGATTGTGGAGATACGATACTGACTGAACATATAAAAGCAATTTTTTTTTAAAAAAAGACATTATCTTATATCTTTTCTTTTTAGTACATTCTGAAAGCACGAAATTCTAGGTTTTCATACAGTTTATGTAGAATATGATAATTAGGGCAATTTCCTTACATTTTGGTTAGAGGATTCTTATGGGAACTTGCATTTTCTTTCCATTTTCTCTAGTTTATGTAATGGAACAGTAACTCTCTCGTTTCATCTATTTGCTATAAGCGTTTCTGTGAACATAAATTCTGTTTCTACAATATATTTCAGTTTTATATTATTTACTTTCATTATGTCTAGCTAAATATCTTGGGTTGAGTGTGGATAAACCTATACCTTTACCTTTTGCAATGAATTAACATTGGATACAACTCAAGATACATGATTTAATCTAACATCTTGATTCTGAACTTAATGTTTCCTTGTTTTACGTGAATGGAGTTGATGAAAAGGAGTTTATTACTGGAAAGTAGTAAGCTTTCTTGGACTAGGATTAATTTGCTCATTATAAATTATCTAGGAATAGAAATTTGTGATGATGTAGTCAATGAGTTTAATTCTTAATACTGAATATTTTTAGTTGTATCTAAAGAATTAGAACACTAATTTTATTTTAGAACCAATTACCAAGGAATTGAGGTTGGGTATTTTAGAAAATATGACTATTAGCACTTTTAATTTCATTTTGTTTACAATTCTTCACTTAGTTAAATTTTTTTCTATTTATATCTTGTTTTTGTGATCCAACTAGTGCTATTCTTGTAGATTGATACTTAGCATTAATCCCTGTGGACGATAATCTAATTTGTTATTTCAGCGATTTGGTGCACTTGCCAAAAAGTTTATCAATTTTATTAAGTTTAAATACCTTTTAACTACCTCCAAATAGGGCTAAATTTAAAAAAACAACCTCAATTTTTTTTTATTTTAATGCCTAACTAATTATTTTTTCTAATTTTATACCTAAAGTTAACTTTCGTCAGTTAAATGGTGACGTGGCTAACAGTTTGCTACGTCACCGTTGATCTCTCTCATCCACCTCACCCTAAACCACCACATTAGATTCCACATCAACATTTTTGAATTTAGAAAAAGAAAAAAATCAAAAAATTTAAATTTAAGCGCGCAGTTAACATTTGGGGGAATGTTGAAGAAGGCTTAAACCACCATTTGGACAGTTACTCAATCTTGAACACAGAGTGAAATATTTCCAAATAGAAAGCAAAAAAAATCCTTGAACCCGTTATATGATATTGTAGTTTATTTTTCATCTTCATCTTTACTTGTGCTGTTTATCGTTTTTGAAACAAACATCGTCGTTGTATTTTTTCCTTGTTTTCCAAGCACTGTGGTTGTTACCAGAGGCGACATTGTTGACATTGTTGAAGGTAAGTGTTATTGCGCGTTAGGGTTTTCAATGCTATAATTCATCATGGGGATCATTTTAAATTGGACCTCGTGATGCACTATGTTGGGGGCAAAGAGGCTGTTGCTGTTGATATGGATAGGTGGTCGTACTTTGAAGCATTTGGGATTTTAAAAGAAGACTTAGGTTACGGAGAGCACCCTGTGAGGATATGGTGAAAATTTGGTCCTTCTGACTTCAAGGAAATAAATTGTGATAGTGTAGCCCTCGGCATGGCTAATTTTGCCATTTGTAACAGTGTGGAGGTTGAAATATATGCTGTTTGTGAAGGAAGCAACGAGGGTGTTATTGGGGACAATTTTTTCAGTAATGAGGAAGAATCTCTAAATGAAATTCATTTAGATGAAAGTGAGGAGGATAGGGTTGGTGACATGGATGGTGGATTTGACAGAGATGTTCCAGAATTTGAGCGAGTAAAAGGCAGAAAGAAGAAGTCATTTGCAAAGAAAGTGAATAAAGATGTTAAGGCTGAGGAGGTAGATGTTGCTCAGAGTGTTTATCAGCCTGACAAAGTTAATGTTCGTGTAGAGGTTGTCTGGATTTCTCGAGATGAAGATTCTGTTGAAAAGTCAACCCCTGGAGGAGACTTACCAGGTGCGCTTCAAAGTGATGGTCAATCTAGAAGAAAGGTAGTTGTTGGTGGTGGTGTTGCAGGTGTTAGGAGTAGGGATGCTGCTATTGGGGGTGGTGGTGATGTTGTTGGGGGTGGGGATGATTTTGTTGAAAATGAGGATGATGATGATGTTGTTGGAGGTGAGGATGATGATGATGATGATGTTGGGACTACTGCTGCTATTAAGAAACCTGGAGGTGGCAAAAAAAGAAGAAAAAAAAGAAGGGTGTTAGGATGAGGCAATCAAAAAGAGTGAATATTTTTTGTCAGAGTAGTCAAGGTTTACATAATGCAGATGATTTTTATAAGGCACAAGAAGTACAAGCTAACGACATTGATATTGGTTATGCAAGTGAAGAGTTGCTCAATGGTGACTCTGAGGAAGATGGTTATAGAAGAAAATATTCCAGATTCAATGTTGATGAATTGAATAAGGATTATAAGTGGAAGTTGGGTTTGGAGTTTAGTTCCATCAAGGAGTTTAATGACGCAATTCAAGAGTACAATGTGCTGAATGGAAAGGAAATCATATTCAATTTGAATGACAAGATGAGTGCAAGGGCAAGATGTAGGCATTGTGCTGAATACTTTGTGTATGTTAGTAAGGTCAATAATTCAAAGACTTATAGGCTGAACACTCTGGTTGAAAAACACACATGTGGAAGGGTCTTTCACAATAAGAGTGCGAAGTTAGCTTGGGTTGCCAAAGTTTTGATTAACAAGATGAAGGTCAGGACTACTGACATAGCATTAAAGGATATTGTTGGAGAAATTAAATCCAATTATTCCACTGGGATAACACTGTCAAGAGCATTCAGGGCTAAACAGATAGCTAAAAGTGTGATTGATGGTGACTTTGACAAACAGTATGAACTACTGTGGAGATATGCAGCTGAACTTAAATAAAGAAGTGCAGGCAATACCTGTGTGAAGACCACGTATGAAACCAATCACAAGATCTAGTGCAAGAGCACAAGAAAAATCTACTGCTGCAAAGATGTATCAAGCTATTGCTGCAGATTTGAATGAAGGGCCAACTCCACCACCTTTATCAACTCCACCAAGTCAACCAACTAGACCTGAATGAAGACTGTGTTTTTTGGGAACTATTTTGGGAGAGAGAATAGTCTTTATGTTATATTGTATTGGGAGTAATATAACTTTATTTTAAACAATGTATAACAGCTTACTTTAAGTTAGTATTCATGTAAATGAGAGCCCTTTTATGGACCACTTTCTGTACCTTTTGATTACATTAAACAATGTGTAGCATGTGCACCTTTTGGGATCACTGTTCTGTTTGTTGATGTTGGAATTGAAACACATAATTAGGACCAGAGATATATACGAGCAAGTACACGCTTGTGTATATCAACGTGTAC